CATCTTTGTTTACTGTATTAAAGTTTTTCTGTATGACCTGGACTACTTCAGACTCTTAACCATACACATGATTTATAGCAAATGGTGACAGTCTTAAGGTTTGTTCTTGAAATGCCAAACAGTTGTTAATCCATTAAATCGGCATTATGCAAGAGCTAAATCTACCTATTTCAGATCTTAAATGTTCTGTAAGTTATTAATAGGATATTTATTAACATGAAAGACAATAATATCAACGCTTGATGCCATCGGATGGCTGTGATATTGAGTAGATTAAAATGGCTTGGCCATTTAATGATTTAATTTAAAAATGGAGAATAAAGTCAGGCAAATGCGATGTCATTCATTGAAAGTGGTCAACAAGAACCTGTCCAGATACTGCAATCATCAACTAGACTTTAAGTGTTAGATCAGTATGGAAGTAATTAGTTGGATTAGAAGTATTATTTGTGTGCCTAAATTCAAGAATCAACTAAAACATCTGATATAGTGTAAAATGTCATTTATTAAACATGCATTATGCAAGCGCTAAATCTGCCTTTCTTTAGGCTTTAAATGTGATCTAAATTATTAATTAAACAATTAATTAACTGATCCAGGATAATCAATTCTCGATGCTATCGATAGCCTGCAATCTATAGTGGATTTGAAAACATTTTCTGATGGATAATTTTTAACTTAAAATTGGATAATCGAGACTTTTTTTATTATAGAACCAATGTTAGTAATGATGATCGAGGCTAGCCGAAAATTGAATCATTGATATCTTGATTCAAATTTTAGAAATGGTCACAGGTGGCACTGGCTTGTTTTAACCATAACCTACCTCAGTCTCACACATTATCACACTAATCATCATTTTCATTTTTCAGAGTTGTTGCAACATTGTCTGAAAAATGCAAACGCTGATCTGCGACTGTATTTTGGAGCTTGGTTTTCCAAATGGTCTAAGACATACAGAAAATTTAGATTTTAAGGTCTGTCATTGAGTCAAGTGGCGTGGTTTCGATTCCCAGCTCTGTATGTGACAAGGAGTAGGGTCACTTGCACAACCTTATGATTTCTCTCTGGGTCCTCTGATTTCCTGCCACTGCTAAAGACCCCTTGAAGCGAATTACTGAAATAAAATTGAACCATATGTTAATCTCAAAATGTCCTCCCTCCCCCCTTTCTCTCTCTCTCTCTCTCTCTCTCTCTCTCTCTCTCTCATTTTTACAGAATAGAAGAGATAACATTGAGGATCCTTGATGCAACAAGACCTGTTGACAAATCTAGCAAGCTAAGCTATTTGTCCCATTTTGACTTATTCAACAAAAGAGATTCAATTACTGCGTGTTAATGAATGTGCTATCACCAGACAATTCATCTTATTTCAAGACATCAGAATCGATTTCTTTTAACCAGAAAAGTTAAAAGAAAAAAATTATTCTTCTTTTTAAGTATAGCCATTGTAAAACAAAATTGACTGGTTTCTTCTGCTAATGGATATATATCAAAGGTTTTCATTTTGGGTGGCTTCAAATTCTTTCTTTTTTTTCTCCTGTTCTTAGTTTTCCAGTTTATCTAAACTGTTCACGCTCAATTTTCGGTTCGTTAAGTTTTTTTCTCCAATTCTCTTTGCTCAAGTTATTTTTTAGGTCTGGTCGATTTGACTTTTCTCTGGTCGAAAGATCATAAGACTTGATGAAGTGATAGATGATGACCTTGTGGATAGATTGATGATTTGTTCGTGGTTTAATTTTTCGTTTAATGATGATGTAATGACGTTTCTCTCTGGAAGAGTCGTTAAAAACAAAAGTAGATGGGGTGAAAATAGTTTTTCTCACCTTATTATTGTTTGAAACAAGTTTTTTGATTGGTGGAACAGATTGATTTGTATGTAAACTTGTTGAACTTGAACCAGAGAAAAGAATAGTTGACCTTGTTGTACTGTTTAACTTTGAAATAAAGAGAGAGAGAGAAAAATTGAGTTGATGTCCACTCGGCACAGACTATGGTCATTTCTGGAATAACACATGTTTCAATTTTATTTCAGTAATTTGCTTGCGCGTAGGGGTCTTTAGCTGTGTGAGGAAACCAGGAAAAAACCAATGAATCTGGACAGGGGACCCTACTCCTTGTCACATACAAGCATGGAATCAAAAAACCACGCCACTTGACTCAATGACAGACCTGGCAAGGACAAGTTTATATTCGTTCAGATATGCACATAAAGGAACTCCATTACAGCTGAGAACTCAATGAAGAGTTGACAAAAATGCTGCTGTCCATGCAAAATTTTGCTCATGTCCAGTGGCTTGATAACTAGGAGGTCCTGGGTTTAATTCTGGTATTGGCCAAGAAAGTTCATCAGGATTCCACTTATCCCTCTAGATCTTAGATTTGTGACAAGGTGTAGAGTAGTGTCATGTGCCTTTCTAATGGTGGGGTTTGGGTGGTCTAGTGGTTTAACACATGACAACGAGTAGGGTCGTTGTCCAACCTCTTGGGTTTCTCCGGGTCCTCTGGTTTCCTCCCACAGCCAAAGACCCCTACGAGCAAGCAAATGATTGAAATAAAATTGAATCACATGATAGTTCCGAAATGACCTAGTTTGTGTCGAATGAACTTTAAACCCAATTTTTCTCTCTCATTCTCTTGGTTCTCTGTCCACTGCTATAAAGAACCCATGCATGGAATCAATTGTTGGAATTAAAATATTCCTTATTTCTCTTTCTCAGTTGCCAGTGAAAAATAACAAGCACCAGGGTTGGTCTGGGCCTGATAATTTCTGCAACAGGTGCCTTATTTCCAGGCCTTGAATTTGCAGATATTTCATGTTTTTATATTAAGCCAATTAAAGGGTATCCAGATGGTGTTTTTCTAGTACAATTTGATTTGAAATGAAATATTTTCTTTAAATTTTCATGATGCTTCACAGTGTTTTTTGCTTCAAATTTTGTAAAATGCATGAGCTGACCTCTCTCTGAATATCATGGTGTATTTTGTGTACAATTTTTTTTATAAATGAAATATTTTCTTTCAATTTTAATGACCCTTCACGGTGTATAAATCATGTAAATTAGCTAGATGCTCGTATATATGTTTCATAGGGAAATTTTTATTGTTTTTTTTTTCTTCAAATTTTGTAAAAAGTATGAGCTGACCTCTCTCACAGTATCATGACTTGTAATCATATCAGTGTAAAGATTTTTACAGATTTAAAACCACAGATAAAGTCAGTTAACTCCATTTTTATAAATATCATATCAGATGAAGTAGCAGTCATGCATTCAATATCTGTGTGACTTTAGACTCTAATTATCCTTCATGCTTTTCATTAACCTAAAATAACATTAAATTTCCATAAATTTATTCTGCAAGAAGCTTTTTTGACATTTGTGATCGTTTTTAATCAAATTACACTCGAATTTTAACAGATTATTTTTATAACCAGATAGAGTGACCTTGTAATTCTAACAGGCAAAGAGTTTTTAATAGGAATTGTAGCAGATTATTTTCATAACTAGAACCACATTTGAATGCTTACAGGCAAAAAATCTTTAATATGGGTAATATGAAAAAGAGGCAGTCTTTAATACGGGTAATATGAAGAGAGGCAGTCTTGAAATACGGGTAATATAAAGAAGAGGCAGTCTATATGACGGGTAATATGAAAAAGAGGTATCTTTAATACGGGTAATATGAAAAAGAGACAACCTTTAATACGGTTAATATGAAAAAGGGTCAGTCTTTAATACAGGTAATATGAAAAAAAGGCAGGCTTAAAATATGGGTAATAAGAAGAAGGGGCAGTCTTGATACGTCAGTTTTGAAAAAAAAAGCAGTCTTAAAATATGGGTAATAAGAAGAGGTGGTTTTTTAATAGGGGTAATATGAAGAAGTTGCAGTCTTTAATATGGGTAATATGAAGAAGATGCAGCAGAGGGTGTCATGTATGAGATACAATGGTGTGATAGTTCATTCTGGAGCACCTAATACCACCTTTTAATCATTCATAAGGTTGACATTTTATAGTATTGGTACTGCAGCCTTGGTTAAATTCTATTTACATATGTATCATAACAATAAAAAAGAAATTATTGAACTCTAAAAAATGTAAGATCTGGATGCCATTCTTTGAATCGATATACTCTGATAGATGCTGTTAATAGTTCATTGTTGCATCTAATGTGTCATGTTTTCGGTAGGTTCTTTATATTCTCCGGTCTGTTTAAAAAGAAGTGAATTATGATAACTCAATTATCTTAAACTTTAAATGACCTAACTAGAAAACAAGAAATCTAAATTGTTTAATTCACAAATTAAGTGAAGCATCTGTCTTAAAGATACTAGAATGTAACAGATTAGTCTATTATATCTTACTATTGTCTGCGTTGTCGATCTGTGTCTTAAAGACATATACACACTAGAATGCCACAAGAGCTGTCTCTTATAGCTTACTATTTTCAGTGTTGTAAGTGTGTATAGCTTATTGCAGTTCTCCTGCACTAACTAAAATTACTACAATACTAATCAATTCCATTAAAGACTTAAATATTGCCTTTTTTAGATTTAGCTAAAGATATTTTCTATATTGTCTCATTTAGATTTAGCCTAAGATATTTTCTATATTGTCCCATTTAGCTTAAGATATTTTCTATGTTGTCTCATTTAGATTTAGCTTAAGATATTTTCTATATTGTCTCATTTAGATTTATGATATAGCTTAAGATATGTTCTATATTGTCTTATTTAGACTTAGCTTAAGATATTGTCTCATTTATATTTAACTTAAGATTTTCTTTATTGTGTCTTTTAGATTTGACTTGAGGCTTTCTGTATTGTCTTTTAGATTTGACTTGAGGCTTTCTGTATTGTCTTTTAGATTTGACTTAAGGCTTTCTATATTGTTTCTTTTAGGTTTAACTTTTCTATATTGTGACTTTTAGGTTTAACTCAAGGTTTTCATATTGTATCTTTTATATTTGACTAAAGGTTTTATATATTGTGTTTTTCAGATTGTGAAACAAGTCGTTTTGGTTGCTGTAGCGACAATGTTACCCCAGCAGATGGACCGATCCAAGAAGGTTGTCCAGAGATATCAGAATTAACAGTAGAAAGGGTCTGCGGAGATTATGGCTGCTGTAAAGATGGTGTTACCCAGGCTACCGGTCCAAACAATGCAGGATGTCCAGAAGACCGTGATCGTTATACTGGTCACGGCTATAGAAGAGATTGTGGAAATGTGAACAGTATCTATGGTTGCTGTTCTGATGGTAAAACTCTTGCAACTGGACCTGGTGGTCAAGGTTGTCCAGTTAATTATGGTTCTTTTGATGCAGGTGAGTATCATTTCATAATCTGTATGCCTTTAAATACAGATTTTCATTTCAAATAATGTATGGGTAATGAGCCCATTGTCAATTAGTTATACTAAATTAAATATTGGACTCGGGGGGGGGGGGGGGGGGTAATGATTTCACTGAATTCTCCTGTCAGGATTGTGTCTGTAAGTTGTTTAATGGTCTCAAGCAAAACCTTGTGTAATATTTTGAAACAACATACAGACAGGGAGAGAGAGAGAAATGGGGTTTAACGTCCACTCGACACAAACTAGGTCATTTTGGGACTAACATATGGTTTAATTTTATTTCAATAATTCACTTGCGTGTAGGGGTCTAGCAGTGGGAGGAAACCGGAGAAAACCCACGAGGTTGGACAGGCGACCCTACTCCTTGTCACGTACAACCGGGGATTTGAAACCACGCCAGTTGACTCAATGACAGGCGTTATGATACAGCACGCACATGCTAACCATTCGGCCATCCAACCCCCCACATACAGACAGACGGTCTCGACCATTATACCATACATAAGCAATGGACAATCCCATAGATTATTCGATTTTTATTGGGTCACAGGTTTGAGTGCCCAAATTCATTTATTCTTGACTGAAAACCACCAGATGTTGAATGTTCCTAAAAGAGACTTTCACAGCTTTTTTTTAAAGGATAAAACATTGATAATATTAGTTCGCTGGTCTGAAAAATGGCGGATCTAGTAGGGGTGCACTGGCACGTTTACTTGGCATTCGGTGATCTGAAAATTCCATTCAAATTTTAAAACATATATATATATATATATATATATATATATATATATATATATATATGTGTGTGTGTGGAATGGATTTGTCACATAACCTTGTTAGAAACAGATGGTGATATATTTGTATTGTCAGATTTAAACACCAGGAGAAGGAGAGGTTAAATTAACTCATCTGTGAAATGTTTTATTCAATTATTATTTTAATTTTAAACTCCTCCCCAAGTTAAAATGTCGTTCAACTTTCAGGCCTCTCGTAAAAACCGGTTTACTCCAATCTCCATATTTTGACTAGACTAGTTTAGGCCATTAAAAAGAATTTACTGCTTCCCTTTTCTCAATTCTGGCTGTAAAGGTTCCTTATATTTTTAGTCTCTTATCATTTTGAGAGATTAGTATTCCTTTGTAAATTACAATAATTGTTCTCAGAAACACTGTCGCTTCAAATATCTTATAGTGTTCACTAATCCAGTGTCATTTTCAGAAATTAGAACACCATACATGACGAAAAAATTTTTACTTGTGGCCTATGTCAAGTATATAATCCTGTGTCTGGGTTAAATTTAAAGATCTTTACAAACATAAAAACTATAATCTGTGACATTGATATTTTAAAAACTTAGTCTGTATGCGTTTCATATTTATACTACCTTGAGAAATTAAAAATTATATTGTCAAACATCAGATTTCTTCTAGCTGCGATAAGCAGAACGAACTATGGGAAAGTAATATGATTGGATAAAAACTGTTAGTATAACAACATATTACAGAGGTGGGAATAAGTCACAGGACCTTGAGTCGGAGTCGAGTCCCAAGTCACAGGACCTCAAGTCCAAATTTTGTCCCAAGTCAGTGACATAATGACTTTAGTACCGAGTTGAGTCCAAAGTCTTCACAAAGCCCAAGTTCCTTTCAAGTTCAGCTATTCATGGCAAATAAGGCAAGTTATCTCCCCTAACTTAAGTCGGATTCTAGTCCTAGTTGCAGGACTGCCTTATTACTAGAATGTCTTTTGGTCGATTCTCGGCATGGGCCGTAAAGAATCTTCTAGATTTTTCAAGCAAATGGATAAATCGTCAAAGAATAGGAAAACACTGCTGTCTTGGTCAAGGGCGTGGATTTGTCATAACTTTTTTTTGGGGGGGGGGACAGTTTACCAGTGTTATTTCGATGAAAGCTGTAACTAGGGGTAATATGATGACGATATGGTAAAATTGACTACCTCAAATTAAGGAGGAGGATATCGTGAAGATGAATTAAAGTGGTGAGACCCACGGTGGTGGTTAGATAGCCTTCAGAACGGGACATTCATGTGGATATAAACTTGCAAATCTGTCGTTGCGATCAAAATCATGGGGGGGGGGGGGGACATATTCTCTCCTAAGCATACAGCACAGTGTATTATTGTCTTTATTTGGTGCAAGGTCCCACGGTTTCCTCCCACTGCTAAAGATCCCTACGCGCAAGCGAATTATTAAATAAAATTGAACCGTATGTTAGTCCCGAAATGACCTAGTTTGTGTTGAGTGGATGTAAACCCCATTTCTCTCTGTCTCTCTATTTGGTTCAGAAAAGTAGGACTTTAACTGTAAACCCCATTGCATTTCTAACGTTGTTTTAAAGAACATGCAGAATACAAAACATTATTTGACCCATGTTATGTTGATGTAGTGTAACAGTCACACACAATAAAATATAAACTCCCTGATGTCATTTTCACAAAAATTACCAGTATCACATAGCCTCTTCTGTAATTCATTTTCTGCTATATCAGCATGATGAGTCTCTAGACCCTTCACATCAGACGCGAGACAATTTCTATTTATTTCTGTGTTTTTTTGGTTTCAGTTTAGGAATTGTTTTTCTTGATGTGTTTAGTTTGAGTTGAAGATAAAACAATTTAAAAAATGACAAGAAATTAAAACGACATTTGTTTTTTGAACTTTAGCCGTCTTTCGTCGGTTTGAGATAATTTATGTTTTGAAAGGAAAGGAAATAAATCTTTTGAAATGCTTGAAATTCAGAAAGATAAAAGCTTGGTTTCAAAATTTTGAAATAAAGTAGCAATTGTGAAGAATTTAATAGAAAAAATATTGTTGAATTATTTTTATGTACAGGATATTAGAAAGGATATAAAAGTGAAGATATGTTACAAATTAAATTCACAGATATAATTGACTTTAAATCAGTGAGAGAGAGAGAGAGAGAGAGAGAGAGAGAGAGAGAGAGAGAGATGGGGTTTAACATCAATTTAGCACAAACTAGGTCATTTTGGCACATAGGGGTCTTTACCTGTGGGAGGAGACCGAAGCCAGATGACCTGGAGAAAATCCACAAGGTTGGACAGGCAACCCTGTCACGTACAATCGTGGAACCAAAACCAAGCCACTTGACTCAATGACAGACCTTCTGATCTAACTTGCACACATTAAATCATTTAGCCACCCAACCAAGTCATACTAATTGTTGAATATTCATATAAATTTAGAAATTCTCATAAGTTTAAGCTCTGGACCTGAATTCACAAAACATTCTCAGACTTATGTTAAGAATTTAATCAAAATTGTTTGCTTTATTTTAACTTAAATATAGGGCTTTATAAAACTTTTGTTGTTTTAATGTATAAAATGCATCAGTAAGAAACTATGAGCCAAGTTTTGTGTTCTGGATCAAAGATATTTCTCATAAACAGTGAATGAAAGTTGAGTAAATTTTTAACGTAAGTCTGAGAATGCTTTGTGAACTTGGGGCCTGGTACTTGTAAGATAATGTCAGAATCTGTAAGCAAACCATATTCTGGTATCCAAAATATTTATGAATTACAAGTTTTCAGATGTTGTATTTGATAAATGTTCAGGTTTGTAAGATTCAATTGAGTTTGTAGATGGCCATCATATTTAAAGATTGGACATGTTTTTCTTTTTTTTAAAATGATAACACTCTTGCTACCAGTTCTTTTAAAATACTGAATATAACTAGCTATTATAAATTAGTGGGGATTGGGTTGGCCGAATGGTTAACGTGTGTGTGTGTTAGATCATAAGGTTTGTCATTGAGTCAAGTGATGTGGTGTTGATTCCCCGCTTGTACGTGACAAGGAGTAGGGTTGCCTGTCTAACCTTGATGGTTTCTCTTTGCGTCCTCCACTTTTCTCCCACTTCTAAAGTGAATAAAATTGATCCATATGTTAATCCCAAAATGACCTAGTTTGTGTCTAGTGGATGTTAAACCCAATTTCTCTCTCAATTATAAATTAATAACCAAATAGCTACTTTAAGAGGACAGGATCCCACAAAATGTGAACTGTGTATAATTTGATATTTTGATGTGTTTTACAAGATTCATGTAAATACCCCACCAAAATAAATGCAGAAATTAAAATTTCGTATATATCTACTAGTCATATGATGTTACTACACGTGCAGGAGTACGGTGACAGTATTGGTGACAGTATCGCAAGTCAGTCAGTCACTGAACTATGAGCTGTAAAGGTCGCGACACTTCATTGTACGAATATGTAATGAAGTGGATAATGGCTTTAAGACAGGAAATATGTACGCATATGATAGCGTATATAAATATTTATAAGATATCGTAGACTCGGTGGTGGTTGTCTTGTTGTAATTACAGGACACGACTAGAACTAATCCACTATTTTAATGAATGATCAGGACAAAACCAAACTTTGAAATATTCAGCCAACTCATCAAGTTTCATTCATGTTTTAGGCTATACCAATTTGAGTTTTTTGTTCTTCTAGATAGCTACTTGATATTTTCTTTAAAATTTCAAAGTTAAAAATTTTAAAAATAAGAGCTTTTGAACAACACAGCCAAGTACTTCTGGTTTTTAAATTGGTCTTCTTCCCGAAGAAATAATAAAGAAAATATTAACAGGTGTTTCAAAAAAAGAACAGGAAATCAAATTGATGTGGCCTCAAAGATGATAGTAAATTTTGGGCCTAATGAACATTCTCTTTATTTAAATTTTATTTAAAGATACATTATGTAAGATTTAGATATAGAGCTGGCAGTTCTTGCTATAATAGTTCAAAGATAATGATATTTATGAATATTTTGAAAATTTCATTCAAATTACCAGTACATTCTGAGCCAAGTTATCACTGTTTGTAGTTTTGACAAGATGTGAGCATCTTTGGTTTTTATTGTAATCATGGTGCTGGTATATTCAGGGCTTAGCATTGATTCCCCATTTTTAAGTTAAATCATTAAATGTCCGAAGCGTTCTAATCTAGTTAAAATATCACGTATCCGATAGCATCAAGAGTTGATTATGCTCTTGTTAATAAATGTCCAATTAATATTTATATAACATTTAAGGCCTAAAGAAAGACCTGCAATAAGCAGATTAAGCTCTTGAATAATGCATCTTTAGAATATGTTTTGTAAAGTGTTCTTTTGACAGTAGTTTATACAATTATATATATAGGTTGAAAACACCATCTTGGCCTTGATGTACACATGTCACATATCGAATCCATGATAGTCTGCTTAAAGACAATTGTTTTTATTATTTAACATTTGAAGACAATTGTATTTCATTATTTAACATTTTAAGACAATTGTTTCAATGACAAAATCATTTTAAGACAATTATGTTTAATTACAAACATGTATTTTTAATTGTAAAACATCTTCAACTTGCAGCTTCATGTGCTTTAGCCAAGGATCGAGGTTCATGTAGTCATAATTTTACCGTCCAATGGTATTACGACACAGATTCAAGTGGCTGTAAACAATTCTGGTATGGAGGCTGCGGAGGCAATCAGAATAGATTTGTAGATCAGAAGAAATGCGAGGAATCATGTATGAATGTCCAAGAAGAAGGTTTGTACTACAGTATTACTGAACTTTGAATATCGTACGGGAATTAAATATGAAAAATAGTGAGGTGCAAATATTTTTATTACATACAGATTTGAATATTTTGTTAAAGCATGATTTTTTAATTGTGGTCTGAATCCATCTGCTTAACTAACCATAAGTTATGCCACTTTATTTTTGTTAAAAATGTCCAACAAGAAAAAATTTGAAATAGCAACACTGATTTGTAGTTATTTTAAACTTTTTTGTGCTGGTTAAAATTTAAGATGTTTTTACTATTTAACAGTGTCTGATTGTCATTTGCGTGATTTTGAATCATTTGTGGGATTTTGAATCATTTGTGGGATTTTGAATCATTTGAAAACTACGGTATTGTTAAAGTTAAATCTCTAAAAGGAATATTAGTACAAAAATATTTCAATTCCATTCATTGTTTACTAGGATATGATGAATTGAAAATTTGCAAATGATATAAATGGAATATGGTCAAAATGGCTGTAAACCAAAACTTTGTATGCATAATAGCAAAGTACCAATACCTTTACTTTTCAGATTTCCAACATTTTCATTTTTCTCTGTTTTTTGTATGAATTTGGATTTAATCTGATGTGGGAGCAACAAGTGTGTGTTGTTTTGGAGCAGATCGCAAGCACCATCCAATATTTCTTTGTGAAACTTTTACCCGTACTGAAATAGTTCCTTTTGCGAACTGTTAAACAGTTTTATAGTTTTTTGTTTCCATGGATATAAGTTGAACTATGTGTGAACTTCATTTCCAGCTCTGGTCTAATAACTCATGTTGTATTTGGTGTTTTATTTTATTTTTACAGATATTTGTAAATTACCAGCTTCAATGGGACCATGTCGTGCATCACATCAACGTTACTACTATGACTACATGCATAAACAATGTCGTATGTTCACATATGGTGGTTGTCGTGGTAACCAGAATCGTTTCCGTAGCCGTAACGACTGTGAACGGAAATGTTCTGATTCTAACTATATCTATGTAGAAGGTAATTTTATAATAATTATTATACACAACCCTCATAGAGGCAAAATTGACATAACCATCCATTGGTCAAGAGACTCCCATTGACTAGGCCATTTTTACTGACCATGACTCTTGCACTGGCCATGACACTCCCACTGAACTTGACATTCCAATTGACTGAGCCTTTTCTGCTGACCATGACACTTCCACTGACCACAACACTCCCATTGACCATGACAATCCCACTGACCACAACACTTCTCCTGACACTCCCGCTGACCATGGCACTCCCACTGACCACGACGCTCCCGCTAACCATGCCAGTGGTAACAATGACAGTCGAGGCTGCAGTCTTTTTAAAATGAGTTTTTCTGAGCTCCGAGTGAAGTAATTTGACTGAAATTTTTCAGCATATCCCCTTTACATTATCTATTTTTTAACTATTATAGCGAGAACTCCCAACTCTTTATCTTATCTCCCGTAATGTATCGTTAATAAATATTCTCTATTTTTATAATTTTAGAAGAGGTATCTGAAACAATGGCATGTGAAAATTCTATATATAAATGTTGTCCAGATGGTGTTACAGCAGCTACAGGCCCCTCATATAGAGGCTGTACAAGAGGATGTCGGGTAAGATTATCCCATATTGCATGATCGACTGGTGGCCCAGTAAGTTGGGCGCTAGCTAGTTAAACATGAGGTCCCAGGTTCTATCCTGATGGTAACTAGAAAATTTCCATAGGAGTGGTTTCCCTTTGTCATTTCTGCTGTATGGAGGGCCTTGCAAAAACCATTGAAAAAAAAAAACGAGGTCCTGTGTACACACTGGCATGCAAATAAAAGAACCCACAAACCCTAAGATGGACCAGTAAAATACTTAAAATGCATTAAAAATGTCAAATTATAATAATTTGGCTGCTCTATCTTAGTTTGGTACATATCCTATGTACAGTAGGAAGAATTCCTTATTTATTTTACTAATTAAAGTCAATGCTATATCAGGTCAGTCTTTATTTCATACAGTTATTAGTATTGGTTTATTTCAGGAATCAGATTATGGTTGTTGTGATGATGGTGTTACAGCTGCTCAAGGTAAAAATAATCAAATCATTTCTCATGTAGACAGCATACTTCAGCCCTAATATTGTACCATCTTGGATACTGAAGCAGATTGGGTACTTGAGCGATAGGGTACTGAAGCAGATAGGGTACCAGAGTAGATAGGGTAATGGAGGAATAGGGTATCGGAGTTGATGGGGTACTGGAGTGATAGGGTACTGGATCAGATAGGGTACTGTAGCAATGGGGTACTGAATCAGATAGTGTACTGGAGCAGATAGGGTATTTAAGCGGAAAGGGTACCAGAGTAAATCGGGTACTGGAGCGATAGGGTTCTGGAGTGGATACGGTACAGGAGTGGATACGGTACTGTAGTGGATATGGTACTGTAGCGGATACAGTACTGAAGTGGATAGTGTACTGGAGCGAATAGGGTACTTGATTATGCCTTGATTTTGAATCTTGATGCAGGTTCAACAGAACCTTCAGCCATTTCCAAGTGCATGTCCTACCTTTCAGGGTGAGAGTGCACACTTAAGGTGACATGATAAGTGTTCTCAGTTTTGAGGAGAAGAACCTACACATCTGACAAGGAAAGGTTTGATGTAAGAAAGGTTCGAATGAAACAATAACCCAGGTCTACTCATGTACCCAATGGCTTGCATGTAAAAGAACCCTTGATATATAGCTGGAAACTGATTAAAAAAATCCAGGCAAAATTTACAACTCAAGCATTGCATACGTAATGATAAAAAACAATTAGTACCAGATGATCGTAGATTTGTGTTGACAAAAAATTATAGTGGCCTACTCTTATTTCAAATTACAACTGTCAAGGGTTCTTTTATGTGCATGCCAATGTGTACACAGGACCTTAGTTTTTTGTCCTATCAGAAAGACTATACGATGTCCCTTGCCAGCGTAATATCCACTGAGCCACTGAAGTAATGTTGTATACTTTTAGGACCCAATGAAGAAGGCTGTGAGATTGTATCATCAGGTGACGAACCGTGTGAGGAGACGTTCTTTGGATGCTGTAATGATGGTGTCACCACTGCTTTAAGTGCAGATAAACGTGGTTGTTTAGATTATTTACCAGAAATACAGCCTACAGTTGAAGAAACAGTTAAAATACTTGAAGGTATGTACTTTAGTAATGACACAACTGTAGGTAGGTACGTGTGTTGGGGAACTGGACTCTTGAACCAAATGTCATAGTGTCTATTCCTGGTGTGGGCTGAAAGGGTACTAAACTCTACTTTGGGTGTGAATAGATTCACATTAAAGACAGATTGTACTTTACACATTAAAATTACAGGTTGCCATGGTTTTGTTTATTTTTATGATTCTGTGGATGTTTGTACATTAAAGTTACAGGTTACCATGGTTTTGTTCATTTTTATGATTCTTTTGATGTATATACATTAAAGTTATAGGTTGCCATGGTTATATAATGGTTTTTTATGATTCTATAGATGTATGTACGCTAAAGAAAGATTATGGTGAGCGATGTAATAACACTATACGATGGTATTATAATGATGAGGAGAAAAGATGCAAGAGATTCTGGTACGGTGGATGCGCTGGTAACGATAATAATTTTATGAATGACCAAGAATGTAAGTCAGAGTGTGTGATGAAAAGAGAAACACGAACTCGACCTCGACCAATCCCAACACCAGCTCCAACACCAGCACCAACACCAGCACCAACACAAGCTCCTTCATCAGGTAACGTCTACTTTCAGTTTTCTAAATTCAATGAGAATGGTGAATTCTGCATTGGCATTTTATATTCTCAATTGTTGATCCTAATTGCATTACTTTACATTCAAAAACATACAAACTAATATGAAAAATATATTTGTTACCAGAAACATTAGATTTTATCCAGATGCTTTATGGAGAAACCCTTATGCTCTACATTGACTTATATATGGCGGTGTTTCTTAGAACAGATGACCGTCTGCTTAACTGGATGTGACAGCTTTTAGCATTATTCCAATCTTTATAAATATTTTTAGATCTTTGTATGCATAAAAACTATATATTTAACTGGTTTTATTGTGTTCCAAGTTAGATTATTTGATTTCTAATTTGATGGCATTTAAATTGACTGACTTGTAAGTTTTTTCAATCTCCAGCCAATCAATTTCACTGTCAGCAAATGTGGCTGAAACAAGAGCCTTGTTTTGAGGATACTTTAGATATATTTTGAACGTTAATTTTACTATAATCCTGGTTATGATATTTCCACAGATCCGTGTCAACAGCCCCGTGTCGTTGGGCGATGTCGAGCGTCCATTGATCGATACTACTATGATCAACGAGATGGACGATGTCATATTTTCCAATATGGTGGATGCTCTGGAAACGATAATAATTTTGTTACCCAGGAAGAATGTGAGAATCGATGCAATGTTTATTCGTTGACGACGGCACTTCCGATGACGACTGTAGCTCCAATATTTTATACAACATTACCCGCCCCAACTCCTCGACCCCAAGTTGTAGACGCTGGAGAAGCGGCCGGTATGTAAATAACTTTAACATGTATAGTAGACCTGGTTATTCAAACTCTTACAAAACATGACATTTAGAAAGTTAAACCGAAACTTGGATATTACTAATGGCATGACTTTCTGGCCCATCTGAATGACTTAACACTTTCCCTGCCAGGCCTTCCAACCTGCAACACTGACAAAGGGAAATCAAGCTGGAAAATCCTGAGGAACTTTATCAACAAACACCCCCGGGGTAATGAGCCAGTGCCTTACTCACTGAGCTCAGGCAGCTCCCAGAATTCAAGAGCAAGTGCATGGGTGGTGTCGCTTGTGCAACCTATTGGGTTTTCTCCTGGTCCTCCGGTTTTCTCCCACTGCTAAAATACGGGTTGGCATATTCTACTTGCAAAAGTGGGGGGTTGGGTGGTCGATTGGCTATCACATGTGCGTTGGATCATAAGGTCTGTCTGTCAAGTGATGTGGTTTCAATTCCCCGCTTGTACGTGACAAGGGTTAGGGTCGCCAGTCAGTTGTTTTTTTTCCTGGTCCTGCAGTTTTCTCCCACTGCTAAAGACCCCTACGTGCAAGCAAATTATTGAAATAAAATTCAACCATATGTTAGTCCCAAAATGTTGAGTTTACATTTAACCCCATTTTTCTCTCTTGTGTTATGGGCAGTTTCATGCGTTCCAAGTGCTAAAGACTTAATGTTGTTGTTTTTTGTTTATTCATAGTTGTATTAACTGGAACAGAATACGTTCAGATCGGCACAGCATTACGTTTAGCATGTCGAGCTACTGGTGGCGACCCCATCACCTATAACGTCATGTGGTACAAAGATCGTAAGGTGATTAAACGTGGAGATGATGATCAGCTTGTTATTAATACACAGAGAATGGCAGACGGTCGTGGTGTACTCAGTGAATTAACGGTACAGTATGGACGACAAGAGGATGCTGGAACATATATTTGCCGTGGTTATCCTCACGGTAATCTGAAATCTCTACGAGTTCATGTTCAACAAGGTAAATCAAAACTTTTAAAATTTATATAAAAATACAAAACTATTGATAAATATTGACGAATCAAGAATCTCAAACCTTTTTGGCTTGACTGGGTAACTGTTTCCAGAAAGGTCTGTTCATTGAGTTAAGTACCATGGCGTCACCATTTGTACGTGACAAGGAGTAAGGTCGCCTATCCAACCTCATGGGTTATCTCCAGGTTCTCCAGTTTACTCCAACTGCTAAAGACCCCTACGCGCAAGCACATTATTGAAATGAAATTGAACAATAATATGTTAGTCTCAAAATGACATCACAGTTCCAGGATGGATGTGATGATGTCATGTCCGCTTCCTGGTTCAATTAGTAATTACTGAAGAATACTCTTATAAATGCTAAATAATTCTTTTAATGTACAATTTCACTTGTCTTCATTCATAAGACTGGCTAATTATGGGGTGGGGGGTGGGGAGATGGGGGGATGGCAGAATGGTTAGCATGTGTGCGTTGTATCATAAGGTCTGTCATTGAATCAACTGGCGTGGTTTCGATTCTCTGGTTGTACATGACAAGGAGTAGGGTCCCCTGTCCAACCGCATAGGTTTTATCCAGGTCCTCCGGTTTCCTCCCACTGCTAAAGACCCCTACGTGCAAGCGTATTATTTAAATACAATTGAAGCATATATTAGTCCCAAAATGACCTAGTTTGTGTCAAGTGGAAGTTAAATTCTCTCTCTGGCTAACTATTTACCAAAACTCAAGTGGCTATTTATTAAGTGCCAAAAGAAGTAAAAATTAAATTGATCTGGTCTAATATTGAATTTTGCTGGCACGATATATCATTGAATCAATGTATCGCGATTCACTTTTTCACGCATCTCGAGACGCTGAATCGATGTATCGCAATTCTTTTTATGGTTTTTATTGTCGCTTGAGTAAGTAACCTGTCACTCTTAATTATCCACGTCACACATTATCCATAGGTACACAAACACTCTTAAATTGTTTTGGTCCTTAATTTGATCCACATCAATATCCTCATATAAAACAGTTTTATTTCTCTGACATCCGTAGGACTAAAAATATCAATTATTTATTTATCAAGTTGTTTTCTTGGGGAATATTGACCTGATTATGAATTGTGGTATTAATTGTATTGTAGCACCTGAATCGCAATACGTATCAAATCGTGACTGCAGTGGCAATAGCCAGCACTAATATTAAACTATCATCAAATATGATGCAGAAACGTAAACTTGGGGAAATCGTTTTTTTATAATAAATTATTGATAAATTTATTGCCAGATGTGACAGCATATCTAATTCGCTGGTAGCACTTTAAAGTCCTTTATATGGTAATTATTTGACCTCTGACCTGTACATTTTATTTGATATATTCTATTAGGAGTTGTAGAGGAGAAAGTTGAAAAACCAGAGAAAGAGAAACCTGTGATATCTGTGCCTACGAACACATCAGCTACAACCGATCCTAGAGGTAAATACTGTACAATATTGAAGAGTTGGGAGGCAGAGTGGTCTTACGCTTAATTAGATCAAAAGGTCTGTCATTGAATCAAGTGGTGTGGGTTCGATTCCCAGTTGGTACATGACAAGAAGTAGTGTCCACTGTCCAACCTTGTCGGTCTTTTCCAGGTCCTCTGTTTTCCCCCCTACTACTGCTAAAAGAGCGCTATGTGCAAGCTAATTACTGAAATATTAGTTAAATCATAAAGCATATGGCTCTATTTTTTGGAACCTTGAAATAGACAAAAATGGTTCTAAAAGCACATATTAATGTTATGAATGTATGTAAAGTGTTTTATATTCAATTTTTGAAAAAAAATATTGTAATTTCTAATGAATTCTGTTCGGTGAAATATGTGAACAGTTCAACGCAACAGTGGTTTGATCTATAGATATGAGACGAATCAACACAAAGAAATAAACAATTTTATTTCTGTTTCAAATTAAAGTGGTCTAGCTGCTTTAATATTTTAATGTCTTAACATATTTTATGTTTTATAGTTGTGTGTCTACAGCCAGCACAGAGCGGTAATTGTTATGCTAACTTTCCTAGATGGCACTACGATCATTTAGACGGACGATGTAAACAGTTTACCTATGGCGGATGTGGACCTAATGAAAATAATTTTGAAACAGAAACAGATTGTCAAAACTACTGTAGACCTGAACGTAAGTTTCTTTCAGGAGCGGGGTGTAGGTGGTAAAATTACCTGAGAATAGTCTTTTCTATAAAATGTGTGAATTATAGGCCCCTATTTCATTTATAGTCTTTTCTTTAAAACGTGTGAATTGTAGGCACTTATTTTTATTTGAATAGTTCATCAGGATTTTTCAATGTGGTTTCCCCTTGTCGGTGTTGCAGGACGGAGGGCCTGCCAAGGACATTTGTCCAGTCAATCGGATGGGATGAAACACCAAGGTCCAGTGTACACATTGGCATGCACGTAAAAGGTCTCTTGGTAGTTGGAATTCAGATGTAATGCCACTGTTTGGGCAAAATTTCCCTCATAGCACACTGTATGGCTTCAGAGCAGAACAGTAGGATGTGTACATGGGACCTCGGTTTTTCATACCATCCGAACGACTAGACAGCTGTCCTTGTCACGAGTGGGTTTAATTACATCTTTAAAATGATGTTTAATACGAATCATAATTACCAGTACAACAACTGACTTCCACTTTTCTGCCAAATTCAGGTCAAATAAAGGGTCCGATGGATGTATTTGTCCGGGAGGCCATTTCAGAAGGGCCTTGGTTCGATATGATTCCGATCGTTTTTACCTGAAATTGATTGTTCCACAGAAAGCTTATACAATTTGCTACCAGATGGTGCCATTAACTGGAGTTCGTTGAAAAAGTGACTTAGATCGTTCTTCTGCGGGGCTTTTCAATCGATTTCCAAAATAAACCAGTTGTCTTATTTTTAATTGATGTTAAATTCCATAATTTTCATTGATATCCTTGTTTTACTTTTAGTGATCTGTCGAATGTCAGCTCAGAGAGGTAAATGTCGAGCAAATATTGAGAGATTTTTCTATGATGTCACGGCCAGAAATTGTCGTTCATTTTCATACGGAGGCTGTGATGGCAATCTGAATAACTTTAAATCATTAGAGGCTTGCAGTCGATTCTGTGGTCGCAGAGACACCGGAACAGAGACAGGAACTGGAACACGACCTCAGGCTGGATCGGATGTTTGCCGTCTGTCTCGTGATGGAGGAAACTGTAAAGGTTACGAAATCTTGTGGTATTACGAGGAGACCTATGAGAGATGTACAAGATTTATTTACACCGGTTGTGGTGGCAATGATAATCGTTTTGCTACGGAAACAGAATGTAGTGAAAGATGTGAACGTGAGATGACAACTGTTTCTCCAATCACTAGAGCTCCCATAACCAGGGCACCTGTAACTAGGGCACCCATAACCAGGGCACCTGTAACTAGGGCACCCGTAACCAGGGCACCAGTAACCAGGGCTCCAGTAACCAGGACTCCTGTTACCAGGGCTCCCATCACAAGGGCACCAATAGTTGTAACTGAAGGATCTAATTTAGGTAAATACTCGTTTCTAATTTAGAAGTATTTTCTTACACTTGGTCATGGTAACATTTTATTATACACTTGGTTCAGGCAGCACATAATTATACATCTGGTCCAGGCAGCACTAAATTCAAAACTTGGACCCGGTAGCACTTTATTATACACTCAGTCTATGCAACATTAGATTATGAATCTGGTCTAGGCAGCACTTTATTTTGTCACTTGACTCGGGTAGCACTTTTTGTTTTGTCATCAAGTATTGGTAGAAATAGGTTGTAGAACTTTCTGTCACAATTATTAAAATGGTGGTTTTATATGTGGGTTCATGCATAAACCTGACGATCCATTGCAAAGTCAATATAAAATATGGCAGCTAGTAAATTGTCATTTATGAAATATTCAGTTTTAAAGGAGTTAAATCTCTTTTATTCAGAATACAATTTATCAGTTGTTGTGTTATAATTTGTTATTTCGATTCATTTCAAAAAATTAAATAGAAGTTGGCTTGTTTACTCTATTTTGTTTACATTTTCTTTTATTGATTTCGGGATCGTCACTGGCTTTAGTAATGGACGTAAAATTTTGACAAAGATATATTGTCTTCCAACAAAATTCAAGGAAATCAATAATTATCTTTTTTGACCGAGAAGAAATATATATCTAGCCATTTTAAACACTGCTTGTGGATGATCAGGTTTATGCATTATTTTAATCTATTTATATTTTTAGTATTATTTTAATTTGGGCTATTTGTAGTTTAAATACTTTTAAAGCACCAATAGTCTTGTTCACGATAAATTATATCCCATTGTATGGTTACACATTTATAGGAACGCTAGTTTTTCCTGGTTATACATATATAGGAACGCCAGTTTTTCCTGGTTACACGTATATAGGAGGACAGGTTTTTCCTGGTTACATATATATATAGAAATGCCAGTTTTTCCTGGTTACACATATATAGGAGCGCCAGTTTTTCCTGGTTGCACATACAAGCATCAGTTGCTGGAGCAGTTAAGCCATTGATAATCATTTGTAGGATTTTTAATCCCTTGCAAAAATAGAATCTCTAAAAGGAATAGCAATCCAAAAGTATTAACAAAGATACATTGAATTGATTATGAAAGATTTTGCAACATTCTCAACAATGATGCAAGTTCTAAAATATTATAAGAGATGCTGGCGTTTTATTGGCTACTGTTCTCATGGCTATCACTGAGTTTAACTTAAATAACACAATGAGATATATTTATGCGTAAACAGGACTATTTTTTATTTTCTTTTATTTTCTTCACCTGTAGTTCATTTTAGCACTTATTAATATAAATTATAGCAACATGTACGTTAGCCAGAGATCGGGGACGTCTGTGTGGTAATTGGACGATTTTATGGTATTTTAACACGGAACGCCAACGATGTGAAAGATTCTACTATGGTCAGTGCGGGGGAAACGCCAATCGTTTTGAAACCCAGGCGGCATGTAGGGCTGAGTGTTTAACACCCACAACACAAGGTACATAACTCTAAAATAACTTGGCTTGCTGCAACAGTTGAGTGGACCTTATGCATGACACTGGTTTGTATTTGCACAGTGATGGAACAAGTGATGCAAGCTTGTGTTAGCCAAGATCATAAAAAAAATAATTCTTTAAGTTAGGATTATGTCGTCCTTATGATGAGTTATCTGCGATTGGGCAGGACCAAGAAAAATGTTGTAATTCTTTAAGCCAGGATTATGTCAATCTTAATTTAAGTAACAATTAGTTTTACCTAGGGTATCTGCGATTAACTAGAACCAAAATAAACTGTTTAATTGGAACAACCCTAACATGAGTCCATCGGAACAATCCTGCAATTAACTAGAACCAAAATAAACTGATTATTCGGAACAACCCTGCTAACATGAGTCCATCAGAACAACTGGAACTGCTTTACCAAATGCGGCCTGCCAGACCCTTACACTACATCTGAACATTTATAAGTAATTTTATCTTTAAATGAAATAAAAAATCAAAATTGCTTATTGTTAGGCCCAAACTCTAAACAGACGTTACTTTCTGTAGGATCAATAATCTTTGTAGGTCTATTTATAGCTTGCAGCGTCACTCAGTGACATAGTTGCCTAAATTTATGTCACTTGACTTGGGCCTATAATCCTTGTTTGGCCCTCGCTTTGTTTCAAAACTTTGTGTTTGGCCCTTCACCTAAAACATTTGACCACCTCTTAGACAATTTTTTTTTTGTTCTAAATATTTGACTCCATCAAGATTTTATTGATGTTGTAAATACAAACAAATTTTAATGCTTTTTATTTTCTAGCTATTAGTGGGTAGAATATAGATATGCTTCACCCATATCCGTCTGTCTAAAAAAAAATTGTAAATGCTCTACAAATTTGTTTTTTCAAATTTGATGGTAATTATCAACTAAGCATGAGGAGATGCCCTACTGATATTCAGATTTAAGCATCAATTTAATTTGCAGTTATTGCCCCTGTCACTAAAATCTTATGAACACTCTAGCTCAGGGTTTTCGAGAACTTTTGTATTTGTTTGGCTAGTCATGTGGAGATCCCCTGTTGATATTCAGATTTAAGCATCAATTTAATTTGCAGTTATTGCCCCTGTCACTAAAATCTTATGAACAATCTTAAGGTCAGGGTTTTTGAGAACTTTTGTATTTGTTTGGCTAGTCATGTGGCAGAGCCATATCAAAAACTTCCCAAATTTTCTCAGATAAAAGTTTGAAAACCTCATTTCTGAAATTAGTTGACTACCAAAATAATGTCTGTTTAAATTTTATGATGTTACTAGCTTGATATCCGGCTTCACAAAATTTCAGCAATGGCCCAATACGGCCGGGGCCCCAATAATTCGCTAGGGGCCCAATTCACCTGGGCCTAAATTCGCCTAGGGCCAGGACCCAAATTCGATATACTAAAACATTCACGGGAGCATGCTGGTTAATTTGTTATGACATATATGTAGGGGTGGATCAAGGCAACAGTGTAATGGGCGAATACATGTTGCATGCCTAACAATTAGTGTGATTAAAGGTTGATTATTGACAACAAGTTATTCCGACTGGCATAAACTTAATGCCACTAGTTTATAGAAAGTTATTACTCTTGTTATCAAAACCTTTAGCGTTTTTTAGATGAAGTTGTTTTTTAGTTTGAGCAACTTCCTACGAACCCTTGCTGCTGATCAAAGTATAAAAATACTTTCATATAAAATGGACTAGCTTGTAGAATTATTATTACTATATTTGTCTAAGACATATAAAAATGGAAGTGTAAATTCAGTAGAAATCATTGCAATATAAGTTAATCCAAGAAGCAAGTGTTTTTAATAATCTTACTGTGAATTTATTTATTTAAGCTCCAACTACTACAACCACAAGACGACCATATGTTACTAGGAGACCAATATTACCAGGCGTTACTAGGAGACCGATATTACCAGGCGTTACTAGGAGACCTATATTACCAGGTGTTACTAGGCAACCAGTGTTACCAGGTGTATCTAGGAGACGGGGTGATTGTCGTTACTCTACGTTTGGTTGTTGTGGTGATGGTCAAACTCCTGCTTCAGATACTCTTAAAACAAATTGTTATGGTAAGATATTGTAACTAGCAAATATTATTTACTAATTTGCATATTTCTGAAAAAAATCTAATTTTCCACGAGTGTCTGTACTCAAGGGAGCTAATTGTAGACAAATAGCATTAGTTTATTATGACATAGTACCAACCAAATGACTTCTTTAAGAATGAAACTAAATTTATTATTTCAGACGAACCAAATGTAATTGAGCGACAAGCTGATGGTAATTATAAAATATTCACAAGTGCCGGTCGTCGGGTTTCGTTCAATTGTCAGTTACAGGAAACTAACCCAGGACGAGTTCAGTGGTTTAAACAAAGGTTCGTTATACAACATTTCTCATTCAGTAGCAATAATTGTTGTGATTTTTTATTTTAAGGTGGGGGTGGGGGGAGAGGTGGTAGGGTCAAGTGATCGAGTGCATGCAGTTTAGATGGAAATATTTTATCATTGAATCAAATGTTGTGGTTTCGGTCCCAGGCTTGGGTAATCAGTCTTACCACTGTTGAATACCCACTGAAATTATGATTTCCCCAAAATAACCTAGGTTGTGTTGAGTGGATGTCAATCTGATCAACTACAGATCTGTATTTCGTTTTGGTTTTTTAATACTTTCGATGACCTCCACTACATGAAGATCTGACCGGTTGCAGTGGGAGGTCGCGTCAGGGGTCAAATCAGAGGCTTTTGAGTCAGACATAAAATTAACCAATCAGAGTTGATGTTTCTAGGGAGATACCCACAGTTCTGTGCATCGCATGCCAAGAACTCGCTGCAAAAGACTATTTCATTAGCTAATCCCTCACATCAACCAGAACGTAGGTTATATAACAACTCTTCCGGATCCTAGTATGGTAAAGACAAGTAAAACAAGATTTTGAACTATAAAAAACAAATAATTGTGTTTTAATCAGACTGAGTGGATGTGAAACCCCAATTCTATTTCTCTCTCTCTTGTGCATTGTTATTCTTTGTGTATTCATTAGAATAATTGACATAAAAATAAACACAACAATTCTATGGATAACAATTACTGTATTTTTATCGGAGCTATGTTTCAACAATGATTCTCTTGTCGTTTTCAAGAACAATACAGATACAGTGAGATGGAACAAAATATATACTTGACCTTTCAAAATGGGGGGGGTCACGGCAGCTAAGTGTGTAAGACGCTGGCTCGCTAGCCTGGAGGTCAGGTGTTCGATCCCTGCATTGGCCGATAAAGTTCGTCCAGATCTTCCGGCATGATTCCCCACTTGGCAGTGATACAGGACGGAGAGCCTTTGAAGGACAGCTGTCTAGTCATTCGGATGTGACGAAAAACCGAGGTCCAGTGTACACATTGGCGTGCACATAAAAGATCCCTTGACAGTTGGAATTCGATATAGGAGTAGGCCGTAGTACCGCTGTCAGGGTCAAATTTCCCTTGTAGCACACTTTATGGCGTATGCCCGTCTTCATTAGCCCAGTTCGGAGCAGAACAGTAGGACGTTAAACGCCATTTCATTTCATGTCATTTCGCTTAAAAATGAGCAATTGTTAATGATATTGATCTTGGATTTCATTCCAGTATAGAGATAGATATAAAATACATATCATGGAATTTAGGCTATGGTAGAGTTAAACTTCTAGGAGTTAAACCTGATTCGTTTTTTAAAAAAAAAACAACTCTGAGATGGATAATGGCCAAAGACTGTCCATTATGTAAATAGAAAGAACAATTGAGGGGCGTTAGTTTAGTTTTCTAGAAGAACAAGCCACAAAAAATAATGGATAAATTCTTAAAACAACATGCACATGCACATGAATGCAAGTATACACAGACAGTCCAAAATATTCATTTAGCAACATATCTTCAGAATAAATTATCCCAGAATTTGTCCATTATTTTAAATTGATAATGGACAGTTTTATAAATAATAGACGGTTGTTTACAAAAAGTGTACATAAAACATCAAAGGGTGACGTCATATCTATGTTTTAAGAAAAGTTACACACCCAGTAAAGTATATTATTAATTGCTTGAGTTTTCTTTATTTCAGATTCCCTGTTATAACTGGACTTAATTTCGTAGATTACAGAAATGGTACGCTGGTCATCAATGCTGTGACGGAAGAAGATAACGGAGAATATTCCTGTCAGATTGGAGAAGGAAATAACGTACCTCTCGTACAAAGTTTTGTCTTGCAAGTTCGAAGTAAGTTTATAATTTGATCAGTAAATTTTAAGATCATTGATCCTTTATGATTCAGAAAGGTATGGGTGGCTTTATGTTCCTTCACAATCCAGGAATAGATGGACAACTTAGGAATGGATGATGGAGAACCCAGCCCCTTCTTGATCTAGGAATAGATGAGTAACTTATCCATAAATAGATGGGTAACTTGGCCCCTTTATGTTCTAGGAATAGATAATTAACTTAGTCCTCTAATGATCCATGGCTCATTTTTGAAACTGCCTGTAAATACTGATCGAGTCGTAGAACTAGTATATATGGTGCTTAATAGTTTGTACTTTTTAGCCAGATACCAGAATTGCTTCTCTAAAGATTGTGGTAAACTTCAGGCAATACGGTCAATAATCTTCCATTCCCTTTAATATTATCAGAATTGAACAAGAAATATTATGTAGCATACCATGCCATATATGCAGAATAATACCGGTATTTATGAAAAAAAAAACGGGAATGCCTGCTCAATGTTTTCCAATTTAAGGCAGACTTATGGTCTAGTTGTCTATATCTAACTACTAAAACATTTGTTTAAAGCGGAAATTGCAAATTTTCTAAGAAAGTCAAAACGTAATTATTTCTATGTCTTTTGCTCAATAGGTTGTCAACTCACAATTATACGATCATAGGTGTCATTCTCACACTTAAAACTCTCACACTTAAAACTCATTTACACAGGAAATAATAACACAATTACCTCGCAATTACCTCCCTTGTTTTCTATTCTCCACCATGGAGTAGCTTTTTTCAAACGTTTGAAAATGAAGAGGAAAATGATATTTTTGCCAATTTCTCAGCTGGCAATAGTGAATTATAGGACTGTTTATGGATACCATCTATTTTCAGGCTTTATTTTAATAAATTTTAAAAATATAACTTAAAAATTTGCAATTTCTGCTTTAACGATTTTCAGGTAGCATGTCATGCATCGTGTTGAATATGACTAATTCATTCAAAATAAAATGTTGCTTGCAAGTTTTAATTTTAATAACATGAACCCTTGTAATTATTTTCTTGTCTTGTATATGATGTCATCAAGGTGTAGTCAGACAATCTGTAAACTAGATTCGTAGGTGATAATTGGAATAAGTCCATATTTTTTACTCAACGTCAACACAATACTTCTATTGGACTAACATAGAATGCTAGGCAAATGAATTTTGCTCAGACAGTGGTGTTTCCAATTACTGTTGAATGAACTGTCAAGGGTTCTTTCATTGGCATGTCAATGTGTACACGAATGGACTCATCCCACCTTAATAACTAGGCAACACAGTAACATTACGGTTGTCAGCCCAACAGGTGCCACCCTGACAGGGGGGATTGGTTGGCCGAATGGTTTAATGCATGTGAGTGACGTCAAGTGGTGTGGGTTTCGATTCCCCACTTGAATGTGACAAGGAGTAGGGTTGTTTGTTTAACATTGTGGGTTTTCTCTGGGTCCTCCGGTTTCCTCCCACTGCTAAAGACCTGTACGCGAAAGCATATTATTGGAATAAAATTGAACCATATGTTACTTTTAGTCCCGGAATGGCCTAGTCTGTGTCAAGTGGACGTTAAACTCTATTTCTCTCGCTATCTCTCGCCACCCTGACAACTTAGAACCAGACTTGGAAAATCCTGGCATTCTTCTCGGCTGACATCGGGATACAGACTCGAGACATTCTACTACCCTGATCACTCAACTACAGCTGACAGTCTATTGCCCTGATTACTTAACTACAGCTGACAGTCTACTGCCCTGATTGCTTGACTACAGCTGACAGTCTATTGCCCTGATTGCTTGATTACAGCTGACAATACTGTCCTGATTGCTCGACTACAACTGACAGTCTACTACCCAGATTGCTCTACTATAGCTGACAGTCTACTGCTTTAATTGCTCGACTACAGCTGACAGTCTACTGCCGTTATTGCTCAACTACAGCTGACAGTCTACTACGCTGATTGCTTGACTACAGCAAAATATTGATAAAAGTTTTTCCAAGCTGGCTAGCAAACACCTTGATGTAATCATTGTTTTGATTGGTTATTTGTGATTTTGATTTATTTTTTTTTAACACCCCATTGTTCATTTTAAATCAGCTCCACTAAGAATTCTACCAGGTCCAAAAATGATTGCCATCAAACCAGCAGAGAACGCCTTCTTACATTGTCAGGCATATGGGAGTCCAAAACCGAGAGTCACATGGTACCAAGATGGACGCCCAATTAAATCTAAGGGCCGTTACAATGTGTATAATAATGGCACTATGATAATTCTAAGTGCCAAAGCGAAAGATATGGGATATTATGAATGTCGAGCAGAGAATGGTGTAGGCGGAACAACCAGACGTACAATTAAGTTAGAGGTTAGAGGTAAGATGAACGTCTGGATATCCAAGTGTTTTACGTTTCAGGTTCATTGAAATGAATAAGCAGTCTTACAGTACAGGACTTTCCCATGTGACGTACAAGCAGATATGCATGATATGGAATGTTTAATGTCGTTAGAAATTAACTAAATTAACTAATATGTTAACATTGTTATTTTTGTTTTTCTCTTCAAGAATTTGAAAAATGTTGTAATAACTAATTCATTTGAATGGGTTCCTATAATTTATAGGTTTACAGGATAAATAGATATTGGAAATGTTTGTCCAAACTTTAACTAAGCAATCCATGCCACATCCTGATCAGAACCGAACCAAAAATAAAGAATTCAGTGCTGAAATGTGATCAGTTAAGAATTGTGTCAGAATCGAACGACTTTAGCTAATATTGCATTTTGCATGAACAGAATGGTCCCTTAGTCTTTTTATTATGTTCTTTTAAACTGAATGGTCCCTTAACCGTAAGTTGATATTGCAATTTAATATTAACGGAATGGTTCCCCAATCTGTTGATTCTCAAATTTCAAAAATCAACCCTTTGATTCGGGTCTAAAGACAGAAAGGTCCTTTAACCTCCAGCTGATAATTCATTTTAACATTAAACCATGGATGGGCATGCCCCCACTAAATCATGTCATAAAATGTTTCTTTCAAGACTTGGTTCCAAATAACATTTTATTAACAATGAACCCTGATGTCTATTTTATGGTGATGTGACCTTTAACCCTATTTTGCCCTTTGCCCTTTCTAGAAACCGTTACAGCTAGGATTGAGAGACACAGAGGCAAGGTGAACGAAGGAGGTGAAATCCGTCTGAAATGTGTGGTAACTGGGTTCCCACGTCCTGTGGTGTCCTGGAAGAAAGATATGGAGGATCTGGTTGAATCGTCAAATGTTTTTGTTCGGGGAATGGAGGTGATTATACGCCAGGCTACCATTGATGATTCTGGTGTTTATAGATGTGTCGCAGATAATGGTATACAGAGGCAGGAAGCAGTTACAACGATCCAAGTTAAACATGAAGGTAGGTCAACTAGGGGTCAACGGTTATCTGTGTATAAGGTTATGTAGGTCAAATGCAATGAAGGTAGATCAACATAATGTGCATCCCAGAAATGTGGTCTTTAATTATCTTGTCCAACAGACCTGATCTCCTCCCCAACTGGCATGATCTCCTCTCCATCTGACCTGATCTCCCCAACCGATTAGATCTCTTGTCCAACCAGCCTGATCTCCTCCACACCTGTCCTAATCTCTTTTCCAAACAGACTGATCTCCTCCACACCTATTCTAATCTCTTTTCCAACCAGCCTGATCTCCCCAACTGTCCTGGTCTCCAAACCTGACCTGATCTCCCAACTGTCTGATCTCCTCCTCACCTATCCTGATCTCCTCCACAACTGTCCTGATCTCCTCCTTGACCATCCTGATTTCGTCTCCAACCAGCTTGATCTTCCCTTCTGGTCTGATCTCCTCCCCAACCAACCTGTTCTCTTCTCCAACTGGTCTGTCTGGCCTGATCTCACTGATCTCTTCTCCATCTGGTCTGATCTCCTCTCCAACTGGCCCAGTCAGACTGATCTTCTCCACAACTGGCCTGATCTCCTCCACAGCAAGGCTGATCTTTTCCCCTACCAGCCTGACCTCTCCAACTAGGCATATCTCCTCTACAATCCTCCTGATCTCCACCACATCTGGCCTGATCTCCTCCCAAACTGGTCTGATCCGCACACCGAGCCTGATCTCCTCTCCACCGAGCCTGATCTCTCCACCAAGCCGATTACGACTACAACATTCCTGACCTCCTTCCCAACCCAGTCTGATCTCCTACACAAGCAGCCTGATCTCAATGGCCCTGATTTCCTCAATAACCAGCCTAATCCCTCCAGAACTGGTCAAATCTTCCCACCTAGGCTGATCTCCTCCATAACCAGCTTTATCACCTCAACTAGTCTTATCTCCACCACAACCAGCCTGCTCCGTCCAACCAGGCTAAAAATTACCCTTTTCCCATGGTAGCTTTGAAAGACAAACAGATAAAATCAGATATTGTTTTTAATAGAAGGTAAAATGATATTGTTTTTTCACATTTCAGACCAAAGTGAAAAATGTGAGGATTCTGTGAGCGCTATGAATTGTAAACTAATTGTAACAGGTCGTTTGTGTGGACATCGTACATTTAGTAAGATGTGCTGTAAATCGTGTTCTTCCCGCGCATTTTTGTGATGATGTAGCAGTTTATGTGTTGTTGTCATAGTAACTATCTAAGCAATACAAGGTGGCTGACAATGATGTTTTTTTTATTTTTGGTGATGAAAAAAAATGAAAAATGCTTTTGGGGCGGGAAAATTATCACGTCTGCTGCCTACCTCAATCCTCCATTTTGGTGCTCATTTATTGTTTTGTAGATAATGTTTGTAAAAAAAAAGTTAGTTTTAGGAATTTGTTTCGTAGTTTGTGTAGGTTATATTTGAAAGGATAGCGATAGTAATTTAATTGTTATTATTATTATTATTATTATTTATATTTTCTATCTTTTGTATTTTTCACATCTCATTACTTTAAAGAGGCATTAGAACTGGAGATCTTTGCTGGTCTGTTATCGTGAAAAAAAATTTTTTTGAACCAACAAATTTAATAATTGTTTTAGTTGTTCTAGGGTCGATGCTGTTAAAAAATAAACCCTAACTCTCTTTCAATTTGAGTATGTTCAACATGAAACTTGGCATGTTTATATAGTGTGCTCATACGTGTTTTAGTTGCCATGATTTGACCATAAGGTTATATCGGGATAGATCTCTTTCATAGTACAATGGTATTAAAAGTTCTCAAAAATATTAGACACTCGTCTGTAAATTCATCTCAGAGATGTTTCTCAATTAATTGCAGAGGTGTTTCTGAATTCATCACGGAGATGTTTCTTAATTGCTTAAGGAGATGTTTATCAATTGCTCGCTGAGGTATTTGTCATCACAGTTTTCAAAATGTTCAGTGAATGTTCATTATCACTGCTTTGATCTAAATCATCCAGTCCTTCAGAGTTTCGATAATTATCCAAGTCTGTGATTATTTTGAATAATATATTATATGAAATTAATTACATGTACTTGTATTTTCTGGTTAAAAGTTCTAATGTCTTCTTAAACGTGCACCAACATTCATAGTCCTGTCTGCCTCCAAGAAAAATCTCAAATCTGTACCTTTTTTTGTTAAATTAGTTTTTTTTGCAAAGAGATAGAAATAAACTTTTTAATATGTGTATCTAAAGAAACAGATTTTTCTTGGTAGTCATGATACAAGAAGAATATCTATAAATAGATTTTATATACCATGCTGTTAGTAAGTTTATTATTAAGGTTTAAACAATATCTATCTATTTCTATAAACACTGTATGTATTTATATATATACTATCTTATTGTTCATATAAACGTTCAGCAGTGCCCCTTCATATTTTATTCATCCATCTTTTAAAAGACTTCAAATATTTACAAATTCAGAAATATTGTTTCAAAATAAGATATGTATGTTTACAAGTGAATTATATTCTATTGCATTTAAATATTCTCAGGATATATGGCCAGTCCCGATTAGTATTGGAGATATCATCAATTTTTTAACCTCAAATATTTATTAAATCTTTAAAGCCTTTTATCGCCAGAAGATTGCTAACCATTAATATTTTGGTTTTGTTTTCTTAATTAAATGTTAAATTATCAGTTTGAGAACATTTTAGCATGAATTAAGCCTTGACAATATTACACATTGTCAGGAAAATACTATTGAAAATGATAAATTCAGTTTTTTTATGGTTACTTACCCTTTTAGATCATTGATTAAAGAAACGTACTAAATAGCTTACCAGTATCATTGTGCCTTAATCGTTTTATACATATATTATAATGATTTTACATACTTGTCAACAAACAAAACATACATCTTGTATCGAGAAATTAAAATTGTAAAACTTATTGTTGAAATTTAACTTAATAGAATATCTAAAATCATCTTATTTATCTTATAATACCCTTTGCTTTTAATCAAAGTTTTTTTTGTGTTTAGGCTTAAAAAATAAAATATTCTGAAATAGGGGTAAGAAGTAAGGACTGCAGTAGGGAGTGTGTCCCTTAGCTCTGTACACCATCCCCTCTAAGGGCGTGCCATCAATTAAAGGCACAAAATTTACCATTTTAAGGTTCCCAGACTCTTCAATAATATGATATAGAGAGAGCGACCATCCATCATGCCACTATGGCTGAGCAACTTTCTCAGTGTCGTCACATGATGTCAGTGTTATTTCAATGTGACCTGCCATATTGTATTTTTGAAAATTTTAACATTCTAGCTGGTATAGATTTTCTGTTTTAAAGTAGTTGGTGTAGTGTTTGGTATTTATCAAATCTAAATATTTAAACATTCTTTTAGTTCATAGAAATTAATTATTTTCTGTTTTGTATGTAAAGCTCACACAGATATTTGAATATTCAAATTTGAATACTGTTTTAAGTCCGTTCAAACTGTTTGGGGTTTTTTTAGCATTCATTATTCAGTGTCAATTACGATTAATAGAATTTTTAATCTGTTTTTTCTTCTGGGATGAAATATTTACTACCATAATATTAATTAAATAAAATCAACTATAGTTATTTTAAGAATTTCTAATGTATAAACATATAAAATTATATAAAAAATAGTTTAAGTGAATTGAAAATATTTGAATAGTGTTTGAATAATAACTGAGAGAATATTCAAATATTGGAATAATAACTTCAAATAGCATTCAAATTTTACTTCAACTAGCATTTGAATTATTGCTTAAAATACTTGAATATCATTTGAATAATGACTATTCATATAACTTGGAGGATTTTCAAATAGCATTTGAATTTACCTTCAAATAGCATTTGAATAATAACTTTAGCATTGAAATAATTTGATAATCCGCCTGTGTTGTTTTGTTTGTAACCTAGATCAACTAGATACAAGGGGGTTAATATAGAAGTACAATTGAATGTAAACTGAGAAGTGTTAATGGGTGTTCTTGAGTAAGCACATCCTCCATTGTACTATAAATAGATATGATGTCATTATAGTTCATTTCTTTTTTTTTATACTGAATATTTTTTGTCTAGAATAAAGTGTAAATAAACTTTTTCTAAATTCTATTTTTTTGTCTTTTGTGATTTTGTTCTTTTCCTGGGCATTCACTTCACAATTTTGTCAGTCAATTTGTCGGGTATTACATCACAGTCAATATACAAAAAGAACATTATCTCAATTTAAAAATCACTATTTAAAGATTTTTACATCGATTTAAATTTCTTTTAACTGACATGTAAATTCTTTAGCCTGGTAAATTCCAGGCCATTTAGACAAGACTGGAAAATAGGACTAAACAATTCTGATTAATTACCTTCAAAGCTACATACCTGAGAAATTTGGTTGAAATCCAGAGCTTTGGGACCAGGGAACAAACTAATGCCAATGGTTTAACTTTATCATTAGGGTTTTCTCTTTAATCAATAGGGTTCTTTCTTTCACTGCGGGGTGGGGGTAGATGACCGAATGGTTAGCGCGTGCGTGTTGCATCTTAAGGTCTGTCACTGAGTCAACTGGCGTGGTTTTGGTCCCTACTTGAACGTGACAAGGAGAAGGGTGACAAGGGTCGCCTGTCCAACCTCGTGAGTTTTCTCCCACACCAAAGACCCCTACCCCGCAATTACACTCCAAGGGGGATAACTAGGGAAATGATTGTCTCAAATTATTGAAATTGGTTTAGATATCCACTCTATACGAGCTAGGTCATTTCAGGAATAGCATATCACATAATTTTATTTCGCCATTTGACTCAAATGATCGAACTGATGCTTTAAAATTATGATCAAACGCCTACACAGTACACCACTTGACTCAACCACCCACTCTCCTGTCAGCGCAAGAACTTGCAAAACTTTTTATTTTATGACAATATACCTGCACATTATATGTTTTGGGAATGGGGGAGGGGGTAAATTTCTGTCGGATTCCAACTTGCCCCGAGTTCACAAAACATTCTCAGATTTAAGTTACTCAAAATTTTTCGTCTTATTTCAACTATAAAACTTTTGTTGTATTAATGTATCAAATACATCAATACGAATCTTACGTGCAAAATTTTGTGTTTCTGGATCAGATATTTCTCATAAACAGTGATTGAAAGTTGAGTAAATTCTTAATTTAAGTCTGAGAATGCTTTGTGAACTCGGGGCCAAAATGTTCTGGACATACCGGTCTTCAGAGTGTCATGCCAAAGCCTACAGACAGCATCAGTAAGTCTGGTTGATAAACAGAGCAAATATTTAATTATTTTGAAAATGTCTGAATCTGTCCAATCTCTTGAATTAAATTTCTTTTGACAAAGGAAAGAGTAATGGGGATTAACAACCGTTCGACACAAAATAGGTCATTTTGGGACTATCATTTTGTATTTTTATTTCAATGATTTCCTAGAGCATATGGGTCTTTATAACTGGCAAGCAAACCTATTATTTTGCTGACCCGGTATCAGACAACTATTGTCATTTCATATGGTATGAGACAACTAATATTAGTAATATCATTTCTTATGACATCTGGTATCAGACCACTAATGTCATTTCACTAATCAGATTGAATCTAACACAATATTAATTGTTTTCATTTAAATTTTTATTATTTAGCTGTTTTTATTTACAATTTACACACAATTAACAGTCTCCCTTGCTGATCTCCCTTTATACAATAACACAGTACAGTTACTTCCCTTTACACAATTAATACATAGCACACTTATTTCCAACTTTTATCAAGACATATGTTTATTGTTAATGACTGTAAAATATGGTATTCACCAGTAAATATGTAGTATGTACAACATACAATTAATCAGTGGTAAAGCTGCGCTGGAATTACATTCTATATCTGGTAATTTCAAGTTACCAACTTTCTAATATGGAGTTTATTGTCTTACTTTTGTACGCTAACCTCGCTAGCGAGAAGGGCATACACTATGAGGGTAATTTTGCCCTGAAAGTCACTTTTCCATTTACATTACATGCACACCAACATGACCTCGGTTAGACAGTGTCTGACATTATGAACCTGAGGAACTAATCGTTAAATTGATTTGGCATTATTACTGAGCATCAATTGGTTTAGGATTGATTATGAATCCTAGTTATAAACAAAAGTTGTATTTTATAGAAAAGTAGATTTCCCGGTTTAATATTAAATGGCATGGAAACAATCTGATTAGGCTTGCATAAATAATAACAGTTAAAGCATCAGATTCTATTTCTGTAATGGACATTGTTCTTAAAAGGTTATTTCAGCAGCCCTATGCATAAACAAGTTATAACAGAAGAATGAGACCATCACGTTCTTGGTGAATCAACAATTATACATAAACAAAGAAACTATATGTATTATTATTATCATTGTAACAACAAAGTAACCATAGAAACCAGAAAACCAACAGCTTTAAAACTTTTTCCCAAAATATAGGCAGAATGTTTCCATTTCAATACTCTTGGATATAGTGAAAATACCATTATTTTTGTTTCAAATGTTAATTAATCAGCAGAGTTAAGTCTTTTGCGAATTCTTGGCCGAAACTCAGTAGCAAGAAAATAAAACAATGGATGACAATGGTGGACAAAAGGGATTTTTTTTGTGACCAATATTGCGTAGTTGTAAAATATATTCTTAAAGTTTTAAAGCACTTGATTCCGTTTCTTACAAAATAACTATAACTACTGTTCATACATACATACAATAATGAATATATAATATATAATAATAATATATCATCCAGTCTTAAATAACTTACGCTTCAAATAAATTATATTATATACTTACTGGATAACCTTTCACACACACGCACAATAGATCTTATAATCCAGACAGATACATTCATAACACCGAGTCTGTGTAACTCTCAATATAAAATAGGCAGTGTTATCAAGGGAAATAACTTAACACTCATCATGGGAGGATAACTCTCGTCTTTGGAGAAACAGAGATTAGATCATATCCTACTCATCCTAATAATCTATACAATCATTACAGTGTGTGTGGTTGAGCAGGATAGGATTTAAAGATTCCTAAACGATCATAAACGCCAAGAAATGAATAGAAAATAAAAAAAGAAAAAATAACAAATGAGTTTTAAAAAATGTTCTTTTCTTCGGATTAAAAATCTTTTGATGAAAGATGAAGTGATGAATTATGAGAGAAGGTCAAAGGTTAAAATCGACATCGACCAATCAAAAGTTACGACACGTCGCACACACATTTAACGTCAACTAGCTGTATGTATTATCCGTGGAAGTCACTATTATGATTCAATTTCTTTAGACATATTTTTTCTCGACGTTCAATCGCATATATATGTACTCTTTCGGAAAATCACATCATTCAGCCAATCAGAGTCGGTGACACTTCTGTTTACCAATCAGAATGCAGAAGACATTTTGAGCAGAACTCGGCCAGCCCCAGCTGTTGATATATTACTGTTTACCCACAATGCTAAGTATTGTGATCATGTGACCCCAATCCAGCCATTGTCCGTGAGGAAACTCATAATTTTACGTCGATGCGTTTTGTCCATACCGTTTGGATATCGAATCTTGACAGGTAAACCTTGGCGTCGCTGTAAATAATCCTACAAATATACAAGAAGGTAAGTTAAAACAATGGGGTTTAACATTTTGTTAATAATACGGAACTTATCTACTCGCACATACGAACAAAAGCTTGAAATGTGCCTTTGAATCAATTATTATCCAGCTCTTGCAGTTTATTTCTAATCGAGCTAAGATTGAATTCATGAAAACTAAAATATTTTAAGAATGCTGATTGTTGATTGGTTGAGCGCTAAAGTCAGACCATAAATGTTAGCTCTCAACTAATGAAAATGCTGCTTTCATAAAATATTTTAGTTTTAAGTTTTCTTGATTATGGCCCCTCCATTAGACAGATTTAGCTGTTACAATAAAGCAAAAGTAGAATATTTACCTTTATAATACAAGTTTTAATTGTCATATAATTGGCTGGTGACATGCCTATAGAAATACACAGCTGAAATATAAAATACATGTCTATTATATCTTTTATTCATATAAATTTACATAACATTGTTTCTGCTAAATTCTATGTGGAATTCTTTTACCTGCAGTACAACCTTTATGAGAATTAGGCTTAAAAGTCTGCTCAACACACAGGAGGACCCAGAGACAACCCATAAGGTTAGACAGGCCTTAGTCCTTGTAACGTACATGTCTTGGGGTCAAAATCATGCCACGTGACTCAGTAACGAAACTTGTGATTTAAAATCATGTTTTAGATCAATTGGCCACCCACCCCATTACACATCACAGCACAACATCCCCAAATACGTCACAAACGTAAGTTGAAACACAGCTGACGAATTGTTTAATAGTTTTAATTTTTCGGAACGTCAAAACTAAAGTTAGAAAATATTGAAAGCCAAATCTACCTTTTTCTCACGATCTGATATCAAATCATAACCTGGCTGACTGGTCGACCTTGTCTCAATTCTCACTTCCTCATCTTTGTTTTCTGAAAATACAAAATATTGTTGATGACTTGCAATAAAGATGTGAAGTAACATGTACAATACTGTCCCATTCTACATGTACGACAGTCTGCATACGGTCTGCTACTTGAACAGCAATATTGTGGTACAAAATGATTAAGTTAGTTTGGTTTTTTTAAAAAATTACATTTAATTGGCTTATTCTTAAATTACAAAAAACAGGCTCATTCTTAAATTAATTGGCATATATATTTACTATTCTTAACAAGAATAAGAATGTTCCTCTGTCTATGGTAATTGTACTGAAATGGACAAACTGGTATGCCACAAATTATATCCCTAGGAAGCATTAAGACATGAATTGTGTTCAAGGATCAAGTGTGACAAATAACATCTTGTAAACAGAATACTTCAGAGAGAGAGAGAGAAATGGGGTTTAACATCCACATGACACAAACTTGGTCATTTCGGGACTAACATATAGTTCAATTTTACTTCAATAATTTTCTTGTGCGTAGGGGTCTTTAGCAGTGGGAGGAAACCGGAGAAAACCCAAGAGGTTGACTCAATCACAGACCTTATGATACAGCAAGCACACACAAACCATTCGGCCATCCAACCCTTCTCAAAATACTTTGAGATACTTGGAAAACTACCCAGAGAAAATTGTCCAGACAATAGCATTTCCTCCAAATCTCATCTTATTTACAAGTTAAAAAGTGTGCCTTAATGTACACACCAAAGTGTTGTTGGTCTCATTCCAAGTGACACTTTCTTCATCATACCCAATAATGGACATGTATGACAGTTTCATAAGTATAATTTACTCACCTTCGTCGTCTATGAGTATATCGAGTTTTTCGAGTTTTCCCCTACAAAAAAAAGAAGATTGTTAACAAAATCCAAATGTAGAAAAATAAAATATGACAACATCAAAACTACAATTAATTTATTCCAATATTTGATACAATTAGGGGGGGATTGGGGCTGGAAACCGGCCCGAGCTCCCGTGTCGGAGCGGCCCCTTTTACTAACTGCAGAGCCCGGACGGGGGGGGGGGGGGGGGGGGGGGGGGGGGGGGTCCCTTGGCTTTGAAAAATGAACTCCAAATATGCGATTTGGTGGAAGATCTGATTATAATCTCTGTCAAATAGTATATCTCATAAATCGATTAATTTAGGCCAAAACCCCGACCTGCAAGTAATTTACAACCATCAACCTGTGAAATCATATCGTCATATTATGCAGGATTCCGAATTCCGGCCCACACCCAGCACACCTGGCCCAGAAAGTCTATTATACCAGCCCATTCCAGACTCCAGTGATGGCGTGGCCGCCCGTTAAAGCCACCGGCAACATACAACATGATCATCATCGCTCCAATACCCCCCCCCCTCTCCTATGATGTTCAGCAGAAATAATTTTTTTTTAGACAAATTGGACAAAAAATTTTTTGTCATTTTTTTGTCCGACCGGCTCCCCGGGCCATCGCCCGATGGCCCAAACCGCCCCTGGATACAATTCACAGATCTACTTCTAAATGTTTTTTTTTAAAAATATATATTAATATCAGTCAATTTGCACGTAGGGGTCTTTAGCATTGGGAGGAAACCAGGGGACCCAGAGAAACCCATGAGGTTTGGCAGACTATTTACTATTCAAAGATAACTAGTCATTTTAAGTACCATAATGTTGAATATGTTTTTAATTTATTCAGTGATTACTTACTCTGCCTTTTTTGACACAGTTGAGTTTCTTTTTGGGGTCAGGCTTCCCTAGAAAAAAAACCTTATTTGTAAATTTAATGTCAGTGACTTACCAGTTATAAACAATATGAAATATAAAAATACACAGAATTAAATATAAAATGAAATGGGGTTTAACGTCCTACTTTTTTTTTGTAACATCCAAAATACTAGACTGTTCCTTGCCAGGTCCTGGAATATCAAGCTAGAAGATCCTGAGGATCTTTCTCCTCCAACAATTTGATCAAACCCCAGACTCATTTTGGTGATGTGATATATAATCATGTCTTAATTAGACATTGATAATTACAAGACTGTTTAAACTTAAATATAATAAAAGAAAAAAAGTTGTGTTATCTGTTTTCTGTATCCAGTGATATTTGAAGGTTTAGAGAGGTTTCTTACTTTGTGATAAATAAATCTAATCTAAATATGAAACTATGCTGCCTTAGTTTACCACTATAAAATCCCCCCCCCCCCACCTTCAAGTCTACCACAGACCCAAAGAATTTAATAGTATCAGAAATTAAAGAGAGAGAGAAATGGGGTTTAACATCCACTCGACACAAACTAGGTCATTTCGGGACTAACATATGGTTTAATTTTATTTACATAATTCGCTTGTGCGTAGGGGTCTTAAGCAGTGGGAGGAAACCGGAGGACCCGGAGAAAACCCACGGGGTTGGACAGAGAAATTAAAGTAAACTAAACAAATAAACTTAATGAAAATACTAAAAACAAAATTTCAAATACGTAAAAAACATTTGTATAATTTTTTAAACGTTTCTGATCCATCATTTGCAGTTTTTGGATAATATCTTAATCTCATGAATTAATCCAATTTATAATTTATTCAAAGTGATTTATTTAACACTGAAACAAGAAAAGAATTCAGGAAGCCAATGGTACATGTACTTGTAGATTATGTTGCAGGCTAATAAAAAATGCCTTTCGAGGATGCAATTGATCATATCTTTTGTACATACAAATTGAACCATTTGTTGGACTGATATTCCTGAAATGGTGTTTTACATCCACTTGATACAAACTAGGTCATTTTGGGACTAACATACGGTTCAATTTTATTTCAATACTTTGCTTGTGCGTAGGGGTCTTTAGCACTGGGAGGAAACCGGATATTCCTTTTAGAGACTTAACTTTCACAATATTGAAGTTTGTAGAAAGGGATTGATAAACCCTCAAATGATGATCAGAGACTGGACTTGAATACAAAAATAAATAAATTAAAAAAAGAAAGAATAAGTTCAATTAAAAAATAAATAAATAAAAGAATATAAATTCAAAGAGCTGATACAACTCTAAATTTGAAATAAGATTTTTTTTTTTTAACAAACGTTAAATTCTAAATAGAAGAAATAGGAATTAACTAAATTTGAATAATATTTATAAAACTATTGTATCGTTCATTTTATATCTACTTTTACTTTCCCTTTTATACCAGCAGCAGACTCAATGACAAAGACTACAATCAATACTTGTATGTCACACAAAAACTAATTAATAAACTTAATACAAATAGCTTTAAGCCCATTCAAAAATCAATATCTATTAATAATGCAACTTATGAGTACAAGCATCTATATTTTATATTTTCATCAATAAACATGCAGGCTTTGAACAGATCATGGTTTCATTTATTAGCACTTTTATTTTAACACTTTATTTGTATTATTAGTAATTTATCATTCTGATGTAATTAAGTGTGTAAGAGAGCTAAAAAATCTGGGTTGATGGTATGGATTCAGTTCAGGTTTTACATCCTACTGTTCTACATGAACTGAACTGATGAAGAAGGATATCAGGTATGCTAAGCCATGTGCTACATGTATAAGGCAAATTTTGGTCACACAGTGGTGTTTGTGCCTATTATGCTTCATCCAGGGAGTCACAGTTCAGTGATTGAGACTATGGCTGGCCGAGAAAGTTCATCACAATTTTCCGGTTGGTACCCCAATATCAGTGGTGCAGGACAGAGGGCCCGACAAGGTCCTGTGTACACATTGGTGTGCATGTAAAAGATACCTTGGCAGAATTTGATACAAGAGTAGGGCTGTCTGGCCAAAATTTCCCTTATAGCACACTGCATGGTGTGTATGCCCAGTGAAAGCAGAACAGTGAGACGTTAAAGCCCATTTCATTTCCCTCCGTCAAGCATCACTGACAAGAAACACCACTCGTCAAGCATCACTGACAAGGGGAAATCACTCCGTCAAGTATCATTCACAAGGGGGAAACCACTCCATCAAGCACCACTGACAAGGGGGGAAACAACTCCATCAAAGCACCACTGACAAGGGGGAGAAACAACTCCATCAAGCACCACTGACAAGGGGAAACCACTCTGTCTATCACCATTGACAAGGGGAAACCACTTCATCTAGCATCACTGACAAGGGAAACTAGGCTGGAAAATCCTGAGGAACTTTCTCGGCAAAACACAAGAGAATATTGTGACGTTTATCTACTAATTTTCTGCGATAACCAATAAATGTCTAATCACTAGCAATAACATAGCAATAATATTAAAACACTGAGATGCAAAGTAAAAGCATGGATAGAAAAATTGATATGAAGGCTCAAATTCTATTTAAAATAGGTATCAAGAAGTTTACAACGAAATATACATATATGTCAAGTGAAGAGATGAATATTTTACACTAAAAGCTGATCAAAGTTCATCAAAAGCGTAATAAATATTAAAAAAAAAATTGAGTGCATCAGACATGCATGCATCTACTGTATATGCAGTGGGTGGCGATCTCGGACAAAGAAAAACCATGCATGTTTACAAATGTACATCAACGTTACAATGACTACACGATGCTTGAGAATCTGCTGTAGTAAATGTAGAAGAGAAAGTAAAAGTAGTGAATATAAAGATGGACGAACTGTAGATTTATTTACTTGACGACTTACGCCTGGTTGTCGGAATCAATCGGCTAGAGACAAGTAAACTCACCATCTTCGCCCGATTCTCTTTCTTTTTCTCGCGTTTATATTTATCCTCCTCGTAATCTTCAATATCTGATTAAAAATAAAAATATCAATACATTACTTGTACATTTATCTATCAGGGTGTGCACTCAAAACATGTAGAATTCTACATCATAATGAAGGACATTTACGGCAGCGATCTCATGAACTATTGAAGAAACATTCATTGACTATCTTAAAATATATAGCGAAACCACAAATGTTAATTTTCCAGAAGTTTCAAGGAGTAATCTTGTTTTCCCCGGATTTTCCAGAATTGGAAATCACAGTTTCAAAGAGTTTTAAGGAGTGTGTGAACCTTGTCTATACTAATATTTGTGATGGTCAGGGTTGGCGGCTACACTAAGGCTATCCCTGGGCTGAAATTTGGTGTATAGGGGTAGTTTGGACAGGGGAGTAACATAGGCCTGGTTGTGATGACCAACCACTTCCGGTTTGGAGTTGTGACCCTGAGCAAATCTTAGCCCTAGGTAGAGCATCTAGCAATCAAACTGCTTGTTACTCTGCTTAGACAAGGCACAGACATCATTCTCACTTATTCCAAAACATAGCCTTAAAAGAGAACTCAGAGAAGTCTATCAGAGGAGACTATCAAACAGTAAGTTGATTTCTTTAATGGGAAAATGAAATGATATCGGTTTGAACATACGGGCATGTGCCATGCAGTGTCCTATAAAGGAATTTTTGCTTGAACAGTGCCGCTACCACCTACTCTTATTTCAATTTCAAACTGTCAGGGGTTCTTCAAAGATCTTCCAAAGGTACACACAGGACCAATGGGGAAACAAGGATGGAATACCACGAGAAACTTTCTCACTCAAGTACCAACCCTGGGGAAATTATCACAATGATCAAAATAGTGATTCACCACTCTCCCTCAAGGAGAATCAGAAAAAAAATTTGGCAACAGCCTTCTATATTATGAGACACTCATCTGAATAAATCTCTTAACAATCTATATAAATGAAATGAAATGGAGTTTAACGTCCTACTTTTCTGCTCCTAACCTGGGCTAATGAAGACGGGCATACGCCATACAGTGTGCTATGAGGGAAATTTTGCCCGGACAGCGGCACTACGGCCTACTCTTATATCGAATTCCAACTGCCAAGGGATCTTTTACGTGCACGCCAATGTGTACACGGGACCTCGGTTTTTCGTCCCATCCGAACGACTAGACAGCTTTCCTTGTCAGCCCCTCCGTCCTGCATCACATCAATCTATATAAATAAATTCAAAGATGTGTATGTATGTACGTTTGTCCATTACACTTCATCGCCGCAATCCACCACCACACATGTGGTATCCAATTAACCAGCATCATTCTGTAAATGTTTTAGGGACCAGTGAAAGCTGGGTATCCTGCTAGTAATAAATATAACCAATCTTACCGTCTATTAATGTAATACCGTGTTTCCGCAATTCATTTAATTCCTTTATTTTTGATTTTAATTCTTTTTCTTTCTGAAAATTTTCAAACATTTGTTCGTGTTCTGCTATCGGATGAAACTGACTGAAAACTTTCATCTTGTCTTGTAACTCTCGTTCGTCTTTGGACATTTTTTTCTTGTATTTATTTTTTTTATCGTTTAATGAAGAAGCGGCCACAATAAGTCCGTAATCACGAGCCACTTGTTTTCTTCGTTCTCGTTCACGTAAACGAAGTCTGTATTGGTCAACTTTACTAATTTTCACAGCTGAAAACAAACGAAAATATCTATATTAGAAAAATAATAACATAGTTAATTGAAGTATACATGTTTTCTGTTGATATATCAATCATGCAGTCTGTGATTCACTTAATATCCAAGCCATCTACTCTATAGATGCCTTCAGAGTGTTAATTATGGGTTTGTCATGGGAATAAAAGTGTAAATAACCATTTATATAACAATTGAAACAACTTTAGCTCCTGCATAATGCCTTGTTAAGCATTGAACAATTGATAGTCTCTGAAAAATGCAAATACCGATTAACAGGCCTTAAACATTCAATTACCATGATGCCAAAAGCTGTCTTTAAACATCCATTTACCACAATACTAAATGCTCTTTCTCATAATAGTAGGCAGTTTAAGCCTATTTAATTTTACTTTATAATTAAAGGAAATAACTTACCAATATCTAATTCATCATCATCATAATTTATACCCCATCCACTAACCAGTTGTTCAGCACAATTATCACTCTCCTATAAATAAATATAATCACATATTAAAACCGACAATTTTAAAAAAAAGAATGGTGTTGGGTGATACAATGGTTCTAGAAACATTTTAATATTCCTGTTCATATTAAGGCTAATTCCAACAGAAAATTAGCCCTAAAATAAAATATGAGTCATTCAGTCTCATAAATTTTATTTTTATATTTACCGTAAATTCTAATAAAGCATTCAACAAATGATCAAATACAAAAATATAAGTTTCACTAAAATATCAACAATAGCTTATTAAATTCATCCCCAACAATCTCAGTTTCAACATACAAATGGAATAAACGGGAGTTATCTTACACATAAATAATTTCTTACATTGGACGGAACGGAGTAGATCTAGACATGGTATAACCCAATCACATTCATTCTGTACAATCTCAGTTTTGACATACATATTCAATAAAATGGAGTTATCTCCCATACATAATTTCTGATATTGAAGAGGTTGGCATTTCGGATGGAATAGAGTAGGACCGAGTTCATGCTCACCGTGCATTTCTGAACACACCCTGTAAAAAATGTTTTTAAACCAGGATACATTGAAGTAAACAAAGACAGATTAAGTTCAAGTAGACTGGAATAATACAAAAATAGGCTTTGTACTTACAATTTCAAAATCATCTCTAAATGGCATATAACCGAGATCATGTTGTTCTTGAAGAGATAATTCTAATGGTTTAGAGGCAGTTGTTATACTAGGTGACAGAGGACCTGAAATGGAAATTCATATAATATTCAAATAATACCTTGCTACATTGCAGGTTATGGTGTGCTATGAACAGCAGTGATTCCAGTTACTATTCATTGAATTTTAACTCTCATGAATTCTATTACATGCAAGTCCAGTGAACATAGAACCATGGTTTATCATCTAATACGAATGACTTGGTCATTGTTACCTACCTGGCCATTCGTGATTCACAAACTAGAAAATCACTGGTGAAGGTTCTACCCGTAATGACAATTTTTTTTTAGATTTGAAATTGGACATGGTTTCCCCATGACATTAGTAACAAAAGGGTTTGGGTGTTCGAATGGTCTAACTGTTGCGGTTTGGGTCATAACGCCTGTCATTGAGTCATGGGGTATGGTTTTAATTCCAATATTTGTACACGTGACAAGGATTAACCTCATGGGTTTTCTTTAGGCTATCCTGCTTCATCCCACAGCTAAAGACCCCCTACACGCAAGTAGATTATTGAAATAAAATTGTACAAGTTAGTCCAGGAATGATCTGGTTTGTTAAACCCTGTTTCTGTCTTTCTCTCTCTTAGCAAGAAATATATTTGATCTCTGTCGACTGAACATATTTTGCTATCAATGGTAATGGTATTTTGACTCCCGAATGCAGTGTGTATAATTAAAAGTAAATAAAAGAATTTTACCTCCATCAGGACAGGTGTGGTCAATCACCTTATTACCTGAATCACACTGGAATGTTTCTACAAAAATACAAATATATAGTTATCTCCCTTGAATAGAATTTAATACAAATTCAAGGTTAAAGAAAAACAATATTATGTTTATTAGGCGAAATAAAACCATTCATTTCAAATATGAAATAAACATACATTGTATTTTCATAAGGTTGACAATATTCTTGGGTTTAGTTTGAATAATAATCTGAGTGTTTTCTTTAAACCCATCAAACAATAAAATTGCAGTAAAAGTTTAAATGGAGTTGTCTCCCCTTAACTACAAAAACAAAATAATTACTTGCATGCACACATATTTATATACAATTGATTTTATTTTGATGACCTTATTACCTCGTCCCATGTTTCCCTGTACATAGAATGTAACATAATGGTCTTCACACTCTGAAACAAAAATATCATAATTTATAAATATCAATGAACGATCATTAACCTAGTTAAATTGTGGTTGAGTACTTTAACCATATTAAGAAATGAAATGTTTAAAACATCTTATTTTTTTGCACCAGTAATGCTAATAAAACAGGCATCGATACATCATGTGGTGTGCTACATGGAAATTTGTTGCTAGGGACTGGTGCTATGGCTAACATTTATTCAGAACACAGGACCTCGGTTTTTCATCCCATCCAAATGACTAGACACAACAATCTCTTGCCAATGACAAGATGTTAAAAGGAGTGGTCCTCTTCGATTTGTGTCAAAATATAATATTGGATTAAGTTGATTTCAGTGATTTGACATTCCTTTGATTGTTAAGCCTGTCAGAAGAGTTTATATTTAACTTCTATCTCACCTTGCATGTCCCTACTTTCAACATGGCCTGCAGTTCCTTCCCTGCAAATATATATCTCACAGTTAGTATTCAAAATTACTGCTCCAGTTGGTTTTGGGATGGGGTCTCATTTTGTGTAATGTCAATAAAGGGGCATTATGGAAGAATGGATAAAGAGCTGAGAGTTATCTCTATAATGGTTATAAACTAGATAATGTAAAGAGAATATACTGAAAATGTCTGTTAGATTACTTCACTCTGAGCCGAGAAAAACAAATTTCAAAAATACTGTAGCCTTGTTTGTCATTGTTACCGCTGTTGCAATAATAAACAACATCTTGATTATTCATTTTTACGGTCAATCATTAACAGCCGTTTAATTACAGATTGGATTCAAATCTGTTTAAAATCATACATGTTAATAAATATCTAATTAATAGTTTATTTAACATTTAAGGCCTAAAGAAAGACCTGCAATAGGCAGATTTACCTCTTGCATAATATATGTTTAATATATTTAATTGTGGAAAGGTCAAAGGTACAGTTAAACTGGTGTTCCATAGTCTTAAAGACTTGATCAAAATCACTTCAAAACAAATAGCCACTCAAATTGAAACGTATCAATACGTTGTTAAATTGAATAAACCTAAAATGTAACAATATCTTCCTTGAAATGCTAACCAAAGCATGGCAATATAAACAGTAAGAATTCATACTTACCAATTTCCAAATCCATATTGTTCGACTGCATCAAGCAGCATATGTTCCTCAGCTAGAGACCAGGGTCGGGGGGTATCAAATGCAGCCGGGCCATTGCCATTCTGAAAGAAAAATTTGAAATTTAATTGTATGGTATTGAAATTAAATGGCATAGACACTTTCAATTATGGCAACTGTTATCCCAGACAATTAATATACCTGCATTTTTTTATTTTTTTTTAAAACAATATTTCTATTCAGGATATCTGAATGTCTGGATTGGTGAATAGGCTTAGCCTTTGTAAAATCCCTGTACCTGCAATATGGTCATTGTGAGCCTTGATCAGACTACATGTATAATACTTGACCAAACTTCCAAAGACAAAATTAAAATGTAATTTAACTTAATAAATAAAATTAATTCAAGAATTCAGGTGAAAAAGAATGATTTTGATTTCAAATATCCATTGTCATAATTCATTTATTAATCATGAAACCTGACCTAGTTAATTACCGTAATCCATGTGAGAAGCACGTGCATGTTGTCAATCACAACAACAATATTCCAGTCCATACCTGTAATAAGACATGCTGTGATTGGCTCGTCCTGTATGGGCGGGCTTCAATCATGAACAATTTATATCGCTTGCTTCAACTTACCACTATACGATAACTGTGTTCTTTCTTGTGCTGACCTATTTCTGCACCGCACGAGAAACACTGAAAGAGAAGAGAGAGGCCATTTTAAATAGATAGCGATAGACGCGGCGAGAAGCCGGTAAAATAACTCGATATTCACTAGCCGACATAGCGCTCACACTACACAAGCTATCGCTCGTGACGTCATACTTGCCTGTAAACAAAGGTTAAAGTCGGGGCATTCCGTACATTCGATTCTGTAGCCCAAATTCTCAGCTTTACAGTACGTACAATCGTATTTTGCCATTCCCTAAAGATTAATCTAAGTCTGATTCTGTGCGATATTGGCGCAATTCAGCGATTTGGTGGTATTTTTGCGCCATTTAGTCCACCTAATCACCGAATTTCGCCATCTTTTCTTCGTCTTCAGCAAGCTTACGTGACGTCACCAGCTCCCAGCATCCTTTGCGTTTCCTGCTACTAAATATAGCCCGAGGAAGTAATGACAGATTTCCTACTTTGGATAACAATAAGGCCCTTTTTTAGTCATAATCACTGATAATAGAACAGTTGGAGATAATAAAGCCCCGAGTTCATCTTCACACATTACATAATTACCCACGGGCGAAATAAAACGAATCGCCAAGCTTTGTCTAATCACACAGAAAAAATTCCACACGTCCCTACTTCCATTTTTTTATTGATACATTGTGTAATGAAGTAAAAGTAGACATGAGGGTAACAGGTGCATAATTAAATAACGAAAGACTAATATGATTAAATAAGCCTGTAATCAATATCCAAATATGTTGATTAGCTCAGTGAGCCTGTCTTTGTTGACTACTGCAGCCTTTTAAAACCACACCCAGTTCCTTTAAATAGACCTTTTTTATGTGGCTAAAAGTTATTTACATTTTATTTCAGGTTTAGGAGATATGGATAGCTGTTTTTTTCACAATTTAAACAGGAAACAAAAAATGAGGCTAATAAAATTTATAAAATGAACTGGCACCCACTTAACCTTTCGAAACAATAATTTTATTGTTTCGAGCTTGTCATATATTAATAAAAGAAATAAAAAACATTAGAAATGAATGGAATGAAATCATGTCCTGCTCTTACTGAGCTAATGAAGACGAAAAAAAAAACCACAAAAAAACATCAGATCATTCTTATACAACACTTTCTTTCTTTCAACCAAAATCAAAGGTTTTATCTCCTTTAAATAATTTTTAATGAACAAATTGTTATTATGAATCATGAAACAAAATCATTTTGAACATAACAACTTTAATAATATTTTTAATAAAGAAAATATACAAAGACCCTGGTAGAATGGCTTCACATGTACTCATTCAACATTCAAAATATATATGGCTCATGGTATAATGGCTTCACAAACATACTAGATGAAATTTGGTAAAATTATCAACCCATTCAATTAGTTTGAACACCTGGTTTTATTTTTTAATTAAAATATTAAATGGAGAAAGTGTTGTTTTTTTTTAGCAGTATAAAAAGATTTTGCAAATTTGGTATACTCATAAAAAGTTACCTCTTTTTATTTGTTAATGAAGTGACATTTTCAGTGGGTTAATTATTTTACAGACATTTCAGTATGGTGGGGCATACAAATTAGAAGAATGTTTGAAATAGGCTAGATAATAGACACCTGTCACAGACATTGGCAGGCATATATGCAGGCTTTGTCAGACACAATCTCTCTGGTGCCTGTCATTTTGTCTGTATTGATATTATTAAAGGAGCTATCTCTCTAACTCAGTAGTTTCCATAATATTCGAAATTAAAAACACGGAACAGAAGTACATTTCAATCAATCAGTACACGAGTCGTGTATTCTATAGTTTCAGACGGCATTTGTATTGAACAAAGGAAAACATACCCTACAAGACAATGCGGAAGTAATTAGTAATGACTGATTCACAGCAAAATAGTAATTTAAAAAATCTGTAGGATGCACTAAGCAGGTGTAAATGACTGTCGTTCAATTTGGACTGTTCGCGTATTTCAGCGAACATAATTGATTAGAAATTACAATGTTTTTAAAATTTGAATATGAATCATTTTATATACATTAATATTATATTAATATGTGCTTTTAGACCGACTTTCGTCTATTTCAAGGTTCCAGTCATATGCCCTTTAATACATATCCGCAAGCCTTGAAATAAGGTATTCATCACAGACACTTCATAGTTCACAGACAAGTTCAGGCTTTGTCAGACACAATCCCTCTGATAAATTGTTTCAATGGCATTATTACTGATATTAAGATAAAGACTAGAGAAGCCTAGTCGAAAATCCCCTCATTACTAAGTAGTAATTGTATATATTCCATAGAATTGTGACCTTTACAATCCCTCTGGGCTCTGGCCTGTCATTTTCCTGTGGTTTTTTGATATTATTAATAGATTTCCAACAAAAATTTAAAATGTCAAGCAATCATTCTGAAATGCCTAAACTATTATTTCCAGGTCTACATGTCAACATCAAAGTTAAAAAAATCATGTACAAGTTCATCAGTGCCAGGGGGGGTAGGTGGTCGAATGGTTAACACGTGTGCGTTGCATCATAAAGTCTGTCATTGAGTCAAGTTGCGTGGTTTTGATTCCCCGGTTGTACATGACAAGTAGTAGGGTCGCCTGACCAAACTCATGGGTTTTCTCCAGGTCCGCTGGTTCCCTCCCACTGCTAAAGACCCCTACATGCAAGCAAATTATTGAAATAAAATGGAACCAATTTGTGTAGAACAGAGGTTAAAAATGGTCTGATTTTTAGTTATAGTGTCACCTGAACTTGTGATTTGTAATCCATATTGTGTAGAAAATAATAATTAAAACAAATCAAAAATGTTAACAATTATTAAAACTCTATTATATGAGAATATGGTCCATTTGTTGAGCAGCTAAAAACTTGACGATTTCCATAAGTTCCACTTTTAACACAAACATCAACACCTTTGATTTTAGAATTTTCAGTTAAATTTTGTTCACACATTTCCACAAACTTAGTGTAAAGTTTTAATCCAGTTTCTTTGTCAATGTTTTTATGATACTGCATCATTTTACCTTTAAGAATTCCTCCGAGTGTTGCTTGTGGAATAATTAAAACATCTCCAGGTAGATCGAGAATCGAAACCAATTTCTCGTCCCTTCCTTCACTTAATCTGGCCGTTAAAACACTCTTTACTGAAACAAAAAATAGGCAAAATTAAATTCTGATTAAAATGTTAGTATAGATAAGGCCTTCAGAGTATTGCTAGGCAATACATTAAAGATACATTATGGGAGATTCGATATCGAGTTGGCAGTTCTCACTATAATAGTTCAAAAATAGATAATGTAAAGGCAATTTGCTGAAAATTTCATTCAAATTGATTCACTATGAACCGAGAACTAAGTGGTTGAAATTTCCGCCTAGCCTCGGCCATCATAACTAAAGTCAGTACGATAACAGCATAGTCTCGATTATCCATTTAATCGTTAAATCGTGATGGAAAGTTATGCAGTAAATCGGCTCACAATCCACTAAAGATCGCAGGCTAGCAATGCCATCTATAGTTGATTATGGTCTGGATAAGTTAATTAATGTCTAATTAATAATTTAGATAACATTTCAGACCTAAAGAAAGACGTGCAATAGACAGATTTAGCTCTTGCATAATGTATGTTTAATTTAGTTTTATTTAAATATAAAGAGTAATATACAGAGCATCATTAGATGTACCAACTTTAATTTCCCAAACATCCATTATTTCATAATAAGGCCTCCATGCCTCAAAAAATATATTTTATTCCATTTTCAGCAGAGAGAGAGAGAGAGATGGGGTTTAACGTCCACTCGACACAAACTAGGTCATTTCGGGACTAACATATGGTTTAATTTTATTTCAATAATTCGCTTGCATAGGGGTCTTTAGCAGTGGGAGGAAACCGGAGGACCCGGAGAAAACCCACGAGGTTGGACAGGCGACCCTACTCCTTGTCACGTATAACAGGGGATTCGAAACCACGCCAGTCGACTCAATGACAGACTTTTATGATACAGCGCGCCCACGCTAACCATTGAGCCATCCAACCCCCTCATTTTCAGCAGTCAGTGCAGTGCATACGTACGCTGACATTCAGCTGAAATCCAACCCCTGATAATATGGATAGATAATTGTATTGAAAATAACATGAGCTTTAGTTTAACATACTACCTATCTGCGCAAACTTAGCTAATGAAGAAGACTTGTATTTTCCATGCATTGTGCTAGAAGGAATATTTTGCCATGACAGTGGCACAGTGGTCTACCTACACATGTAACAATATACAACTGTCGGGGGATTTTTAATGTACTGTTGTACATGGAACCTCAGTTTTTTGTACCCTCCGAACCACTAGATCCTTTTTTAGCTAGGCCCTCAGTCATGCACCTATGACAATAGAAATCAAACGTGAGAATCTTGAAGAATTTTTATTTTTGGTCAGCCAACACCCGAATCAAACCAAGGACCTCATACATGTAGTGAGTGTCACTGGCTCACTATACTAACCTTATGCTGTCTGTCTACAATCAGCTTGCTTGTGAACAGACACTAGCCTAGTTGACAGACATTTTATTTCCTAAATCAACGATTTTAGTCGAAAACACTAAGTATATTCATAGAATTTTGAGAAGTATTTATTCCACTTTCATAAAATAAAATTGAAAAGGTGTATTTAGTCTTTGTGGGTATGACAGATGTGAAACAAAGTAGAAACGCATTTCCAAATAGTATAATAATTTTTGGATATGGCGGCCATTCAGGACAGAGATCTAATCTTGAAGTAAATATTTATTTGTGTGTAGAATGACTGGCTCACTAAAAAGGACCATCATCGTTGCTTGATAAATGTGACTGAAATTTTAAGTATTCAATATATTACCCATTTTATCAAGTATATCTTCTGTAGCATCTTTTAAAAAGCACACATAGACCACAAGACCTCTTTTTATCTGAAAATACAAAAATTCTCTTAATAATTCCAGAATAAACATTATGTTTAAGATTGTAGATGAAAAGTACTTTTTATTGAAAACATTTTATTATGTTGTCCAAATCGATCCATTTTAAAAGTTTACATTGGTTTCTATTGATTCCCCACTGCCATCTTTATGCATCTTAGACCAATAAAGTAATAATAATTCTTTTATCTAATTTGTACACATTAGTGTTATGTTTGAAATAGTACATGTATTTTGACTTCTGAGATTTATGTCATTGCTATGGCTTGTTGTGTCTTTATATTATATAGGTCATATGTTCTATTTGCACAACAGGACTATCCTAATTATCAGGAATTTTAAAAAATCCAACTTCAATGGTCATGAAAGGGCTGCATTGGCCTTCAAACTGAACATTTTGGAGTTAAAAATCTGCAAAGCAGCCTTACTTTAGTAGCAGGGATATAAATATGTGGTGTGCTATGTGATTGTTCGTATATCGAGAGATGATTAGATTGATGTCATGGGGGAATTCCCTTTGGCTCACTCGGTAGAGATGTATGAATTCCATGCATAGGGTCATGGATTCGATTCCAGACAGGGGGCATATTGTCATACTTACATTAATAAATAACTTAAAAATTATTGGGCATGTCCGGTAAAAAGAGAGAAAGATAGATTTGGAGGACTAATCCCCCCCAGGGATTGTCGGGTGGAAAGTGCAATGCCCAATAATGACCAGCCCGTTCTCCCACAAGTTTGTTGCGACTGTATTGAGAGTAAGATCCCCCTAACAATAGGCAGAATTCTAACTACATGTATATACAGTGATGTTATGAAGCACTGGAGACTGAAGTTCTATCCGTACATAATACCACAGGCATGGACTGTCAAAGCATGAAGTCGATGACAAGCGTTAACAAACGAAAATAATATAAATATTGGAAACAAGTGGCTATGAATGACATAGTTTTGTGGGCAGTATTTATGCAAATCAAATCGGCTAGATTGAAAAAATAAAACATATCAGAGTGAATCGACAGAGGTATAGATTACCTGACATTACGAATTGTTGAAAAAAAAAAACGAGCCAAAGCGAGAACAGGTAAAATCGAGGCTTCAGCAGGCATTGCATTCCTGTTCTTTTTTTTATTATATATTGTGTAGTTGAGTATGGTGTATCACTGTATAGAAGGTCAGATTCCTGTAATAATACATACACCATATATAGCCTACCCTACTAGACAATATACAACTTTTTTTTATTGTATATTGTCTAGTAGGGTATGGTGTGTGTATATACAGATAGAAATTCTGTGTATGAAATCATATTTATCCAAACGGTCAAAATTTAAAAAAATTGCATAGGCAGCATTGCCAATGCCATTGGAATTGTTTGTGCAATTTGAGTGTCACCTCCACGTGTTTTGCGGGTGTTTCGTCTGTTTCTGGTTGAATCTGGAGTCTTGCTGACAAACACTGCTGCAGAACAACTTTTGATTTAGCCATCGTCGCCACTGCCATGCTTAATTTACAGAGCTAGTATCGATTTTTGTGGCACATCTGGCATATCATGCTGCTTTGAAGAAAAGCTGGAAGATTATAAGGGTCAAGGTCGTTAATCTAACCTAAAATGGCGGCCCCCATGGCTCACGACAGAACGCGTCGACCGGATGAAAACGAAGAAGAGGACCCCGTTGAAACGTTAATTAATAAAACTGGTTGTGCAAAGCTTCATTACGCAGTTCAGGTAACAAAGAAGCATTCAAATCTAATGAAATATTTTTAGAATGTCATAACTTAGTTGATAGCATTAGAATAACATAAGTCAAGGGAAATAACTCCATTTTCTAATTTTGTTACGTCAAGGATACTGCACAACTGACAGCGAATGAGAGAGATAATGAACCATATGGTTCAATTTTATTTGACTTGCACGTAGGTGTAGGGGTTTTGAGCATTTGGAGGAAGCCGGATGACTCGGGCAGACGGAGAAAACCCAAGGGCAAGAGGTTAGACAAGACGACCCAACGTTCAAGTGGGGAATCGAAACCATTTGACTCTTTCAGTCTTTGAATTCTTTTTCACCTGAGTTTGCATCTTTTATAAGACAGTACTCAGTAGGCCTATACCGTTCCCGAGACATATTATTGAGATGAATAAGTTTATGCAGGGTGAAAGACTGCAAAACTGTTGCGTTATCAACACACAATCCAAACTAAAGATATCTGAGTGTGATTCTGTTTTGAAGAAAACAAACTTTCAGTTTCCATGTCGACCATGTGATGTGTGCCATACAGCATTTGTCTTGTGGATAATCATGTCAATATACTTGCCCCAAAGTTACACTGTAGCCTGCTGTAGGCCTACATAAGTCGCTATTGAAATTTTCAAACAAAGTACCGGTATGATCCCATAAATCCATTCAGTCACATTTGGGCGTTAAAATTTTCTCCCGGATCTCCAGTTTTCTGACAATTAAATATACCATTGGCATTTTAGTCCCAAAATGACCCAATTAAACTTCATCGGTCTCTCTAATAGTACATGTAAGTGCAGGGGGACTGCACCACACATAATTTACATAAAAACAAATACATGGACAATACTTAAGATTATTACACCAGATCGGTAATCTTTCTGCCTTGTGTGAATCATTGAAATGTAACACTATCTGCTTTATTTATTTTTTACAGGATTGTATGGCTGAACACCAAGATTGGAGAAAATGCCAGAAAGAAGTCACAGAATTTAGAACTTGTGTTGAAAAAAATATGAAGAAAAAAACATGATGTACATGAATTAAAATATACTAATGTAAATAGTGTTTGATTATAACAATATATCTTTCATCACAGGAAAGAAGATAGCAACAAAAAACTAAGCCAAGTTTATCGCCATTATTAAATCTGAGAGATTTCTAATTAGCAAACATCACAAGTGATTCACAACTACAAAGGTAGTATTGTACAAGCAGATGAAGGCCACATCGCTGAAACACGTACTGGACTAAATTTTTGATCTTCACACAGTCTTGTCTAGTTTGTTGTTCGGGACTTTTATCATGAATTGCTATAAAGGTTGATATGTGTACAAAAGTTTCATAAAGATGTCTTATTATTATTATTAAAACGATATTTATACAGCGCTCGTCTTCCACTGCAGAGCAATGCTCAGATGCGCTTTACAAAAACATAATTGAATCAATATAAAATTCAAATGTACATAAAAGTCTAAATGATAAAATTACATACATATTGAGAATGACATTATCATATGATAAAATGCAAGATATATAAAATCTTTTTAACTAAAAGCCTGTGTATAAAAATGTGTTTTTAGTGATTGCTTGAATATTGTAATCTTGATTGATGAAAACAAAACCACAACACAATTTATATGGAAAACAATATTACTGGTTTATCCACATATAGCACAACGATGCCCACTGATGATTAACCACAAAAATGGATAACCAAGACTTTGTTAATTATTGTGACAGTAGTAACAATGCAATCAAGGCTACAGTGATTTTAAAATAAGGGTTTCCCGGCTTATGAGTGAAGCATTTGACTGAAATTTTCAGCATATTCCCTTTACATTATTTAGTTTTTAGCTATATGTATTATAGTGAGAACTGCCAGCTCTTTATCTAATCTTCCATTATATACCTTTAAGCAAATCAGTTTTTTCCCCATGTCGACACTGAAGAAATCCGTTCATGTTGACCATATTATGCGACATGGCAAAATTAAGTACAATTATGTTCTCATCATGTACATTTATATTTTCAATAATGTTTAAAAATATATGTACTTAATATCTGCCAATATTTCTGCTATTCCATGTATCTTGGCCATTATTCACTTTCCAGTATGCTCTGGAATCAAATCTTTGAAGAACAGTGCTGTTATTAATAGCACTCATTGTTTGACGTGGGATAAAAAGACAATGAACAACCAGTGATGCTTACGATCATTTTATTCTGTGATGGCTTGTGTTTATTTGATGGTTAACAATATATATGAGAAATAACTTTATATGGCTGTGAAGAAAATAGAAATAAATTTTTGTATTTATAAATAAAATATTTTCTTTATTTCTAAAGTGTTAGTAAGAATCAGAAAATGTAACACGTACATCTATTATGAGAAATAATTTTACAAGGCTGTGAAGAAAATAGAAATAAATTTTTGTATTTATAAATTATTTTCTTTTTTTCTAAAATGTTATTAATAATGAGAAAATGTTACACCTATCTGTTTAAATTCTTTACACAAATACTCTATGAACAGACAAAAATCTTGTTGTCAAGAGTGTCTGCTTAGTATTAAATTTAATAACCAAACATTGAATTAATTTATATCTGTTTCAGGAAGTTTAGGTCATGCCCATTTGAATTTTAGCTCTTATTAAAATATGGGGCAAAATGAATACTTAACAATAATGTTTTGCTGGTCTTCATAAAAGCATTTAGTTTAGTTGACTCATGTGACTGTTTATTTATCAAGTACTGAGCCAATCAATAGTGCTATTGATCTTTGTTGAAATAAGGGTGGTAATGATGTGGAGATAAAAACCGAGGGCACAACAACATATGGTAATAATTAAATATTAAAATTTCAAACAAAAACAAATACATGTACACATGTAATAAACAGCCATTAAATGGTTGTGCTTATGTGAATATATCCGCATCATATATTTATTTATATCATGATTCAGTATATACATACATACATGGTCTCCTTTTTATTGAGGGGAGCCACGGTGGCATGATGAGTAAGACATTGGCTCTCTAACCTGGAGATCCTGTGTTCGATCCCGCTGACAGGGGGAAGAGCGAGAGGGTTTAACATCCACTCTACACAAACTAGGTCATTTCCGGACTAACACATGGTTCAATTTTATTTCAACAAGCCAACAGTGAGGCTGATGTCCCCCGCCGAAATAGGAAAATAATTAGAGGACACATATAAAAATCAAATTGCGTATCGCTCTGCTTACCCTGAGCAGAAAATGCTCATTATCAAACTTAGTCAAGGTATTACTGTAATGAAACTATACACCAAGTTTCATCAATCTCACTTAATTAGAACTAAAGTTATCGTGTCCCAAAGCATCAACCAATCAAATTGCTTATCTCTGCTTACCCTAAGCGGAAAATGCTCATCTTCGAACTCCATCAAGGCATTGACCTAATCAACACATACACCAAGTTTGAACATTCTAGCTCAATTAGGAAGAGAGTTATCGTGCCCCAAAGTATCAACCAATCAAATTGCTTATCTCTGCTTACCCTAAGCGGAAAATGCTCATCTTCGAACTCCATCAAGGCATTGACCTAATAAACACATACACCAAGTTTGAACATTCTAGCTCAATTAAAAGTTATCGTGTCCCAAAGCATCAACCAATCAAATTGCTTATCTCTGCTTACCCTAAGCGGAAAATGCTCATCTTCGAACTCCATCAAGGCATTGACCTAATCAACACATACACCAAGTTTGAACATTCTAGTCCAATTAGGAAGAGAGTTATCGTGTCCCAAAGCATCAACCAATCAAATTGCTTATCTCTGCTTACCCTAAGCGGAAAATGCTCATCTTCGAACTCCATCAAGGCATTGACCTAATAAACACATACACCAAGTTTGAACATTCTAGCTCAATTAGGAAGAGAGTTATTGTGTCCCAAAAAGTGTGATGGACAGACAGACAGACGGACAGACAGACGGACAGACGGACGGACGAACCCATTTTAATAGTCCCCTGCTTTCTTCGAAAGGCGGGGGACAATAATTCACTTGCACGTAGGGGTCTTTAGCAGTGGGAGGAAACAGGAGGACCCGGAGAAAACCCACGAGGTTGAACAGGCGTTCCTACTCCTTGTCACATACAACCGGGGAATCGAAACCACGCCAGTTGACTCAATGAGACCTTATGATACAGCGTGCACATGCTAACCGTTTGGCCATCCAACGCCACTCGCTGACAAGGAGAAATCATGCTGGAAAATCCATGGGAACTTTCTTGGCCAACACTGGACAAAAAAGGAAATTTTAGTGTCTTTTCAAAAATAAGTTGGAAGTGATATATCCTAAAAAGAAATGTGTTATCATCTGTACAATGTATTATCGGGAGATACATTAATTAAGATATGTACATCGTTATATATATTATGCGATTAAATTATAGTTTTAAAATGTACCCAGAGAGGGGGTGTTGGTTAGCTAAATTATCTTTGATCTGTGACCAAGTCTTTGAGGGTTTGCTCCTCCTGGAATCTGATTGATTGCCTTCCCAACCTTGTGAGTGTTCATCTGTTTAATCCTATCATTATTATAAGGAACCCAGTATTAATAAAGAAAAGGTACCACATACTAGTCTCAGAATGAGCTAGTTAAAGCTGAACTCCGATTATAAAACTACAGAAATAATTAAATAAAAAAAAGGTTACGCCCAAAACAACCGCCATACTTGTTTTCAATTTCTTGAACTAACATCCTCCGATAAAGGATTGGTAATGTCCCTTTATTGTAATATCCAGAAAAATATAAGTTATGTCCCTTGATCGCCATTATGACAACAATTGGAAATGAAAACATACTTATTTGATGGAGAAGACTACCGTTTTATTGCTGCTTTGGATATATCTTGGAACGATAATACTAGACTTTATGACGCAGAAAAGTATTTGGTGTTTCTACTCTGTTGAGCAAAACATTTCACGAAATAAGAAACATTTGGTTGGTGCTGGTTGATTTGTTATTGTTTGGGGTAAGGCAATTTCTCTGTTATTTTTAGAGCAAAAGTACACCGTGGTTGACTTATTTCGTCTAATTAGTAAAATAATATATACCTGATCAGACATAACAATTGTGTAGCAATAATATTTTCTGTGGGCTCATATTGGAAAAAATTCGATCAGTCAGGAGGTAAATTACCTGATGTGGACACTTCGGTTGACACGGCAAATACTGGAAGTGGGCGTGGCCTGCCTATGTGTTTGTCCACCCAAAACGATCGCCATGTTATTTCAAGAAATTGAAAACAAGTATGGCGGTTGTTTTGGGCATAACCTTTTTTTTATTTAATAATTTCTGTAGTTTTATAATCGAAGTTCAGCTTTAAATAAATAAACTCTAGTTTGTATAATAAAACAGAAAGGCCTACAAAGTATATACATTAGTTTTATACTCTGAATATATACAAAACTTAGGCCTATATTTATTAGTTTTATACTCTAAATATATACAAAACATTGTCCTATATTCATTAGTTTTATACTCTTAATAATTACAAAAATTAGGCCTATTACCATTAGTTTTATATTCTGAATTTATACAAAACTTAGGCCTATATTCATTAGGTTTATACTCTGAATTTATACAAAACTTAGGCCTTTTTAAAATTAGTTTTACACCATGAGTTTATACATAATGTAGGACTATATATACTCTAAATCGGACTAATAGACCTATATTTAAATTTTATACTCCTGAATATATACATAACGTACACTAATAGGCCTATATACATTAGTTTTATACTCTGAATAAATACATATTCAGGCCTATATAATATATACTCTAAATTAGACTAATAGGCCTATATATGTAGCCTATATTAGCTCCATACTCCAAATGTATACATAACATAAACCAATAGGCCTAGTTTTATTTGTATGTATCAGATGAATCAATACACTAATATATATATTGGATTTATACTCTGAATATATACATTAATAAACCAATATACATCAGTGCAACACTATTACTCTGAATATATACATAAATGAACCAGTATACATCAATATTAGTTCCATACTCTGAATATATAGACAAATGAACCATTATGAATAAATAGGTCTATCTGTATTTTTTTAGCTTTATACTCTCAATATATATAAATCAACCAATATACAACAGAACATCAATATTACTCTGGATACATACATAAATGGACCAATATCTATCATTGTTTCTATATTACTCTCAATATATATATAAATGAACCAATATACATCAGTACATCAATATTACATATTATCAATCTAATTACATCATATTTTGATGTGTATCATAAAGCCATTAAAACAAATCTAAAAGAATGAAATCATCATAATTCAAGTGAAAAATATTTGATATGGTATTCACCCCCTAATTACCATAGAGTTTTTAATCGGATTAAAAAGAGTCTAATCAAAATATTTTGGCAAAGATTATCAGAACAACCATTTTTGGATTGCTATTCCTTTTAGAGATTCAACTTTCACGATATTGTAGTTTGCAAGGGATTAAAGAATATTTCATTATAAATTCAATCACAAAAAATTCTATTAATAATTATTGTATTTCTAAAGAAATAGTTTATCATGACAAATACTATATTAATTATCACAGAATTATTATGAAAAAACTACAGGTACATTATAATACTATATATTTGATCTACACATTTATTATGACAAATACTGTAATATATACTTTGTTATAGGTTTAAACAATTTATAATGATAAATACTGTAATATATTACTGTAAGATAGGTATTAAACATGCATTATGCGAAAGCTAAATCTGTTTATTGCAGGTCTTTCTCTTGGCCTTAAATGTTATCTAAATTATTAATTAGACATTAATTAACTTGTCAAGACCATAATCAACTTTCGATGCCATCGCTAGCCTGCGATATTTAGTGGATTTGAATACGTTTTTCATGGATGATTTAATGTTAAAATGAATAATCAAGACTTTGTTTATAATCGTAACAACAGTAGTAATGACCACTAAGGCTAGCCTAAAATTGAATCACTAATATTAAAGTTGAAAGTGAAGCAGAAATTTTCAGCATATTCTGTTTTCATTATCTATTTTTTAACTATTATAGCGAGAACTGTCAGTTCTTTAACCAAACTTACATAATGCTCCTTTAAACAATTTATTGCGACAGAAACTATATGATAGGTTTTAAACACATGCATTATGATAAAAACTACACATTCTAAACATATGACAAAAACTAAATTACAGGTTTTAAATATATGCTGTAATACATTACTGTATTAAACAATTATTACTGGGTAGGCCTACTATCTTATAGACTATATGTTAGGCTTTATACACATCCACATTGACAAATACTAAATGTTTTCAACACATCCATTATGACAAATACTAAATGTCTTAAACACATTCATTATGACAAATACAAAAACACATTCATTATGACAAATACTAAATGTCTTAACACATCCATCATGACAAATACTAAATGTCTTAAACACATCCATTATGACAAATAATGAACACATTTGGAGCTATTTCAGAATCTGTAACTTTACCTGAGTAGCAACTTTTATTCACTGCTCATGTCATACATGTTACATGAGTCGTGGTGAAATGATTTTGGTATCTTGACCAATTATTATGTGAGATATTATGCCATAAAGAAATCATTTGAAAACGATCTGTAAAATTAACATCCTACTTCAACATCCTACTTTTCCCACACCAACTGAGATAATGAAGTGTGCAATGAGAGAAATTGTGACTGGACAGTGGCGTCTTCACCTACTCATTGAATTCAAACTGCCAAGAGGTCTTTTGCAGCCAGTGATGAAAAACAGCTTACAGACAGTCAATTAATCTGAATTGATTAATTCCATTGCATTTAGTAATTGAGCTAGAATGACAAAGGACACAATTCTACAGAACACAATTATTGTTTATTAAGGAGTCATGTTTCAACAAGGATTTTCTGGTCTCGATCAAACAATAAGTAGAGCATCCTAGTTGGAACATCACTCAGTAATAAATATTAATTGTATTCTGTAGAATTGCGTCCTGTGCGTAATCTGAACAAATTGTCTTTAAAAGATTTTCCCACTAAGAAATCTGTAGGCTAATATTGGTGGATTCAGTCAGTAAAACTTGCTTCAAGATTAGATAGGTGTACATGTAGGATGTTGAAGTAGAAATGTCTAATCCATTTAATATCTTAACCATCCAATATCATAGCCATCTGATAGTCTAGAGAGTTAATGATGGGTAATTATGTAAATAAATGTCTAAATAAATAAATGTCTAAATAATAAAATGGAATGAAATGGGTTTAACGTCATACTTTTCTGCACCGACTGGACTAATGAACTGTCACAATGTCAGAATAATGGATATTGTCATCAAATGGAATAAAATAAATACAGATTAATTAAAAATTAATAAAAATAATCTCAGTATAATTTGATCTAATGCAAGCAATTGATGTGTATAGGTCACATTTATAAAATGCATTAATTTCTTGCTCACAATAATTTATTGCTATAATATTAATTTAATATTGTGATAAACTTGAACCAAGCTACATGTACATTATATAAAATAAAATTGATTAATAATTCTTTCTTGAAAATAAAACTCATTTGTAATTATCATTTAAACAATTCATTACTAATGGTAAGTTAAATAAGTATTCAAAATAACATTTAAAATGGTATGTATTTAACTGAAGTTACAAGGAATCATACTAGTAGATATGGAAATATTAAAATTATAACCATTCGATATTTATGACAAATAATAGTTTAAAATATGACAAGAATTGTGTCCAATAATATAACATGGATGTTGTCCATTGACAAAAATGTGAGTGTTATAATGAAGTTGAAGTCCAAATGCATGATATATAAAAGTCCCACTATGATATATATACAGGACAATGTATGTGACGGTCCCACAAAAACATATATAAAATGTTTAATTTGATCAACTGCAATTCAAACATAACCCCTCGTGTTCATAATATAACCCTAAGTGTTCATAATTTATATACCCCACCCACCCGGTTTTATAATAGAAATGATGTGTTTATAATATAAATGATGTGTTTATAATATAAACAACATATTTATAATATAACTGTGTTTATAATATAAACAATGTGTTTATAATATAAATGATGTGTTTATAATATAAATCACATGTTTAAAATATAAATCATGTTTATAAATCATGTGTTTATAATATAAACCACATATTTATAATATAAACCACATATTTATAATATAAACGATGTGATATAATGTGTTTATAATATACACAATGTGTTTATAATATAAATCATGTGTTATAATATAAACCACATGTTTATAATATAAACCATATGTTTATAATATAAACCATATGTGTTATAATATAAACCATGTCTTTACAATATAAACCATGTCTTTACAATATAAACCATGTCTTTACAATATAAACCATGTCTTTACAATATAACACCTGTGTTTAAAATGAAGATTCTTGTTGTATTAAAGCTGCCCCATTCTGTTGTTTGATATGACCATTAGCGATGTGACCGTTCAAAGGTTTCGCTGTGAAAATCTCTTCTTCCTCTTCATCTTGACCTAAAACCGTTTCATGCATGTCATCAAGAAGACCTACAATATAATATCAAAACAATATTTTTAATCATGGAATCACAAATTATTGAAATCTTCAGTTATATAATGTTTTATAAAGGGGCATAATTTGGTATATTGATATGCACATTTGTTGTATATTGCTTACAATTTTTGTGTAGTTTGTATGTCTTGTCCGCAGGTTTGTATTATGGGTTTGTTTGCGTGTAGTGCAGTCCTGCTGCACTTACTATCAGAATACAGATTTGTAAGAGTCATTCATTGAGAATTAACCAGATTCACTGATTTTTATTCAATAAAATATATTTGGATCAATGCAGTGTTGCCATTTCAAATTCTTTCTTGTCAGACCACAATTATTAATCACCGCAACAAAATATTCAAATTCGTACGTAATAAAAATAGATGATCATCAGTGTGTAAAATATTTCTTTGTGAATGTTTCAAAATAAAGAAAATACTGACCTGTAATTTCTAGATCCCAAGTTTGTAGAGGAATTTCACCATTGATAAGATATAATACTGATTTAGTCGGCCACAGTAAATTAATTAATACAATATATCCTAATATCTTAGCAGCATATGATATACCTATAATATATAATAGACATATTATATCCTAGTACGATATGTACCTACAATATGCGAAAGAGAAAGAGAGATAGAATCGTGTTTTAATGTCCACTCGACACAAACTAGGTCATTTCGGGACCAACATATGGTTCAATTTTATTTCAATAATTCACTTGTGCGTAGGGGTCTTTAGCAGTGGGAGGAAACTGGAGGACCCAGAGAAAACCCCCTGAGGTTGAACAGGCAACCCCACTCCTTGCCACGTACAACCGGGGAAGCAAAACCATGCCAGTTGACTCAATGACAGACCTTATGATACAACGCGCACACGCTAACCATCCGGCTATCCCCCCTTAAAACACAATATGTTCACAGCGTTTATCGGTAAAAACACATTAACATATTTAAAAATAAATATCTTTCTTATCTGAGGAAAACAAAATACGTCAAAATTAATCAGCTGGCAATATTTCAAAAAGTGCCAATCGGATGATATTCTTTTCATAATATAAATCTCTCAAAGAGAAGTTTACTTACTGAGTATAGTTTTATATCTCCATAAGGCTGAAACTTGTGAACTGATTATAACTAGAACAGGAAGGTAAACAAACCACACCATGAAAAAAGCACCAAAATGTTGGAAGAACTGTAATCGATCGTTATGGTAACCTTGTTGTGAAGTTTTACGTAACTCGTAGAGAAACCAGATCATAATAACCATACGAAAGGCCAAGGTCAAATAGCCGGGATACGTCTGCCATTTGTCGGTGTTAATAACAGGATCCAACTCCATCTGAAATATATATTATTCAGTTGGTTGATTATACAATCCACTTAACCAGGAGGTCCTGGTTTGATCCCTGTGCTGGTCAAGGAAGCTTTCCTTCAATCCTTGTCAGGGATTCTGAATAGAGGGCATGGCATGTAATACTAATAGTGAGGTTTCAGCTGTATATGTAGTAGGGGAAGCACGTTTATGATCTCCTGACAGATGGATTTCAATTAAGAGATGGCTATAGCCCCTATGTAGCCTACTAGCAAAATTTTCATCATAGCACATTGCCCATTTTCATAACCAGAAAGCCTGCATATTTACCGGATTATCAAAATTGCTGTTAAATGAGCTATTACTTGGATCTCGAATTCTAAAATCTCTGGACACTGAGTATAAATCGAAAAATAATTTTAGCCTCTAAGAGCTGCCACAAGCAACTGTAGAAGATGGACAGACTGGGGTGGTGAAACAGTGTCACTGACACTATACAACCACATTTCAATGTGAGTGAAGATTTTCAGCATGGAAGCTGATCCTCTTATCTCCTCTTCATTATGCCCTTCCAATATCCCCTCTCCTACATCCCCTCTGCCCACATCCCACCTAATGTCTCCTCTCCTCTCCAGCTTATCCCCACTGCCCTTGAAAAACAAATCATAAAATAAAGTTGTACTTGACTTACCAGATTCCATATAAAGAGGACGATATTTAACACAGTATAAATTCCCCACAGTACATATAACACTATTTTACCCCGCAACTCATCCGTCGTTATGCCCCATCCTTTCGCTAAAAATATTAAAAATAACACGAAAAAACACTCCGACGTCAGGTCTATTAAATTACCAATCACAGCTAACCACGTAAATCCCGAACCTGTGGCTGCGATTAAAATTATATACAACAGGTTACATCCAATACTACCCATCTGCAGCACAAAACAAACTGTTAATATTTTCGTAATGCGATGTTTTTGTTTGAAGAAAGCATACAACCACATCGGTAAAATAATGCAACATATCACAAGCGCTGTAACGTGAATCTCAAACACATCATGGAGTTCAAATGAAAATTGATGTTCAAATGGATTGTAGTGTTTTAATTCTGGGTTTCCGTTCACTAACCAGATATCGTAATGTATAATGACATCGTCTGTTGATGTGTCGTGCCACTGACACGAAGGTTTGATGCCGTCAGTATCCAGATGACATGACACTAAACTCAAAAACCAGAACCTGAAATAAGAAAATAACCAATATGCAATAGCTAAACTTGCCTACATGACATGTATTGTCAAGTATATTTCTGGCTTCTAGTGTTATACATGTATAAGATATTATTTAGGCATTTATTTACTTGGCAAATGTAACCTTCTTCCAAGTTCATACCGAGTATTTTATTATATAATATATTCAAAACCTTATGAGCCTCTGTAAAACGAGTATATGGCCTTTAGTATGGGGCCCCTGCAGAATGAGTATAGGGCCTAGGTATGAGGCCCCTGCACAATGAGTATAGGCCCACAATGGTCTCCAACTGGTGGGCTATAGCCCTATAGTAAAATGAAGAAAAAATAATAAAATAAAATAATGTAAAATATATATAAATTTGGGGGCCCACTGAAGAGTTTTGGGCCCACAAGACAGTAAATTCACACCTGTAGCCATGACATTATTTGTACCCATGATCCGAAAATGTCAACTTAAATCAAATATGGAAACTATCGAGTAGGTGGACAATTGTGTAATTTCTTTAATTAATGTTATCATAAATATTACTCAGAATATTATTTTACTCATTACGCCGTCTGTCTACAATTAGCTCCTAATTTTAAGTCCTAAATCAACAAATTTAGTCGAAAACTATATTTTGAGAAATATTTATTCTGCTTTCATTTAAACATACATTATGCAAGAGCTAAATCTGCCAATTGCAGGTCTTTCTTTAGGCTTGAAATGTTATCAAAATTATTAATTAGATATTAATTAACTTATCCAGACCATAATCAACTCTTGATGGCATCGCTAGCCTGCGATATTTACTGGATTATGATCCCATTTGCTGCACGCCTTCCATTCATAATTTAATCATGAAATGGATGATCGAGACTATGTTTTTTATCGTACAGACTTTAGTAATGACTTTAGAGGATTCGAAACCACATCACTTGACTCAATTTCACGCCCAAACAGAAATTTCAATATTCCCGCCTTAACTTCATTCAGCATGGAATAAAAATGCAATATCCAATAGACAATTTACATTGATCAGCAATTTAAACAATATTATACAATATTATACATCAGTCACCATCTGTTAAATATATTGACGTCACCTCACTGTGATAATCAACATATTTAACTTAAAGTAACCTTTTATCAGAGGTTTATGTAAATAATTTTAGCAACAGATGTTTCAAAAATACACCGGTCATATTATAATTATATTTACGATTTTCATGGGGTTTTTAAAATTAATGTCTTCTTTTAATATTTTATTAAGAAATTGCACCAGTTATATTATAATTATGATTTTAATGCTTTTTCTAAATTACTGTATTCTTAATATCTAATAAGCAATTACAGCTCATCAACCTGTCAAAAAATGAAATGAGATTTAACATCATACTTTTATGCACCAACCAAGCTAATGACAGGGTTCTATAACTACATCTGCTGTCTGAATCCCGATGAAAGTAGCCATCATAACATGTCTCAGAATAAAGAAATTTGACCGAAATTTTCAATACAGTGTATATTCATTTTTTTTAAACTATAATAGCCATAACGGCCATCTCTTTCTCAAAATATCGCATAATGCCTCTTTAATTGTCAATTTCATCATGTAATACTGCGCGACACACAAAATACATAACACCATTAGATTTATTATAAAAACTGGTTATTATCAAGTTTTATCAAATTTATTTTTTCAACAGTTTGGTTTTAGGGAGAAGAGCTTTGTAAGTAAATTCACTTGTCTCTCATCCCTTTGATGATTTATGATCAATAAAATATGTTTAAAGTAACAGTTTGGTTTCCTATAGCAAAGATCAAAACAAAGAAACACAATTTATCTTTTATATACAGGTATGTACATCTATATATAGAGATATACATGTTTTATTGCCTGTCGAATACTAAGATATCCTCTCCTTTAGTTTCATTCAATGTTATATTGCAAGTCTGATACTAAGAGATCTTCACCTTTAAATCAATGTTTTATTGTCAGGGAGAGTTCTTTAATTCAATGTTTTATTGTCAGTCTGATACAGTAAGAGTTCTTTAATTATCATTTTATTGACACAACATAACCCAGTTGGTGTTAATGTCTTCTAATAAACACTATTTAACTTAATTTATATCAATGTGATACAGGGAATGTTTCCCTACAAATCAATGTTTTATTATTAAAATATATAAATACATTTGTGTTCTCCATTCTAACATTTCCCCAGCATCAAAAAGAACAAACAAAAGAACGGATAGCCATTTACGTGTATATTATGAATAGTAAGATGGAACATAAGTTTAGCTATATATTAAAGTGACTAACAAAATACTTATATCCAATATTTAAGACAAAATAAACATTTTACCATTGGTACACAAATCGTGTCTGGGGGGGGGGGGTCAAACCCCGCCCCCTGCTTAGCTACATAAAATTTTTTGTAAAACAACCTTTTTTATGTGAAAAGTGTCATAATTGTGCTTTATCCTTTATCACAATGTCATCGTATGAAATTCATAATAAAAATTGACGTCAAACAGGATGTTGGATTTCTCAGTTTAAAAAGCTCAATGTGTATGTATATATGCTAAAATAACGATAGAGACCATGTATTTCTCAAAAAATTTCAAGCCGAGGGGGGTGGGGGAGGGGGAATACATTTTCTCAGGAACCTTGCAATGGGCTTGCAAACCCCCTCCTGCAAAAATTCCTGGATCTGCCGCTGGTGTACCATAGTGCGTTTCAGCGTCATTTGTAACAAGTGACCAGAAAGAATGAGGCAAGACATATTCCACAACTCGTCAAACGGTCCCGCCATATCTTATCTGGAGAGCATGCGCAATAGACTGGAATAACCAGATGCTAGAAATTGCCATTCGGTTGGGACTCATGCTGTATTTCGCTGGACGTAACTGATTTGTAATTAATTAAGAGTCAAAACGGAAACAATTGAATGTAAATCAGTGTATATACAATCAGATTACATTATTATATATGTTGCGACTCATTTGGGTCAATTTCTAGGTCCCAAATATTAGCAATTTAGCTCCTTTAAAGTTACAATTTCATATTTTCTAAGAAAGTCAAAACACAATTATTTCTATGTCTTTTGCTCAATAGGTTGTCAACTCACTAATATACGATCATAGATTATCTTTCTCACACTTAAAATCTTCACACTGGAAATAATAACCCAATTACCTCCCTTGTTTTCCTATTCCCCACCATGGAATAGCTATCTTCAAACGTTTGAATTTGAAGTTGAAAATGATATTTTGGCCAATTTTTGAATTGGCAATAGTGAATTATAGGATTAATAGGATCATTCTTTAACTAGGTAGGACTGTTTATAGATACCATCTATTTTAGGGCTTTATTTTAATACATTTTAAAAATATAACTTAAAAATATGAAATTGTAACTTTAAACTAATGAATGAAGGCCCAAACAAACGAATGGTGGATGGCATACAATCATTTTTACATGTAGGCCCTATATTATGAATAGTAAGATGGAACATACATTTAGCTATATATAAAAGTACCTTACAAAAATATAAATACTGTATATAAACTCATAATTCCATCTTAACACTTTGGTTGTGCTTAACAAACAATGAATGAAGGCCCAAACATACCACTTCTTGTGATGTTGTGTTTATATACGAAATCCTACAGGAATGTGTTTTAATTGTATTATAAGTTAACACCTACATGTTCATATATAATCTGTTTGATTTACTGCAGGTAAAAAGAAATTTAATAAATCTTTAATATTTATTTTGTGAGAAGGGAGTGTTTTGATATTTAAAATCTAACATCTGTAAATTAAACATGCCTTCCAACTTACAAACTGTGTGATTTGGACTAAAAACATATTCAAAGGAGAGAGAGAGAGAGAGAGAGAGAGAGAGAGAGAGAGATGGGGTTTAATGTCCACTCGACACAGACTAGGTCATTTTGGGACTAACATATGGTTTAATTTTATTTCAATAATTCACTTCCGCGTAGGGGTCTTTAGCAGTGGGAGGAAACCTGAGGACCCAGAGAAAACCTCTGAGGTTGGACAGGCAACCTTACTCCTTGTCACGTACAAGCAGAGATTCGAAACCACGCCAGTAGACTCAATGACAGGCCTTATGATAAAGCGCACATGTGCTAACCATTCGGCCATCCACCCCCCCCCCCCCCATATTCAAACTAATTTATCTATCAAAGTTAGGCTTCAAATCCCTCTAAAAACTACCCCAAGTTGATTAAAGGAAGGGTCCAACTTTAGCTTGTACCATTTGTCGTTACTGGCTGTCCATTTACTGCCATTTAATCACAGTATCTCACAACTCGAGCCATTCAAATTTCAATCCACAAAACCAAGACCTCCCTATGTCATTCAAGGAAACAGCAAGAGACAGGCTGCTATTAATAATGCCCTTAAATTTTTGTCCTAAGTGGTAATCCAGTATTTTTTCTTTACTTTCCATACCAAATTTGCCATACAATCGAAATAATTATCCCATAAATACTTTCATGGGAATGTATGTTTAAGCCTATCTTGAATTTCTGCTTCGATAGTTGCAATATTCTTGAACAATGCCCATTATTTTCCTCTCTATAAAACTTTCTGCTTCGATAGTTGCAAGAACATAATGCACATTGTTTATATGTACTGTAGATGTAGTATCTCTCTGTAATATCATTTATATATGTACTGCAGATGTACACACAAAAAAAAACGTTCATCAATAAAAATCAAATAACTTCCAAAATTTGATTTAGATTAACACAAAAATTCAGCTACATTAGGTTAAGTCTATGTAGCAGACATCTCCAAAGTTTCAAGTCTGTACCACAAAAACTCTTTGTTTAACTGGCGCTCAAAAAATGTGCTCTAAATGAGCTCCCCGGTGCTGCAAGCACATTTGGATCCGGCGGGCAAAGTTCTCGATGATCCTCCCACATTCTTCCGTTGGGATCGCTTTTATTGCTGCTGTGATTGCTGCCTTCAGATCAGGGATAGTCTGGGGCTTGTTGCCATACACCCTGTCCTAAAGGTATCCCCACAGATAAAAATCTAGGGCGTTCAAGTCCGGTGAATGCGGCGACCACTCCGGGTCACACCTGCGGCTGATCAGTCGGTCAGGGAAACGCTGCTGTAGACATGCCAATGATTCGTTTGAGGTGTGGGGGGTGGCACCATCCTGCTGGAACCACTGGAGGTCTGAAAACATGCCGCTTGACTCAATGACAGACCTAATGATGCACGCGTTAACCAATCGGCCACTTAACACCCCTGTAAATTCAATACGTTTGTAGAAGACCATAATACATGTACAGCATAGCTTTGTTTACCTCCGGAGGTCACAGTGGCTAAGTGGGTAAGACGCTGGCTCGCTAGCCTGAAGGTCAGGTGTTCGATCCCTGCATTGGCCGAGAAAGTTCACCTAGATTTTTCGCCGTGGTTCCCCCTTGTCAGTGTTGCAGAACGGAGCGTCTGACCAGAACAGCTGTCTAGTCATTCGGAAGAAACGAAAAACCAAGTCCTGTGTACGCATTGGCGTGCGTGTAAAGGATCCCTTGACAGTTGAAATTCGATATAAGAGTAGGTAGTAGTGCCGTTGTCCGGGCAAAATTTCCCTCATAGCACACTGTATGGCTTATGTCTGTATGGCGTATGTCTGTCTTCATTAGCCCAGTTCGGAGCAATACAGTAGGACGTTAAACCCCATTTCATTTCATTTGTTTACCTCCATACAGAGATTGAACATAGTTAATAATAGGTGGTTTCCATTAGTTAATAACAATATTTTTACTTCAGCATCCAATGACTTTTATCATCCAAGGGTAAAATTTGATGGATACTTCTTAATCTATATCACATTCTGTTACAAACTCCATAATTTCAATATATAAACTGACTAGAAGAAAAAAATCTGAACACCAAGTCATAGAATACTAAGAATAGTAGTTTCAAAACTTGCGAAAGGGTACCTCGATTCAAAAGGTCATATTATTATATCACTATCAGTCAATTTTAATGTTAAGAGTCATATAACTTTGCAGTTTAACATAAGTTTGTATACATGTACTATAACATATATTTTTATATTGTTTTCATAATTTTCTGAGGGTGTCACCTGACAACTTTCTGAGAATTTGGTTCCGCTGGCCCTTTAGCATAGTACCAAAAGATGTCAGCTATCTGAACAGCAGTCAATCTGAATATTTTAGGATCTTGAGCACTATAAATATATAGAACCGGTAGATGTCAGACACCTGAATAGCAGTCATTCTGAATATTTAGGATCTTAAAGCATAGTACCGGTAGATGTCAGCAGTCTGAACAGCGGTCATTCTGAATATTTTATGGTCTGAAGCATAGTATTAAAATTAGTATTGACATATGGCATCCATCTGAACAGAAGTCATTCTGAATATATATGTTAGGATTTTAAGCTATGTTTACACTTGGGATTAATGTGGATTAAGTCCTGAGAAATTTGATATTTAGTGATGCATCTTTAACAATGTTGACCTCTAATAATGTCACTTAAAATAATGTTAATGCAGCAATGAATATATATTATGTGACAGGTGCTATTTCTACCTGAGTAGGTGATCAATCTACCTGCTAATATTTAACACAATACCTGCAACAGCTACAAATAATAAAAAATACAATAGAATCATTGATTATAGTTTTAGTCCGTTTTAATAACATCATAATTTATGTGCCATAAAATGATAATAAAGTTCAGTAAACCAATACTTTTGTTAAATATACACATTAGATAATTATAGAGACATGAAATAAAATGGGGTTTAATTAACTTCCTACTGTTTTGTTCCGACTGGGCTAATGAAGATGTGTAAATAATTAGACCTACTTGGGCGGATCTTACATAAATAATTAGGCCTAATGGGCTGAGACTTTACATACATAAAAAGTCTAATGTATAATGAACACATTAATTAATTTAAGCATTCTAATAATAAAAGACCATTAAAGTTTATTATTATCAGAGATAATATCATTTTACACAGATGAGCTATGAAGTGACAGAAATTTGAGAGATGTTATAGATAATTAGGCCTATGAGGGTGGGCTGAGTCTAATGTACATATATATGAACACATTAATTAAAGATACATTATCGGAGATCAAATAAAGAGCCAGCAGTTCTCTCTATAATAGTTAAAAACTAGATAATGTAAAGGCAATTTGCTGAAAATTGATCCACTCTTAACCAAGATTTTAGCGACAGAATTTTGGGCCTAGCCCCAATTATCATTACTAAAGTCGGTACCGTACGTTAAAAAACATAGTCTCCATTATCCATTTCATGATTAAATCATGAATGGAAGTCGAAGAGTAAATCGGAACCTAATCCAATAAACATCGCAGGCCAGCGATGACATCGAGAGTTGATTATGGTCTTGTCATATTAATAAATGTCTAATTATTTGTCTAAACATATTTGTATTTACTGATAGTTTTTTTTTTTTTGTACTAAATTATAACTTCCGTTTAGTTGGATGAAAGCAAAAGTAGGAATATGCATTATGCAAGTTACTGAATTTTGACTGTAAGTGTCGATATTAATCGACGTATGAATACAAGACAAAGGTTTTGTTTATTCAGAGTTTCAGGTATTATTATTCCCAATACGTTATGCAATTATGGTCGTGAACAATCTGATTAAAATACAGATCTATATTTTGTTTCGTTTTTTTTTATCTTTCGATGGCCTACAGTACATGAAGATCTGACAAGTTACATGTATAGCGATAGGTCACGTCAGGGGTCAAAAGACTGACTTTTAACCTTATGACGTCAGACATATGATTAACCAATCAGCATTGATGTTACTAATGGATTACCCACAGTTCTGTGCAATACATGCATAAGAGTGGGATCGAAATCATCTCACTTCACTCAATGACAGATCTTATGATATAAAGCGCATAAATAAAATGGTGTTTTACCTCCTACTATTCAGCACCAAACAGGCTCAAAATAAATATTAGTTTTCAAGATTATTATTCGGATTAAAAATATAATGAATGAAATTTTTGAATTATTCATTAAAGTGCAGAATAGTATGCTTAAATTGATTAATGTTAACGTAACATGTGGACTTGTAATAATTGTAATAAAATGCTTCTCATGTTACAAATGAGTTGTCTGCAACCAATCATACTATCATAGATCAGACTACATAATGAGTTCAGGGACAGAAATAGACACATGTAGGTTTATCAACGACTTTAATCATTTGATTGAAGAGTTTAGAATAGAACCTACATTGTAAACTCATTTTTCAATAAAATGCCTACATGTTTATGCTATGTACGCACACATGTAGTTTCTGACTGACAACTGTTATAATTCAGATAAGGTATGGTACCTCATCTCTCGACTCTCTGTGTCTCAAGATAAGGGAGGGTACAGTAGCCTTCATCACATGAATCACAACAGCATTAACTGAACAAAAACTATCATATTGGTCTTCAAAACAATGAGTGAATATTAAATTATTATTCATTCAATTTCCTCGACACAGTCATACATATTTACATGCCCCCCCACCCTTAATAAGAAAAAAAACCTGCAAACTCAGAACTTAGGACTAATAGGAGAGTTCTTGATCAGTTGTTTGTATATGGTCAGGATTGCTAGTAGAAATAAAAAACTAATAACTCAGCAAAGTTATATAAGGCATTAAACCACTTGAAAAACCAACCCTTTCCCTACACAAAAAGGAGTTATATAATACCAATGACTTGAGATCTTAAGCACAAGCATACATGCATCTTGGTCTTAAGTAATGTCCTTAATTAGGTGTACATATCTATTGCTCATTATATAATTATTGTGTAATTCATGGATTGATTGGTCATCTTTCATCATTGCAATTTAAATTGGCGTAAAAAGGGACATGTTTTCTGATTAAAGGGACACCTCCACATCAATCGGTAAAAAAGAACTGTTAGACAGGGCCAGTAAAATAAATCAGTACTATTATCTATTATCTGTATACAAATATTGATTCTTAAAATAATGTCTGAAATTTCACTATATCATATAAAAGAATATTAAAAAAAATCTAATATCTAATATAAACTAAAAAAATATCATCATTACCCTTACTGGTATACAAGAGTAGGGTATCTTTTTTTTTTTTTTTATCTCAAATGACAAGTAAAATTGGCTATGGTCTGGAACTCAATGCTGTATCTTCATGTGTACTGGCAGTCATTTCTCAAAAAGGAAATGGAAAGAATTACACATTTCAGACCAGCTGACAGCAACCACATAAAAATGACAGATAAGGGAAAGTGTCAGCAACCCTAAAAAATTTCCAAGACAAAGAGTCAGTCAGACATTAGTAGACTTTACTTACCGTGGTCGTTGAGTATCCCTAACTCTATATGTAAATTGATATCCTGGAATCACATTTAATGGTGTATCTTCATCTACACATAATTTATCTCTTGGACATGGAACACGCCGTAAAAAATCTTCCGGACCTTTCGGAAAACATATTGCATCAAAAGCAATTCTGCTGATTTTCTTCATCATTCGATTGCACGAATTTGGAGATCTTGTCCTATTTCCAAAAAAATCTACAAAATATTCACTATCAACAACAACAAGCAATAAATTGTTAGTAATATTTGATTGCGTCGTGACATTTCCATAGATATATCCTTGTGTATTCTCCCCGTTATTCGGATCCGTTTTCTGAAATCCAAATTTTGATAAGAATCGGAAATAGGTGTTTGCTTTAAGAGTTCCTTGTAGCCTCAGTCCATTTATACAGGCAAATATGGAACACACAAGAAAAAGTATGTAAATCCATCGCAACTTCATTTTGATTTTTTCTCTAACACAGTTCTTGAAACGTCAAAATTTATAAAATATTCCAGCGTGTCGTCTGACTCAACTTTCGACGGCCGCCATGTTTACTAACAACCAGATCACGTGACAACCTTATTTAGTTCCGGGAGTGTGATTTATTAACGTTCTGCTTAAAGGGACACTGCAACATAAATCGCAAAAAAAAAAAAACAACCCAAGTTACATGGGACCAGTTAAATACACTAGTTATGTTATCTGCTTAAAGGGACACATCATAATTATAAAAAAAAGAACTGTTAGACTGACCCATATTATAAATGAGTTATGTTATCAAATAACTTAGCTGCAATATTTGTAGCCGTGATAATTCTTTTTTACGGCTACATACAACTGATACACTACATGAGCCTCTGCACAAGTAAAATTAGGTTCAATAGCAAAATTTTCATCACATATCATCACAGTTTGGATGGAAATAAGTAATTATGTTACAAATAGTGAAGAGTGGAACACTGAAATCTTAATCTTATTTTACCGAACAGTTTTTCTGTAATTTCAAGTGACATGAAATCACCTGATTCTGATTTGGCGGCCATTTTAAAATGAACAGAAATTTCGCATAGCATTTGGGTTTAATCAAAATATATAATTATGCGGTAAATTTTCACCTTTATTTCAATGGGAATTGGTTTATTATATGTTAATTTATGTACAGTACAGTTTGGGTTCAGTGTAATTGGAAATTAAGGGAGTTATAGGCCAGTAACTTTTTTGTATTCAAATGACTACAAAACTTCTTCAAAGGAAGGCCTTAGGACGATCCACTACTGTGGCTGGAGCAAGACGGAAGACATCAGTAGTGGAACCATGCATTTCTATATAAACTGTACAAACTTTAGTATCTTATTATATGTATTTTATTTTGTCTAGATAAATGTGTTCACAATTTCAGCTGTTGGCTATGTGATCTAGGTAATCGAATGCATCCAATCTAGAGAATAAGGTTCTTACTTGTGTGGTTTCTATCCCAAGCTTGTATGTGACAAGGAAAAGAGTCGTCTGCAGTCCAATCTTTCATCCTCTAAAGACCCCTTCATGCAAGCAAATTATTGAAATAAAATAACATCATATTATGTTAGTCCCAAAATGACCTAGTATGACTATGTAGACATTGGGAGATGCTAATTGTAGACCGGTTGGGGAGGTTCGGGAATTTCCATAGTCAACAATAGTCGCTTTATATAAATTTTGGGGAATACTAACCCTAACACATTTTAGAAGACTGAACTTGGATCCAATTTACCTTTTACCTGTCTTAAAAGACTTAGGGTTAGGGTTAGTATTCCCCAAAATGCTCATTGTTAAAAAGCAGCCATTGTGGACTCTGGAAATTTCAAAACCTCTCCAATCGGCTTACAATTAGCATTCACCATAGACATTGTTGTTGTTCTTAGTGTTTAATGTCCGCTTCCACCAAAGCTGATATCGCAGACAAGTTGTCTTTTTTTTAAATTTTCATTGTTTTAGCACACGCGCAGGGGTCTTTCCCGTGGGAGGAAACCAGAGTACCTGGAGTAAACCCACGAGGTTGAGAAGGTGCCCCTATCTCCAAGCCACATACGCTCACACCAGGGATCGAAACCACACCCGCAAGCCAGAGGTGTTCGGCCAGCTATAGGTCAAAGCGTGACACTCTAGACCACTAGGCCATCAACCCCCCCCCCCCCACCATAGACATTACATCTTCCGTCTCTTATCTAGTGTGATAAGATTCATAACAAAAGGGGGCATAACTCTTGAAATGATCACTGCAAATCAATGAAAATGATGATAGATAACCACTAAATTTTTGCGGGATGAATTTGACATACAAAGTTATTATTATGGTCACCGGTCCAATCCTAAGGAGGGGAATTCTGTCAAGGGTTCTTTTATGTGCACCGTTATATGTATACAGGTTTTAAAGGGGGGAACCAGGCATTAAAAATTGTGGGGGTCATCTGGCCCTACTCTGGAATCTGAATCAGTGACCTGACCACTTAATGCCCTGCAAATGTTGTATTACCTTGAAAATATAAATTTTGCAGTGACTTACCAAAGCTTTATAGAAATATTTTATAAAATCAGACTTGGGGCACTAGTAATGCGCCAGTGCCAAAGGGTTAAAGTAATACCGCTGCAAACGGGTCTTAATGTGAATTTGGTGTAGACAGTAAATGTGTGGAATGTTTGGGGTTAATGCTTTGTTAACACAGTACTTTGGGCATTTTCAGACTAACATATGATTCATTTTTGTTCTATGGTCACAAGTGACTCACAACTCACAAATGCTATTCTTTGAGTAGAATTTTGCACCGACAGCAGCGTATATCCACCCAATTCAACACAAGTGGACCTCAGACTTTAATCTCATCGGAAAGACTTGCAACAGTGAGTTGGAACCTGACTTTAAAAAAAATCTTAGTCCACCTCTAGATTCAATCCCAGGAGTATCTCGTCAAGATGACGCCGCCCATATCGCTTGTTTGCCATGGCACCCAAGTAGAGCAAGGAATCATAAAGCTGTATAGGACAAACAATAACATGATGTAATATTTATTTTGTAATGACAAGTCTGATATACAAGATATAAACATCATACATAAAATAAATTCACTTGTCTACCTCATTTTACAAATATATAACAAGGCCTAACCATGGCTTAATTTTACAATTTAAGATGTAATATCACCTCTCACGGACACTGTCAGAAACAAATTCAGATTTTGGTCAGACACAATTTCTCATTATTTCCAAGCCATAATCAATCTGATTAAAACACAGATCCTATTTCATCTTGTTTTTTATAGTTAAAAATTTTGTTTTACTTGTCTTTACTACACTCGGATCTAGAAGAGTTGTTATATAACCCATGTTCTGGTTGATGTGAGAGATTAGCCAATAAAATGGTCTGTTACGGCGAGCTCTTGGCGTGTGGTGCATGGAATTGTGGGTATCCTACTAGAAACACCAATGCTGATTGTTTAATCAAATGTCAATGGGTCAAAAGTCACTCGTATGATCCCCGATCCAACCTCCCACTACAACTGGTCAGATCTTTATGTAGTAGAGACCATGCAAAGTATAAAAAAAATGAAATGAAATATAGATCTGTATTTTAATCAGACTGAGCCATAATATAACATTTACTTTATTTCCATTTTAATGCAAAGTCTTTTTGCCATGGTTTTTTTTTCCTCATTTTTTTAAAGCACCAACCAAGTAACACATAATAACATATACAAAATTGGCCACTATCATTCACTGTGTTTCATGTGACATATTTTACTGAATGTTCCAAAATGGAAATGGAAAAATCGCCCAATTCAGAAGATTGTGCAATAACAATCGAGCTTCCCTATTTCATTCAATTATCTTAATTCAAAATGTTATGAAGGAGCCCCATAGATTTGCATTCAAACAGAGCACAACACAATCCATGTTCGTTCAAAATATGATATATCTGGAACAGTGACGTCAATCAAGAAAATGTGTTCCTGTATCGTTTTGTACTTTCTGTTTCAATCTACTCATTTGACTTGCTGGCAGCCTCCTTTAAATATTTTCAAGAAATGAATGGGGATGACTCAACAACGGGGACGTCATTCACAAAATTTAATATGATAAAAACTTTATATTTTTTGTTCCCATTCCAGTGCTCAAATGATGTGCTGGCATACTCTTTCAAATAGTTTAAACATTTCAAATGAGATGAAACAAGATGACCCGATATACAAAATTGTTTATAATATAAACAAATGAATGGAGATCACTCAAGAACAGTAATGTCATTCAAGAAATACAATATGATAGAAACTTGTTCCTGAATACTTGTTTCCTCATTAATGGAATATGACATGAGTTGACTTAAGACGGCCCGACATACACAATAGTTTATAAATGGAACTAAAAACATCGACCATTATCACCGCCTTTGTGTTATACGTACTGTAGCGAGCCCAGATTGTGTCATATCAGACCCAGGTTGCGATTGAGGCATGGCCGCTGTCGATGTGAGTTGACTCAAGATGGCCTGATATACACAATTGTTTATAAATAGAACTAAAAACATTGACCATAATCATCGTCTCTGTGTTATACGTACTGTAGCAAGTCCAGATTGTGTAGTTTCAGGGCCAGGTTGTGATTGGGGCACGGCTGCTGTCGATGTGAGGGGATAACCAGGTGCTTGATAATTGGGAGGAATGGTGCTTGGTGGGTAACCTGCAGGTGGAGCTGCGTATTGTTGCGGTTGTTGTGCTGGTGGGTATTGGTACTGATTAAAACCGGGAGGGGGGTGAGCGTATTGTTGTTGAGGGGGCTGGGTACCAGGTGGGTAGCCGGCAGCAGGGGGATATCCCCCAGGGTAGGACTGCGTGTATCCTGCAGATGCAGGAGCTGGGGGATAACCTGGAGGTGGTTGATAACCTGGGGGGTATGCTCCAGTACCGTAAGGAGCCGTTGATGTTACAGTGTTCGGTCTGATTTGTTGCGCTGGTGGATAATTTTGGTATGCTGGTTGATTGGCTTGCGTTGAATTACCAAATAAGGCTTGAATTTTCTGATTTCCTTCTTGAGACATGAACGATGATGAATACATGCCCGTCTGGATGTAGGGGTTATAGGGTGTGTAACCGGAAGAAGTATACAAGACTTGACCAGGTTGGGCCGGGGCTTGATGTGGAGGTGGAGCAGGTTTACGGGGATTACCTCCCTTGGGATCGAGTTTAACTTGCTTGCTAGGAGGAACACCTTCTGCTGGAGATGTCTGAAATAATCAATTATAAAAATATATCTTTTTTAGCAACTTTTAGACAGCCATAAAGGATAAGTTCAACTGATACAGATTCTTTATATTACACCTGCTGCAGTTTTTTTAATGTTGTTGGCAATTTTCAAACAGCCTTAAGGAGAATATCTGTCGATTTGTATATTTTATTAAAGACACAATAGTTAAGAGTTTAATAAAAAGTTGGTCATTCTTGCTATAAGCCTCGCTTTCCCATTTTTGAATTAAATTTTTAAATGACGAACTGTTTTAACCTAAATAAAATCTTGAATATCCAATGCCATCGAGAGTTGATTATGGTCTTGTCATGTTAATAAATGTCTAATTAATAGTTTATATAATATTTCAGGCCTAAAGAAAGACCTGCAATAGGCAGATTTAGCTCTTGCATAGTGTATGTTTAAAGGAGGAACTTCAAACATTGCAGGTGTTTTACATTTCTATCCTATTTATCATTCGGTTTTGAATATTTTATAAACCTAGCTCAATCTAAAAGTACAGATTCTTTTATCTTTAATTAACAAATGAATATGCCAACTGCAACATTCTGAGGGTAAATGTCTTGTGCTCTCACCATGCTGTAGTTGTTAACAACCTAACATCTTTCTTAGTTTACAGCTGTTAAAGCACCTGGTTTTGTTTATAAACAGCAGTTGTAAGTTACCCTGTTGACATAATAAGGCTCATCTCAATTTGTTAATTAAATCAAAATAAGATGTATTTGGATTCAACACGGCTTTATTTATAAAAAAAAAACTGAAAAAGAATAAAATATATAGAATTGGCAATAACTCGACTTTTCAATCGACTGGGCTAATGAAGATGGGCATACGTCTTACAGTGTGCTATGAGGGAAATTTTGAACTGACAGCAGCGCTACGTCCCGCTCTTATATCGAAATTGAATTCCAATTGCCAAGGGGTTTTTATGTGCATGCCAATGTGTACATGGGACCGTGGTTTTTTGACCCATTCAAATGACTATCCGAATGTTCCTTGCCAGGCCCTCTGCCCTGCACTACTGACAAGGAGGAACCACGCTGGAAAATTCAGATTAACTTTCGCCACCAACACAGGGATCAAAGAGCTATGACCAAAAACTTGAAATAAGCCTTACCGGTCCTCTAACTTTACTTGGGGTTCCACCTCCAGTTTTACTTTTACCAGACGGACTAAGGGGAGGTGACTCTTCCTTTTTACGATTTTCTGGTGAGTAAAGATCTAAAACTTGATGACATATATCTTCCATTAACTCCATTGAAATATCTTCCACGATCGCATCCCACCATTTTATTTTTGATCCAGGCACCTTGCCCTGCCAATCCGTGATTTCAAATTTAGTTAATCTTGATGCCAGGTACAGGAGAGATGTCGCTATGATGTCTGGTTCCCACTGGAGACAAAGAGTTGTACACATACTGAAAATATAAGATTCAAATATTTTTGATTTTCTTCTTTCTTTCTTTTTTATCAAAATCAAAGAGATGGGGTCCCTTTAATTTTCATTAAATACTGTCCAAACGAGTATAGATATATAATGTGAAAGGAAATGGTGATTTAATGTCATGCAGCGTGTTATGAAGGAAATTATGCCTGGGCGGCTGTGTTTCTGGCCACTGTTCATCGAATTCTAACTCTTTTTTAGGTGTACACAAATAAAAGACTTGTTTTGTAGCCTCTTCCATTCAAAACTTTCTGGTTAGTGAACTAGCAACTTACTCACTGAGCAACCATGACTTCCATGTAACTGTGGAAGAAATATATCTTTAAAGTAAATTTTTTTTTACCTGTCATTTATAAAAGTCCATGCCATCTGAACCATTTTCTGTATTTTTTCTTTGTCTCCTGTTGAAATAGAATATTATCATACACACAATTATATTTAAAGTCGCTCATAATCATTGAAGGATTCTGAATCTTTTGCCAACTACAATTATTGTGAAAGTTGAAAATCGGGTTTGAGCCAAAAATCGGTCATTTTCTTTCAATATTTATGATGATTTGAAAATTTCCCATCCAATCTGATTAAAATACAGATCTATATTTCGTTTCATTCATTTTTTATATATTTTCGATGGCCTGGCCTACACTACACAAAGATCTGACCGGTTCTAGAGGGTGGTTGCGGCAGGGGTTGTGTGATCGGCTTCTGAATATGACATCAGGCATTGATTAACCAATTAGCACTGATGTTTCTAGTGGTTTACCCACAGAACCATGCATCGCACGCGAAGAACTCGCTGTAACAGACTTTTTCATTGGCTAATCCCTCACTTCAAACAGAATGCGAGTTACAGAACAACTCTTCCAGATCCTAGTGTAGTAAAGACAAGTAAAACGAAATTTTATACTATAAAAAACGAAATGAAATAGGATCTGTGTTTTAATCGAATTGTTTCCCATCAGTCGATATAAACAACTTAACAAGCCAGTGTTACGTAAACTCTTTTGATGATCCTCTTTGTAATAGGACTGAATTGAAGTCAGGCGATTACTGTCGATATTTTGCTTTCCCAAATTTTAAATTAACAACTTACCCAACACAAATTTAGCATATTTTAAAACTTTTCCATATGGATGATCAATCTGAAGATCAAATTTGATTGTTTGAAGTAAAATCCTTTCCATTGTCATTATTTCTTCCTATAAAATACATAAAATGAAATATATAAACTTTTGTATATTATTATAAACTTTGTCATTATCTGTTCCTATAAAATATATCAATTAATTTTCTGTCAAACTGGACTGTACGAATATTACTACATTCTTCGATTTTTTTATCACAAAATTAACACTTGTTTTCATTTGTAAGATGATATGAAATGAAATGGAGTTTTAACGTCCTACTGTTCTGCTCCGACTGGGTTAATAAAGACAAACATACGCCATACAGTGTGCTATGAGGGAAATTTTGCCCGGGCAGCAGCATTAAGGCCTACTTTTATTTCGAATTCCAACTGCCAAGGGATCTTTTACGTGCTACCAATGTATACATGGGACTTCAGTTTTTCATCCCATCCGAATGACTAGACAGCTGTCCTTGTCAGGCCCTCGCTTTTGCACCACAGACAAGGGGAAACCATGTCGGAAAATCCTGATGAACTTTCTCAGCCAATGCAGGGATCGAACACGTGGCCTCCAGACTAGCAAGCCAGCCTCTTCCCACTTGGCCACCGTGGCTCTGTTTTTTATCACAAAATTAACACTTGCTTTCATTTGTAAAATGATACGTGTTGATAACAGAATAATAAAACTGTTAGAATAAACTGGAATCAATCCTAGAAATAAAGCAGCTGTCACATATATGTACAGGCTTCGGCAGGTATAATCACTTTGTCTGGTAAAGATTCCTCTCTTGTTCTGTGTTAACCATTGATATTTTTAATAGGCCTATAGGTTATCATAGTGTTCCAAATGCCAGGTACTAGTTCTGTGTTTTCTGACCTTTTGTCAGATAAAACTAAAATCGTTATTTCCAGACTGAATCTACATCTTAACTAAATCATTTCAGACTAACATTATCTATGGTTTGTTAGGTTGAAGAGAATTTTGACGGAGCAGCAGTAATTCCAATTACAAATCTTCTCAAATTGAAATCATCAACTTACCCTGGGGTCATCACCAAATACAGCAAACAGGGAGGGGCTTAATAATGATTGACATATTTTAATTATGTCTTTACATTTCTTTGGTGTTTCCTCGACTTTACCAGATAAAAATAAACAACATGCTGCCGTTACCTGAAATATGAACAGAATGACAGGTGTTTTAAAAATATTGTTGTACATAACTTTAAAGATGATAATAGTCAATTGCATTTTTCATTTCGGTCCTAACATATGGTTGAATTTTATTTCAATAATTCGCTTGAGCGTAGATGTCTGTGATGGGACTCATTTATATGGTACTCTATTGCTATTCCGTCACTTCAAAATATTCTGCAAAGTGACAATTGACCATCTCCTATAACTCAGATTAGCCATATTGCATGTTCTTGGTGATACTGTTATAAAGAACTAGCTCCAAAAATTATTTACTATTATATAATTACAAATAATAAAATATTTACTTACATATCTATGAAATTCTTTAAAAGAGTGAAACATATAAAATCTGTGAAAATATGTCACACCTGTAGCACAGGTATCATAACGACTGAGTGAGTTAAGGATAAATATTCTAATAAAATATCGCAAGTTAAAAGGCTACTATTTTTTTTTTTGATACTTTGTTTCATACAGACGATAGAACCCTAAACTTCTAAGTAACTTGTATTCCATATATATGTGTCATGTGTTATCATATGTAGCAGTTTGACTTAAATTAAAGTTTGTACTTCAAATTAATTCAATCGAATATTCAAAGACAAATTTAAACATCTACTGTATGGTACCCGAGAGAGAGAAATGAGGTTTAACTTCCACTCGACACAAACTAGGTCATTTCAGGACTAACACATGGTTCAATTTTATTTAAATAATTCGCTTGCACGTAATGATCTTTAGCACTGGGTGGAAACCGGAGAAAACCCACGAGGTTGGACATGCGACTCTACTCCTTGTCAGTACAACAAGGGGAAGAATTTAACATTAAAGAAAGAAAGTTAAATCTGCTCATACACACTAGGTTATTTTGGGAATAACACACATGTATGACACATGTAAATAAATCTTTATTTCAATAATTCATGTGCACGTTCAGGTGTATATAAGTCGGTTTAAAGTTAAACTAGCGAAACCAGAGAAAACACATGACATTAGGCAAGTAATCCAAAACCATGCCATTTGACTCAATGACAAATCTTACTTCTAAAGCGCATGAATTAGACCTCTCTGTCAGACAAGCGAGAAATTTGTTAAAGTTCAAGGCTAATTTGTTGCTATGGATACACATAGATTGATCCTCTGCTGGGCATGTGCATAAAATGTATTATATATTACAAAAGGATACAGTCCTAATTTTGTTCCAGCATCAATAATAAATCTTGCTCCTTCTTTTCTATACCGTCCTTCTGTAGCAATGTCAAGGCCATCACGAATAGATGGAGAGTTCTTGATATCTTTTTTCTCAAAGTACCAACACGGCATGATGGGTATTTAATTTCTGTCTGTCAACAATTTACTGAAAATACCAGAACATACAAATAGAAACACAACACTGATATACATGAAACACATCATTTGAATTTTTACACACTGATCTACATGTAACATAGCTAAATATTCCGAGGTAAATCTGATGGGTTTGTTCTTGGCTAGGATTTGATTTTATTACTATTAGTTTCACCATGCAAACCAATCTGATTAAAATACAGATCTATATTTCGTTTCGGTTTTTTATACTTTCAATGGCCTACACTACATGAAGATCTGACCAGTTGTACTGGGAGGTTGTGTCAGGGGTCATACAAGCAACTTTTGACCCTATGACATTAGACATTGATTAATCAATCAGCATTGACATTTCTCGGGGTGTACCCACAGTTCCGTGCTGAGCACGCCAAGAACTTGCCATAACAGACCGTTTCATTGGCTAATTCCTCACATCAACTAGAACGCCTGTTATATAACAAATCTTCCAGAGCCTAGTGTTGTGAAGACAAGTAAAACGAAATTTTGAACAATAAAAAATAAAACGAAATAGGATCTGTGTTTTAATCAGATTGCATGCAATCCCATTTATTTATTAATACATTGTCTGTAACATCATTAAAATAAGATAAAGTGGTATACGATTATAACTAATTAAACCCAGTATAGCAACACAGCTGTAGCATAACTACAAACATTATCGGTTATATTAATCATTTACACTGACTTTCGACATTTCATTTTTATACTACTTACTATTTATCACAATTGCTGTGAATCATGATATACCCATGATAGCAAGTTTGCTAAAAGAAACTATATATAGCCTAGTATTACATGTAGTTCCCTCGGGCCCGTATCTACAGGGGGGCGCGCGGGGGCATGGTCCCCCCCGCGTGAAATGCTCGCCCCCCCGCTCAGAAATTGCTAACAATCATTTAAGTATACACAGTTCCTTATATTAACCTAAAAAAAAACTACGCTTCCCTAAGCAGGAGGAGGTAGCCTATAATTCAGGCAACAAATGAATTGCATGCTAAACTACAAACGAAAGACTAGGTAGCTAATAACATAATCAAGGGAGATAACTCTACCGATACCGTTTTAGGCCACGTTGTCACAAACACTACATACATTATTATTGACACTAAAAAAACAGGTAAAAAAATTGTTTTGTCCAAGGAATTTGGAAATATAGATTGGTCCGAACTGATGGATAAATATATTACGTCAAAGTCGCCAAGGGTAAGGTCTGAAACGGCATCTACATCTATGGACAGAAGTAACGAGGTCAGCAAATGCCCAAATGATCTTGGAATGTTGACCACTTGTCCGGCACAACCGCAGACAGGTATACAATTCCCGAAAAATTCTTCTGGCCGGAAATTTTCACCCATGTGGTATGCATGTTTTCCATAGCTTGAGTATTCTGTAGAACGTGACAATGCCTTCTGCTATACGTGTCGACATTTTGCCCCTGACGTACATGCGCCATCGTAACTTGGTTCTGTTGGCATTTGAACGAAGACTAACTAAAATGATTGACATGGACCAATTTATTACCAAATTTCAACCAAAACACACGCGACTGCAACTATCATAAACTAACTGTTTGAAGCCATATGCCAGTGCGACTCGAATCAAACATTTAGCGGTATTTATTTAAAACGCTATGCTATCAGTATGCGCATATTAATCCCACGGTATCTCATTACTTTATAAACCATTTTTTTGTACTAATCTAAAATAGTTTTAAATAAATTTTAAAAATCACGATTTTTTTTTGTTTGAATACTTATTTTAAAATGCTTATTAGACGCCTAGGTAACTACATAGCATGATGATTACAACAGACTGTTGTAATCATCATGCTATGTAGTTACCTAGGCTATGTAGTTACCTAGGCGTCTAATAAGCATTTTAAAATAAGTATTCAAACAAAAAAAAATCGTTAGAATGACCTTTCCGAAAATTTCCTCAAAATGTTCGCCCCCCTACCGAAAGGTAATGCCCCCCCGCTTAATGGTGTCTAGATACGGGCCCGAGTTCCCTTCTTAAACTGGAGACATTCAGGGTCTAAAGTTGAGGTACCTTATCTTCAACCAAACGTTTAAAAATCTATTACAGAACCCATGATTAACCTACTCCCAACAATATGATTGAATATGATCTGGAATGTTATTTAATGGCGCTAACCTCTCTGGCTTAACTTAAAATTAAGTATAATTAGCCTAGTATGGTAGTACTAGTACTAAATTCGGTTGATCTAATCAGTTATTGAAAAACACAATTAACAACACCCCCCCCCCCCGGCCCCCACCCACCTTCAAGATCAGATATATAACTTACGGTGGAATCGGACGCTAAATAAAGATATTTCACCCACAGCAACGCCAGTCTAGCTCTTATTCAATAACTTATAAGTATCATAATCATGCCGGCTGATATGGTAGCACGTCATTTCGGTCCCGCGTCATTTCGGACTCAGCACAAACGTCGTTTCGGACTCAGTATGGCGACTTTTCGGACTTACTCGGTGTCATTTCGGACTCAGTCAAACGACATTTAGGACTCGGACCGGCGACATTTCGGACTCGGACTCGGACTCAAATAAAACTTAAAATTATGTGTGTATATATTAGTAATAGCTGTTTTTCTTTCGTTGTAGGTGAGGCTCAAGACAGACCATTCACATTAATAAAGATTTAAACATTGTTAGTCTTGTTTTATTTATCCCATACAGGCCATTACTTGACAACACGCCTTTGAACTTGAACTTGAAGTAAAACCTATGCTACTTGCCTTTTTTGTATTTGTTTATTTACTTGATCGGATATTATTGTATTTTGATGAGTAAATTTTGATTGTTGACGATGAATTAGTTTAGATTGTTGACGATAATCGATCCGCGATTGTTGTTTTAATCTAGCGATTAGTGAATCCAGCGATTAGTGAAACCATCCCATTGTTGTATTTAAGATTAATAGCGATAATTGATCGGCGTTTCTAATAGCCGCTAAGAAATGATTGAGAAATAAAAACACTGATCGGCGTTTCTAATAGCCGCTAAGAAATGATTGAGAAATAAAAACACTGCAACTCGTATTTAATCTGGTGTTGATTAATGAAAGCAAGCTGAGATTAATGAAGCCGTTAAGAAATGATTGAGCCCAAGCTCAAATGTATTATATATATGTGCCATATTTCATACATAGAAGATCAATGGATTTCATCTCGTCTGTTTCCAATAGAAGATTGGTGCGTGTTTATGTTGCCAGTGAGAACCAATAACGACGTGGAGGGCTGGCACAACAGACTAAATTCCCGTGTCAACGCCAGAGGTCCTGTGCCATTTTATCTATTGATTTGCGCACTTTTTTCAGAAGCTACAAAGATACCACTGGACCTCACAATGATGTCGGAAGGTTCATTGAGACGACACCAAAGACGTCGGTATCGACATGTAGAAGGCCAACTTTTTAATATATGGGATTCATACAATGAAAAACAGATGAGCACTAGTAGACTATTAAAAAAAATAAGTCATTTGTATGGTCCACCCGCTCAGTGAAAAACAATTACATAATTAAAAAAATGAAAAAAAAAAAAAAAAAAAATGAATAGCCGACTAAAGCTATTTTTTCATCAAATAAATACACGTGTTGTTATAAATGTTGCGTTAATGTATGAATGTGTATGTATTTATACAATAAATGAATGTTTTATATGACCGTTGTTATCGCTATATGGTATGTTTAAAAATAAAATAATATGCCCGTTGTTATAAATCGATGTTATCATTTTATGCTATGTTGATAAATAAAATAGTTTATAAAGTAAATTGGCGTCAGTGTGTTGTATAATTCTATCTTACCTACCCGAGTCCGAAACGTCACCTACCCGAGTCCGAAACGTCACCTACCCGAGTCCGAAATGTCACCTACCCGAGTCCGAAATGTCGGGGACATATTTTTTGGAGTCCGAAATGACGTAAGTCCGAAATGACGCGGGACCGAAATGACATGTAATCGCTGATATGTCATGTAGGCCAACCACGACATGCTGACTACGGAAATGTTTATACTAAACCAAATTCGAACAGAATCTGGGGTTGACCATTTTGACATAATAGCACACACAAAAACTATAAAAACTGCTTGATCTAGACCGTTTTACCTTTCAGATTTCAGAAGAAAAGATGATTATTGTAAAGCAATTTTCCATTTTTTTTTACAAATTTTTCAATACATTCACGAGTTACCTTCCTTGGTTGATACAATTTATCCTTATTAATTATTGCGGAACGAAAACCAAATTTATTTTTTTTAAAATACAATAAATAGAGAATCATATAGGCCCTATAGTCTATATTAGTCTAATTACCGAATTTGTTATTTTACGATTTTTTGTTGGCAGAAAAATAACAATATCTGTAAATAAATATTTACTTACACTCGTTTTATATATTTTGGAATATGGATCAACCCAACTTTTACCATAAATGAGAACAATGTCGTAAATAACATTTTTGTCTGCGATATCACTTATGTGGAAGCAGACGTTAAACACCAAGAACTACTACTAAATAACATTTCATTGCATTACAAAATGTAAGTGAATTTGTATAAGTGGATATTTATTTCATAAACATAGTATACTTGATTACCATTTCGTTGTAATTATACGCAAAAAAAGTATTTCTTAGATTTTTACATGAATTTACGACAACTTCCGACATTAAAGTTCCACTCGGCAAGAACTGACGAAGAAAGTATGGAGTTTCATTAGACATGGTTCTATAGCACAATCATATATTTTTTGCAGACAATAGGTTTTCAGGTTTGTTTGAAATCAGTTCAGTAGCAAAAATATTGATGTCATATAAATCAGCTGTAGTCTGTCTGCAAGCGGTGCCATCATGTCATCAATTTCCAAGCCAAAAAATAATATTGGTCATGCCACTGCCAGGCCAGACCAATTCCTATTTTGGTCATAGGTGACATAACACTGAGTGTATCCAAAATGACAAAAATAAAGTGTTGAATATTAACAAATTTAAAACTGTTGTGATTTTTCTACAGAACAAATTGAAAATATGGTATGTTATTTTAATACCAATTAGTGATGGATTAATTAAGTGGAAGTCATAGTCATGTTTTTTGGGGTTTTTTTTTACTAATTTTTATTTCATTCTTATGGTTACATGTATATACCGGTACTTTATTCTTTATCCAGATGAACCAATGAGTGTGTAACAGACACTGCCTGAGTAGAGCGAAACTAATGTGATTGTTGTCAAATATAAAACTTTCATAATTAAGTTTCTCAAGTGATGCAAAAAATGTTAAATAATTTCATTTCTCCAAATTGACTTTGTCGTATTGGATAAATTACCAATTAATTTTGTTTGAAAAAAAAAGAACCAATCTCATATTGACATCATGTCATCATGTATATGTGACCTCATCATGATTAGACGCGTAATCTCGCTTGGACAAGATTTGATAGAGGGGAGATAATTAGGGCTGGGGAAAAATATTGATATAGCCGATAATCGCCGGCGACTACGGGAAACTATCGATATTGATATTCAGTTCTTGATGTCGATACTCGGATAAAAAATAAAGGAGCTTCAATAAAATGAAATTAACAGAATGTTTTTGTCAAGCTGCGAATACTATTTTGTTAATAACACCATCAGATAAGTTGTGAACGAAACAAACATTAAGAAATCGTAGTTTGAGGATCATAGTTATTTTTTTATTTGATCAATAACACATTTAAATGCATTGTTATAGCATACCAACAGTTATTTGTTTCAACTTCAAATTTTCCGATATATCGATATCGATATTGCCGAAATGGTTGCCTATATCGATATTTAAAATCAGTATAGATTGCCAGCCCTAGAGATAACTCTATGTTGACATGCACATTGCCTGTTTTGTCCAGTGTATCTGGTTCCGGTCTATGACAGTTTTAGTTATGCTCCTGTGTTACCAGAAAAGAGCTTTGCGTTATGCTTTAAAGCTTACTCTATATTAAGTTTCATTTGCAATGAGACCATTAAACATCATTGTTTATATTACTATTTTCAGTAATAATGGGGAAGAAATCTAAAAAAGGCGGGGGAAAGGCAGCGCCTCCTCCAGCACAAGAAAAGAAAGCAGCAGTCGCTAAAGGTGATAAGAAGGACAATGTGTCAACGCCAGCACCAGCACCTGCACCTGCACCGGTACCAGAATTAAGTAAATCAGCTAGACGAGATGTTCGTGATTTAGTCAGTCAGCTGCTTGATGGTAGGCATCATTGGTTGAATTGTTATTAAAGCCCCTTCCCTTATCCCAATTAGGCTTCCTACTTATGTCTGCTGTAACAAAATACTTCTCATTCTAGTCCTATTCAACAGTCTTGACCGGCCGGAGAACTTACCATAAAATTATAATGAATTTAATCTTAGAATGCAATAAATACATTTAAATTTACATAATGTATAGTGTAAAAACGCTATAAAATATATGCCGGATGGTAGACATCTCTGGTATAACCTTAAGTCTCTTGTTCGAGTGATATTTAACAGTCTTGACTGACTGGCAGTGAAATTGACCATCTGGAAAACTTACATGTATCTTAAAACACAATAAATTGTTATTCAAAGTGCAAGAAGAAGTAACGTTTTAGGAGAAGAAGTAACGTTTTAGGAGAAGGTCTATATTATTTTTTATAGACTTAACGGTTTGGCCTATTCATTGAAAGTTTATATTTTGGTTGTTTCAGTTTGTGCCAAATCCCCTGTTGCTGGAGCTAAAGAATGGGATGATTATCCAGAAATAAACAGTCTTGTAGAGAAAATACGCAAATTACAGTCAGGTAAAGATAAATATTGTAGAATAAATAATTCACATTATAAATAAATGAAAAATTGCCTTATGTTTAGATATTAGATCATATTTTCCTCTGCCCATATTATTTTATTAACAATTTACCCTGTAATCAAAATTCAACCACTTGAGATGCAGAAAAATGGATTCACTGAAATAATGTGATTTATATTCAAAATTTTTCACTTAAGGATACAGGAGTCTTATTTGTGAAAACCTAAACTAAAGTATATTAAGGATGTAATGTTCTTTGCTATGCATAGTGAAATCATATTATTTTGTTACATTGTCAGGGTTATCCAGTCTAGTGTCAGAACGTAGTGAGAAATTCCCAGCGTTTATGGACTGGTTATCATCTAATGGTGTTGATACATCAACGGTAGATATCAGTAAGGCTGGTGACAGTGGATTCGGTTTAAAGGCCAAACAACATATCAAAGTAAGTCGTCTTTATTTTTTAAAATAGGGGGGTCATGTTGGCTCGGTGGGTTACAGTACTAGTCAAGCGGAAGTATGAAATTAGTCCTAGGTCCGACCTTGGCGAAATTGAAAAATCGCTGACCACAACTTATTAAACCGCTCAGACCCCGCTCTAAATTCTGCTCTAACTTTCCTCCGCGAATTTGAGTAAATCGCCGACGACTGTTTAAACGCAGAGGAAATTTAAATATTAGGAATTTATTGTTACATGTATGCTTTACATTGTATTTGTATCCATAATTTAAAAGTCCTACAACATTATCGGCATGCTTGCAAAAGTCTGAATTAAAAAAATATGCATATATCATCGGTGTTGGCATCGATATATAAATAACAGCTTTTTTTTGGTGGTTGTTTTTTTACATGTATGGCATATTTAACTAAACTTATTCAATAATCATCTAGGTGCTAGCACTAACCAGGAGGTTCAGTGTTAAATCCCGGTGTTGACCAAGAAAGTTTACCAGGGTTGACAAGTAACATCTATTATGGTGTAAGCTAAAATAGGCTGACTAGATGGATATTTATCATTAACTTGAAAATGTGACCTGTATGTGTTACGAAACGTCGTTATTAGATAATAGAGAAGTAGTTATATCCATATATACCTTGTGTTGTCTTTTGTTATGAAAAGTAACATCTAGTTGCCAAAGAAAACATAGCATCGCTCCAGTTTGTTAAGCCAGTTGGTGCAGAAAAATAGGACTTTATTTTATTTAAAATATAAAGGATCCGCAGTGGCTTGGTGATTATGATACCAGCTAACTGATCTGGTGGTTACAGGTTCAATCAATTCAGGATTTTCGAGCCTGGACTTCCCTTGTCAGTGGTCTAATCTTTGCATGGAGTTAATGACACTATATTTTGACCATCTACAAACTTATTGTATGAAACAAACATTTCTCTTAATTCTTCAATTAGATGCCTTCCACTATAACCTTTGTTGATAGTACAGCCCTAGTTATTTTATGACTTGGTTAGCGTAACTCTTCTGTTAAACTATCACGTTGTTCGGTAGTTGAAGCTATAACCTCACATCATGTTATTTTACCTCTACATGTCTTGTATTTTATATAAATTGGTCTTTAAATTTTGTTTTTCAGGAAGCTTCCCTATTTTTAACGATACCAAGAAAACTAATGTTAACTGTTGACTCGGCCAAATCATCAGTTCTAGGTAGGTATATCATTTTATTTTTGGCAGCAAAGTTGAAATAGCCGACATAGTATTGATTTCCTTATATATTGCTCAAAATAAAATAACTGAAGACATAAAATAAATTAGCCTCTCCAGTATGATTATAAATTGCAATGTTGTTAGACTGGTGCTATAATATTAGTTTCTAAATATAGACGCTTTAATATGATGGGCAGAAGCAAAGTTCCAATTTGTAAACATACCTGGTAGCAGACACAGTAGACTATAAATAAACTGTAGTCATAACTCATTACCCTGTTTATTTTAAGCTGGTCATTTTTGATCCCGCAAAGTAATGAAATAAAGTTTAACGTCCTACTGTCCTGCTCCGACTGGGCTAATGAAGACGAGCATATGCCAAACAGTGTGCTATGAGGGAAATTTTGCACGGGCAGCGGCACTAGGCCTACTTGTATATCAAATTCCAACTGCCAAGGGATGTTATACGTGCATGCCAATGTGTGCATGGGACCTCTTTTTTTCCGAATAACTAGACAGCTGTCCTTGTCAGGCCCTCTGTCTTGCACCACTGACAAGGGGAAACCACACCACCTTGTTGGATTTTCCCTATTTTCTTAATGGTACTATATGTTAGTCCCAATATGTCCTAGCACATTTGAGTGGATATCAAACCCTGTATCTCTATATTTTTCTGTCTCTCTCCTTCCACAGGTATGATAAACTTTTCTATTCTAGGCCATTGTGATTAGTTATTTGATGTGGTTTTTTTTTAATTTTAGGTGACTTGATATCAGAAGATAAAATCCTACAAGCAATGCCTAATATAACACTAGCTTTACATTTACTGTGTGAGAAACATCAACCAGACTCTTTCTTTCAACCATATATTAGTATCCTTTATAAACCTGGGTGTGCTAACTCTTTTTAGAACAACTGATACCACTTACTTAATTATAAAGTTGAACAGTGATATTTGTCGTACATTAGACATGAACATAATATGCCATTTTATGTTTACAAGGTTGAGAGTGATAAAGTGTTCATTTTGCCTTGAGTCTATTTGTTATTTTCAATTCCCCGGTTGTACCTGACAAGGAGTAGGGTCGCCTGTTCAACCTTGTGGGTTTTCACAGGGTCCTCCGGTTTCCTCCCACTGCTAAAGACCCCCATGTGCAAGCGAATTATTGAAATAAAGTCGTACCATGTGTTAGTCCCGAAATGAGCTTATACACGTAGTGGATAACCATCTAATATACTACCAGTAATCCCATCTTCATTAGCCGGCTTGGAGCAGAAAATTAAACCTCATTTGATTTCAATACCACTGCTATGTTACAGGTGTATATATATATCATGGTTAATATGTTACAGGTGTATATATATATATCATGGTTAATATGTTACAGGTGTTAATATATCATGGTTAATATGTTACAGGTGTTAATATATCATGGTTAATATGTTACAAGTGTCGTGGAGTCAACTGGCTTGGTTTCGATTCCCAGGTTGTATGTGACAAGGACTAAGGTCGCCTGTCCAACCTCATGGGTTTCTCCAGGTCCTCCGGTTTCCTCCCACTGCTAAAGACCCCTATTTTTTTTGTTAACATGACTTGTGTTTTGATCCTTGATGATTATATGTAGATATTTTACCTAGAAGTTATTCAACACCTTTATATTTTACACCTGAAGAATTACAGAATTTAAAAGGTTCACCTGTTTTAGGTAATTATATGTTCTAGATTTGTTACAGGGGGTTGATTGGTCAAATGGTTAACATGTGCGTGATAGATAACAAGGTCTGTCATTGAGTCAAGTGATGTGGTTTCAATTCCCCACTTGTACGTGACAAGGAGTAGGGGGCACCTGTCCAACCTCGTGGGTTTTCTCCGGGTCCTTCAGTTTCCTCCAACTGTTAAAGACTCCTACGCACAAGCGAATTATTGTAATAAAATTTAACTATATGTTAGTCTCGAAATGACCTAGCTTGTGTCAAGTGGATGTTAAACTCCATTTCTCTCTCTCTTTACGTTTATGACAAAAAGTAGTAGCATCTATCTAGTATTGTGAATTTACATGCCACTTTAAAAGGCCTGTTAGCAGTTGAATTAAATAAGTAGATCTTAGTCCCAAAACGACTTAGTTCAGTTGAAAGGATGTTAAACTATTAAAATCATCTATTTAAGAATCCAGTGTGTTCTGAAATGTAATGATAAAATGTAAATTCATGTATTTTGGGTATTTGTTGCTTACCTCTAATATTATAAGTAATATAGATATAAATTGTATATAATTATTATAGATATTTATTGTATATAATTAATATAGATATTTAAGTAATATAGATACATGTATTTATTGTATATAATTAATATAGATATTTATTATATGAAATTAATATAGATACATGTATTTATTGTATATAATTAATATAGATATTTATTATATGAAATTAATATAGATACAAGTATTTATTGTATATAATTAATATAGATATTTATTATATGAAATTAATATAGATACATGTATTTATTGTATATAATTAATATAGATATTTATTATATGAAATTAATATAGATACATGTATTTATTGTATATAATTAATATAGATATTTATTGTGTATAATTAATATAGATATTTATTGTATCAGTGATGGGATTTCAAAAATTTTCTTGTCGGACATTTTTACCGAAAATAAAGGGACATAACTCTTATCGTTATTTAAAATGGCAGTTTTTAGACCACACACAAAAATCATGTGTAAACAAAATATTCAAATTCGTCCGTAATATAAAAATAGGTGCACCTTGTTATTTTTCATATTTAATTCCCGTACAGTATTCAAATTTATGTCAGTAATATTCCTACAAAATTCGTAATACGATAGAATGAAAGCGTGCCGACTGCTGCCAATCTGTACTGTTTCAAATTCCTCCAAAATTACCGTATTTTCAGGTCATAAGTCGCTACATTTTTCAGCAGAAGTCCGGCATTCGTCTTAAACTCTGTTACAACTTATGTACAGAGGGTAAGAATATGATATCCCGAGGAATGAGGAATGACACCATCCGCTAAATAATCGCTAGCACGCGCTATCGTCTAAAACAATTAAGTACTTACACTATTTGAATCAACATATTCGTCAACATTGCCTAGGTTACTTATTTCTTTATTTAAAAACATAAACCCCATTCAAAATATGATCGTAAATCTGAGAATATGCCATCAAAATAGAATCTTTTATTCGACATTAGAAGCGTGAATTTAGTCACGTATTCATTTCATAATTTCACGCGTCTCGCGAGATTTCTAATACCGGTATAGCACTCAGCAAACCTCGGCAGATTCCGTTACTCTACAAACAGCCCCGCTGTATGACGGTAAGTGATATGTACCTAATCAGATTTTCTTCAAACAAGGACAACTTTGCTCTGAAAATTCTAAACACGCTTCGAACGACGCAATTTTGGTCACTTTATTCTAAAACCGGCAAGTTCGTAGGTACATATCACTTACCGTCATGCAGCCGATGCTAGATGTAGAGTAACGGAATCTGCCGAGGTTTCCCGAGTGCTGTAAAAGCGTGCTAGAAATGTCTAATATTTTTCAGATATATGTGTGTGTGAAATAGCTTTATTTAACGCGTTTTGGGCGTTTGGAAAAAAGATTCGGACAAGTCCGTAATATACGGGCAAAATCCCATCACTGTATTGTATATAATTAATATAGATATTTATTGTATATAATTAATATAGATATTTATTGTATATAATTAATATAGATATTTATTGTATATAATTAATATAGATATTTATTGTATATAATTAATATAGATATTTATTGTATATAATTAATATAGATATTTATTGTATATAATTAATATAGATATTTATTGTATATAATTAATATAGATATTTATTGTATATAATTAATATAGATATTTATTGTATATAATTAATATAGATATTTATTGTATAAACAGGTGATGCTTTAAGTCAGTATAGAAATATCGCCAGACAATACGCTTATTTCTACAGATTATTACAGGTAAAAATATATTACCATATTTCATAATTGTTATAATTGTGGGAGCCATGGTGGCTAAGTGGGTAAGACGCTGGCTTGCTAGCCTCGAGGTCGTGTGTTCAATCTCTACATTGGCTTGTCAGTGGTGCAGGAGGGAGGGCCTGACTTGGACAGCTGTCTAGTTGTTCGAATGGGATGAAATACCAAAGACCTGTGTATACATTGGCGTGCACATAAAAGATCCTCCGGCAGTTGGAATTCAATGTAAGAGTAGGCCATAGTGTGGCTGCTCAGGCAAAATTTACCTCATAGCACACTGTATAGCCTATGCCTGTCTTCATTAGCCCAGTTGGAGCAGAACAGTAGGACGTTAAACCCCATTTCAATTCATTTATGGATTATTACAGGTAAAATTAATATTTTCCCCTTGCCTCTGTCCTTCACACTTGTTGGATCACAATTGAGATAGAATGTTTAAACATGTTGTAGATGTTTATTAGGTGAATGTCTTGACTGAGTTTCTTTCGACATTGCTTTGGGACACGATAACTTTAGTTATGATTGAGTGTGAGTATTGAGACTTCATGTATATGACAAAGTTGAATCATGTGCATTTTCTACTGCAGCAAAGTCTGATTTCTCAATGCTTTACAAAAAGATATATATACAATTAATTAATCTGTATCGTCTATTTATTTTGAGAACAGTAGGATGTTAAACCCCATTTCATTTCATTTCCTATTTATTTTGCGATTGTTTTTAAAATGATTGCATTTGGTTGTTATAGAAACAGGAACCATTTATCACCAAACTACCAATCACAGATCACTTTACATTTGATGAATATAGATGGGCTGTTTCCACGGTGATGACTCGACAGAATCAGATCCCAACTGTAGATGGGTCAAAGGTCACATTTGGGTTGATACCTTTATGGGACATGTGCAATCATACGAATGGACATGTGAGTATTTTTATCTATTATAAAGTTTCTGTGTGTAAAAATATAGATAATCTCCCCACTTGCATTCAATCGGATTAAAAGATATATCATCTGCAGGTATGTTGGCAGATTTTCAAATTATATCTTTGAAAATACTGAACGGAATTGAACCATTTTTTGACTGATTTTCCTTTTATAGATTCAACTTCCATAATATTGTAGTTTGAAAGGGATTAACAATCTCTCAAATGACGTTAGTAAAATTAATTCTGACATGTCATTCACATGGTTAGCTGTTCTAGTATAAATAAAATTGTTGAGTCTCATGAAATGTTCTTCTTTGTAGATTCATATAATTAAAGTTTGCAACGTATAAAAATAAATGTCTGATTATATTATTTCAGTACACGTCTGATTTTAACGTAGAAAAGAATGTTAGTGAATGTTACGCTTTACGTGACTTTGAGGCCGGGGAACAGGTGAGTGTTCTATAATCTTTGAGTGGCATTTAGCGATCGGGGGAAACACATTAACAGAACACAATTTCTATGGGATACAATCACTAATTTTATTCTAAAAGCATGACGTTTCGACAAGTATCCTCTTATCATTATCAAGCACAATAACGATAAGAGGATACTTGTCGAAATGTTGTGCTTTTAGAATAAAACCAGTGTTCTATAACTATATATGTTTTATTATCAGACAATATAGCTTCAGTTTGTGTAATTTCTCTGAGTCCTTCTAGTTATATCAGCCTACTAAAGAACATAATAAGCGAATAATGAAATAGATTCTTCTTGCTGAAACAAAGTTTGTTTTTATAAAGTCATAAAGTAATGGGTAATGATAATTAATTATGTTAAACCCCATTCCTTCCTGTCATAGAGATGTGACTCTTCTTATGCGCGTAGTGAGGGGGGTTGGATGGCCGAATGGTTAGCATGTGCATGTTGTATAATAATGTCTGTCATTTAGTCAACTGCTGTAGTTTCGATTCGCCTGTCCAACCTCATGGGTCTTCTCCAGGTCCTCCGGTTACCTCACAAAATGATCTCTCTCTCTCTCTCTCTCTCTCTTTTATGTGGTAGTGGATAACAGTCTAATATAGGCCTACTACCAGAAATCCCATCTTCAATCGCTCAGTTAGAGCAGAAAATTAAACCCCATTTGATTTCAGTACCACTGCTATGTTACAGGTGTATATATATATCATGGTTAATATGTTACAGGTGTTAATATGTCATGGTTAATATGTTACAGGTGTTAATATATCATGGTTAATATATTACAGGTGTATATATTTTATGGTGCCAGATCAAATGCTGAATTTCTCATACATAATGGATTCGTCTATCCTGAAAATAGTCATGATCGTCTCTGCATAAAACTAGGTAGGAAACAAAAAAAAAAAATCATTTTATTATGTTTTTTAATCTGAGATACATGGATGAAAAATTGACATGGACAAAAGTATAGTCTTTTAATGTAAAAAGATTAATTTATTCAAAAACATCAATGATGAATGCCATATATGAAGTGGCATATTATATAGGATATGAGGGGGGTTGGATGGCCGAATGGTTAGCACGCGCGCTGTATCATACGGTCTGTCATTGAGTCAACTGGCGGGGTTTCGATTCTCCGGTTGTACGTGACAAGGAGTAGGGTCGTCTGTCCAACCTCGTGGGTTTTCTCCGGGTCCTCCGGTTTCCTCCCACTGCTAAAGACCCCTACGCGCAAGCGAACTATTGAAAAAAAAAAATTAAACCATATGTTAGTCCCGAAATGACCTAGTTTGTGTCGAGTGGACCCCAATTCTCTCTCTCCCTATTATATGGTCGGTAGGACATTGGATCATGGCCACTATGGTTTGTCATAAAATTGTTTTATGACAGTTCCTCCCGGTTGAAAACTGGACTCATAATGAAATATTTTCTATTTAACCAGGTATCAGTAAAAATGATCCATTATTTCAACACAAGTCAGAAGTTTTAACAAAGATTGGTATTTCATCGTAAGTTCTTGTTCCGTTTTATTCTTTAAAAGATTTCAGATTAGTATGGAGTTAGTTCTCTTTGATGCATAGATCCTCAACGTCTGATCTGACATGTGGCTTATAGTTGTAGCTTTGATCTCAGTTTCTTCAGTTTTCAACCGCTCATAGAGTTCTGTATGCAATCGATTTAATTGAATTGAAATGAAATTAGGTTTAATATCCTACTTGTTTTTCACCAACCTGGCTATTGAAGATGGGTATACACCACGTAGTCTTCTATGAGGAAAATTTTACCCGAACAGCGGCCATACGGCCTACTCTTTATTTAAAATTCCAATTGCCAAGGGATCTTTTATGTGCAGCACTAAGGTTACTTTTACTGTCAATGGTTTTTTACGTTCTGAAAACAGGACCTTGCTTTTTCTAGTTCTTTCAATGGGACAAAAAAAACCTAGGTTCACATGTGTACTTCTTGATGTTTACGTAAATGAGGTCTTGATGATCGACTTTTGCTGCTCCTCAAATCTCATTGTAGTTAAACAAGTCATGTGACTAAAGACATCACAGAGAGTTTAGTATTTTTATTTTTTATCATATTTCCAGGTCTAGGTCATTTTTCCTACATAAAGGAGAATTTCCCATTGATGGAGAGTTACTGGCCTTCCTTAGAATCTTCACAATAGATGAAGGTAAGATATATATATACTTGAATTGTTTTAGATAAAGTATTTGGCTAAGTGGGTAAGACGCTGGCGAGCTAGCTTGAAGGTCGTGGGTCTGCTCTCGGTGTCAGGATTTTCAGACGTGGTTTCCCCTTATCAGTGGTGCAGGGTGAAGGGCCTGAAAAACGAGGTCCTGTGTACATTTTAGAGTGCACATAAATGATCCCTTAGCAGTTGGAATTTTAAATAAGACTAGGTCGTAGTGCCGCTGTTTGGGCAAAATTTCCCTCATAGCACACTGTATGGCATATGTCCATCTTCAGTCTGAGCAAAACAGATTGACGTTAAACCCCATTTCATTTCATTTTGTGACTGGTGTGACCCAGTGCCACTATAATGTCAATCCATGCCACTGTGACTGATGTAGATCCAGTGCCACTGTGATTGATGTGGATCCAGTGCCACTGTGACTTCAGTGCCACTGTGACTGATGTGGAATCAGTGCTGTTGTGATTGATGTAAACCCAGTGCCACTGTAATGTCAATCAGTGCCACCGTGACTGATACGAACCAGTGCCGTAATGATTGATATGGATCCAGTGCCTCTGTAATGTCAATCAATTCCACCGTGACTGATATGACCCTGTGCCACTGTGACTGGTATATGATCCTGCACCACTGTGACTAGTGTGTAACAGGTGCCAGTGCAACTGATGTGGAACCAGCGCCATTGTGACTGATGTGGACCCAAAGCTGATGTGACTGATGTGGACCCATTGGCACTGGGACTGGTGTACCACTATGACTAATGTGACCCAGTGCCAATGTGAACAACCGTGGACCAAGATGTTATGTTGTCAGTTTAATTTTTTAGATTTACTGAAAGATAAATTTGGTAATGATGTCACCGCAGAAACACTTGATCAATTAAAAAACCTGGATGTTGGAATCTCTGATGAGAACGAGAAAAAAGTTTGGTCGTTTATAGAAACGAGAGCAGCATTATTATTAAAAACATATCCTACAACAGAAGAGGTAAGTGAATATCAAACTTAGAGTGAATAAAATCATGGTTGATATTTAATATTCTCAATGGAAAATATCATTATTCCATAACCGGAAGGGTAAATGGGCATTAGCATAACTAGAATGGTAGAGGGCATTAAAGATACATTATGGGAGATTAGATAAAGAGCTGACAGTTCTCGCTATAATAGTTAAAAACTAGATAATGTAAAGGTAATTTGTTGAAAATTTCAGTCAAATTGATCCACTATGAACCGAGATATCAGCTTTGTAAATTTCTGCCTAGCCTCGTTCATCATTACTAAAGTTAGTATGTTAAACAGCATAGTCTCGATTATCCATTGTTTTGATTTAATTATCAATGAGCGTTTGCAGCATATAGGATTCTAATCCAGTCGATATCGAAGGCTAGCCTTGACATCGAGAGTTGATTATGGTCTGGATAATTTAATTAAAGTCTAATTAATAATTTAGATAAGATTTCAGGCCTAAAGAAAGACCTGTGATAGGCAGATTTAGCTCTTGCATAATGCATGTTTAACAAAACTGAAAGGATAGAGGGGCATTAGCATAACCAGAAGGGTAGAGGAGCATTAACATAACCACAAGGGTAGAGAGAGGGGCATCAGCGTAACCATAACCGGAAGGGTAGAGGACATTAAAATAACCAGAAGGGTAGAGGAGCATTAGAATAACTAGAAGGGTAGAGGGCATTAACAAAACTGAAAGGATAGAGGGGCATTAGCATAACCAGAAGATTAGAGGGGCATTAACATAACCACAAGGGTAGAGAGAGGGGCATCAGCACAACCATAACCGGAAGGGTAGAGGTTATTAAAATATCCAGAAGGGTAGAGGGGCATTAGCATAACCAGAAGGGTAGAGGGCTTTAGAATAACCAGAATGGGAAAAGGACATTAACATAACCACATGGTTAGGAGAGAGGGACATTAACATAACCACACGGGTAGAGAAAATTAGCATAACCACAAAGGTAGAGGACATTAGCATAACTGCAAGGGTAGAGGACATTAGCATAACTGAAAAGGTAGAGGGCATTAGCATTGCCAAAAGGGTAGAGGGCATTAGCATTGCCAAAAGGGTAGACGGCATTATCATAACCAGAAGGGTTGTTGGGCATTAGCATAAAGGGAAGGGTAGAGGGGCATTATTTGCATCGGTGAAAGGATAAAGAGGCATTAACATAACCGAAAGGGCTTGCATACGTATGAAAAGAAACATAAATGTGACAGTGAGAAACTAATTTAAATTTTAAATGGCAATAACTTGATCTATCTAAATAATTTTTGTGAGCAAGATATTTTTAAATTAAACGTTTTTTGATTGTGTGTGTATGATTTTAAGCTCCATTTTCAGTTTCTGAAATGTTGGGGCTTTCATTTAGAATTGATCTATTTAATTAATTTTTGACCTCATTTGAGAAGACACATATCTATGCTTATTTCATCCTCGGTATCCTCAGTGGTTTCATTCCATTCTACACCACTAACCCCTGGGTTAATCTATGGGGGGGGGACATGTTTTCAAGTTATCTACCCTTGATGATTGTGCTATTTTTATCGAGTCCAAATTATTCTAAATGCGTATTTATTAACAACAAACTATATAATATTATATTAATGAAGACCGGAGGTTTATATATATGTAGGTTCAATAGTTTTATTGAGAATCGTACATTCGTTCCTGAGTTTAACATCAACATGACATCATTGACAAGTTGTTGTGAATCAAATTGCTATGTATAAGTTCAATAATAATAAACATAACAGAATGAAACATTTCAAACACAAAACGAATAGTAATAATAATAACAAAAGTCAAACATATAGATGTAATACATGTTTGAAATCGGCAAAACATACTGCAGAATTTGATAATACAAATTAAATATAAATGAATTAGAAATATATACATTATTTACATAAATCATTTAGTAAATGGGCATGAATATGGTTACCTACCCTTATAAAAACCAAGGTGAAACAACTGGTTAACTGTTTTTTGATTGGTTCGTAGACTTAAGCTACAATCAAGGCCAGGGCGGATAATTCGAAATCGTGGAAACCCTATGAATTAACCCAGGGTATATTGGAGTAGAATGGAATAAGAACGCTGGGGATACTGAGGATGTGCTTATTTATGTACTGATTTATTTAGTCATCCTACTGATAATAATTAAATCTCAATATTTGTTCATATTCTCTTGTAGGAAGACCTCTCTGTGTTGAATTCTGGGAAGGAACTAACAGATCCGCAGAAAATGGGACTACAACTACGCATTGGTGAAAAACAAATTTTGGCCTCAACTATTAAATATGCCTCGGAAAAACAACAAAATTTAGAAAAATAAACATTTGTAATGTATATAAATTATGACTGGAATTGAACCCTTAACATTTTTTTCTTCTTAAGACTATTTATTATTTTTAGACTGTACTTTCATTTTTATTTTCCTGGTAAACAAATATTTATTTTTAAAATAGCACTGATTGTGATTGTCGCGGAGGAAAATAAAATTTTACTGAAATGGAAATGAATTTTGTTTAAATAGTGACAAATGAATCTGTCAACATAGACTGAAGAAATGTACGAAATCTTTCTTTCTGCATGTATGCTACACATTATACATACAATTATACTATTGTCTTTATTAGATTGAGGGGTGATGGATGGCCGTATGGTTAACACGTTAACACATGCGTATTGTATCATAATGTTTGTCATTGAGTCAAGTGACGTTTCGATTCCCCGGCTTGTACATGACAAGGAGTAGGGTCGTCTGTCCAACTTCGTAGGTTTTCTCCCACTATTTAAGACCTCTACACGCAAGCAAATTATATAATATGTCATTTGATTTATCTCAAAACTTCTGATCGCATCCATGGCTTTTGTCAAATTTGGCATTACCACTTAGGGGTTGGGCACCAAGAATTGGTATTTTACATGATTTAATTTAAAATAAAATTGAACCATATGTTAGTCACCAAATGACCTAGTTTGTGTCAGTGGAAGTTAAATCCTCTCTCTCTCTCTCTCTCTATCTTAATTTGAGAGCCTAACCAGTAATGGTTATACCCTCAGCACAGTCAGTATATTTTGGGAATTTTGAATATAACTCACCATAGATTGATTAGTCATATTCCTGGTGGACATTTACAGACATGTCAGGTTTATACAGGCAAAACAGCATCCATGGTACCATATCTAATAATTAAAACAATTTCTAAGTTTAAAAAAACTCACCCCCTCATTCTGAAATTCCTGGATACACCACAAATATATTCAACACACTTACTGACCTATTCATTAATTACTACAAAAAGAAGGGTTTATCTTTCATAGAGCCGCAGTGACTCAGTGAGTAAGATGTTGGCTCGCTGATCTGGATTTCCCGTGCCGTGTTCGATCCCAGCATTGGCCGAGAAAGTTTATCAGGATTTTTCGGCGTGGTTCACGCATGTTAGTATGGGAAAATGTATGGTTGTTTGGATGGTACGAAAAACTGAGGTCCTGTGTACACATTGGCGTGCACGTAATTGACAGTTGGAATTCGATTCAAGAGTAGGGCAAAATATCCCTCATAGCAAAGTGTATGGCATATGCCCGTCTTTATTAGCCCTTTCGGAGCCAAACTGTAGGATGTTAAACCCCATTTTATTTCATAGGTATCCACGTTACTAACCTGGGCCCTGTTTCTCAAAATCTTAACTAAAGATAAAATCCAAATTTTGGTAGATACTTCAATTTCCATTGGCTAAGCACTAAAATCAATCTAATATTATTCAATCAAATTACTAAAATTTGGATTTTATCTTAGTTAAAATTTCGTGAAACAGACCCCAGGGTTTTAGGTGTTGACCTCAGGATATTTCATCTGGTTTCACCTTTCTCAGTGAATGCAAGATGTAGGAGGAACAGTGTCTAGTCATTGGGATGGGATGAAAAACCAAGGTCCTGTTGAGTGTACACTTGGCTTGCATGTTAACAAAAATCACCGAAAACGCTGCTTTCCAGACAAAATTTCCCTTATAGCGCACTGCATGGTTGGTTCAGAAAATTAGTATGATAAACCACACAGAGATTTTTAGGAATTAAATGGTTACAAATATAACCTGGTGTTTTCAGAATTACCTATTTGTGAAATATTTGAAGGCTAAATCTATTTGTTAAGGCCAGCTCAATTTTTATCAAGGTCGTTGAGATGTTAATATGGTTAGGGCACGAGACTATAGGTTAGGGTAAGGGTAAGCATTGGGGTTAGGTCCAGAGTTAGGTTTATTGCGCTGTATGAATATTCAAACCTAGGGGGACTGTTGTTTTCAATTTGTCAATCCAGAATATTTCTCTTGTTAGCCTAAACGTTTTAATTCCTTCTGTAGTTTCAATGTCGCTCTTGGTCTTTTCTATTGGCGTGACAATGAGATCAGAAATGTCATGATTTAATTGGTTGAAATGAATTGAGACCGGTTTGTCTTTTTTGGTGACTATGTCTGACCGTTGACCGTTAATTCTTTCCCTAAGTGCATTTTGAGTCTCCCCTACGTATTGCTTGTCACATTGTCTACATGAAATTAGATAAATTATGTTTGAACTACTGCCCGAAAGTTGATCTAATATTGGGAATTGTGTGCCAGATGTTTTGTTATGAAAATGGTCAGATATGTTTATAATTTTGCATGTTTGACATCTCGGATGGCCAATAGTTTTTGTTTTAACTGCTGACTGCATATTATTTGTTCCTCATCAATAGTTTATAATTATGTACCTATGGCAACATGGCAACATAAATTTGATCAAATAAGTAAGTAATACTGAGCAAGGAAGAAGCCTAAAAATTGTTTTTGTCCTTGTGCACGCAACGAAGACTGTGGCAGAACGAAACTATTGTGATTAATAATCCATGCAGCTGCATATAGTAACTTTTAAAAAATAATAACATGACTTTATTTACAAAGCTACCGGAATACACTATTCTTTAAAATGTAAGCAAAACTAGTTGATTTACTGACTGCACACAGAGATCAATCTACTTCATACTTCGACAATTGATCTCTGCCTTGAATGGCCGCCATATCTAAAAATTAGTATACTATTTAGTAATTTGGTTCTACTTCGTTTGACATGTTTAATACACACAAAGAATAAATAAACCATTTCAATTTCATTAAATGGAAGCAGAATAAATACTTCTTAAAATTCTCAAAGTATACTTAGCGTTTTCGACTAAAATCATCGATTTAGGACATAAAATGGCGGTCAACTAGCTTAGTGTCTGTTCTCAAACGGTGCTTAGTATGGTTGATATACTGACTGCTGTTTCTTCTGATCTTGTGGCAGTCACTTCTTTTTTGGGAGAGAGAGAGGGGGGGGGGGGTAAAGTCCACTCGACACAAACTAGGTCATTTCGGGACTAACATATGGTTCAATTTTATTTCAATAATTCGCTAGTGCGTTGGGGTCTTTAGAAGTGTGAGGAAACCGTAGAAAACACACGAGGTTGGACAGGTGACCCTACTCCTAATTGTCACGTTCCAGGGGAATCGAAACTACGCCACTTGACTCAATGACAGACCTTGTGATTTCACGCACTCGTTAACTACTACAAACGTCTTACCCCACCTATTAACCCATACGATGGATAAGACGTAAATACACCAGTACACTAACTCCTAAGAACTGTAAATTCTAGGCAAGTGCCCTTCCGAAGGACTAACGTCTCGCCCCACCTATTAACCCATACTATAGATAAGACGTAAATACAACAGTGCACTAAAACTCGTATGATCTGTAAATATTATGGTTTAATTAGTCAACAGTTGTTTTTACACAAGGGAAATATTACTTCTTTCACAATAAGAAAGTTATTTTAGTAGAGTGTGATAATGTCACTGGTGGTAAAAACATTGATAACCCTCTAGCATGATACCATGACATTTGTAATTAGGCAACAGTGTAGAAGTACTCGAATTTAACAGCCACTACCTCGTGAACGTCCCGAATAAGAAATAAAATGACTGTTTGGCGACACGCTTTGGCTCCTGATCATGAAGGGGGTCATTATGCACCGCACAGTGCACACACCATCAGGCGGTTCAGTCGTTTTTTCGTCATGGACTTGCGAAGCAAAATTTTGATACGGCACAGAGTGCTGAAGGTTCGCTCGGCTGAGCAGGAACTGGCGGTTAAGAGCTTTGACAGAAGGGAACATCTGCCTCACTTCAGGTGACTTACTAAGGAACGCTTCGTGCACAAGTGAAATAGATTTGACCGAAAACCGGCGCTTGAAGAATGACAATTCTTGCTCCAAGTCCCGATTCAGTTCCGGTTACGTAGAAACACGCCCCCACCCCCTAAATCCACGCCCATGCTAATAAAAGCATTCCATGTATAACCAATACGTCTGCAGAAATACAACTCAGTGGTTAAGGTGGCTAACATAGTCTATGCATCATAATAACTTGACATTATGCAGATGGTGGTTCGGGTATGTAACGTAGTAAAGGTATCCTATGTGTATGTCACAATAAATTGACATCACGAAGATGGTGGTTTAGGTAGCTAATGCAGTTAAGGTATCACATGTATACCATAATAACTTGAGATCATGCAGGTGGTGGTTCAGGTATTTAACGCTGTCCAGACATCACAAAACCTTGACATCATGAAAATGGCGGTTAAGGTACCTAATGCAGTAAAGGTATCACGTGTAAGCCATAATAACTTGAGATCATGCCGGTGGAGGTTCACGCTGTCCAGACATCACGGTACCTTCAATCATGAAGACAGTGGTTCGGGTATCTAACACAGTCAAGGTACCACGTGTATGACATGAATAACTTGAGATCATACAGGTGAAGGTTCATGTATCTAACGTTGTCCAGACATCACAATGACTTGAAATATGAAGATGGTGGTTCGGGTATTTAACGCAGTCAAGGTGTTATATGTATGTCATAATACCTTCACATCAGGCATTCAAGATATTTGTTTGTCGTACCATCTTTATGTTCTGCCAGAGAGAAATCATCGATTGAAAAATTAACAAAGTTAGCTGTTCTGTTATAATTTATACGATTGCTTTCTTTACTGCCACCTTTAAGGAAATTAAAAACATTCCTAAATGTGAATCATGTTTGATCTTGAGCTTCTGAAGTCATGTACTTATAGTGATTATTTATTGTATGTCATACTGACCCAGACTAAGGTATCACTTCTAAGTCTTGGTTTATCAAGTCTTAACAGATATACAATTGATCAAGGCAGTAGAAATGAATTAAATATGATTGAACGTGATTACTTTGTACATATTTGAGCGAGACGACTGACTGATCCACCAGCACATGAAATAAACAAGTATTAGTAAATTTATTTCACAATTCTGTTATGTTGACGAAAAGACCTGTGTAATTCAACGCATGTGCTGTGTGCTTCAAATGGCTTCGTTGAATGAATAGCTACACGTTTCGATTGGTTTTGTGCGACCAACAAAACCATGCTATTCATTCAGGGACTAATAAAATGGTATTAGTGCCG